GTTGATAGTTAACGCGCACGGCTGGAGTCGCGTCCCGTCCTGCAGTCCCGGATACCGATGCCATGGGTCCGATTCGATCCCAATCTCGCTGGACGCAGTATCCTGCATATTGGAACGGAGAAGCAACGGTCAATGCATAATTGACAGGTGTAAAACAGGGGTCACCCATCTGACAGATGAGTTGTGTGCCTATCAAACTTTTACCAGAAGGTGTCCCCCAAGCTCGTCCGGGATGAAGACCAGATGCCATAACCACAACTCCCGGATAGAAGCTGAGGCAGATAGCAAGGGCTTGGGCCTAGATCTCGGGGGCCTTGAGTCGCACAAACACATTGTTCGGCCGAGATGGGTCCATGGAGGACGTCACCGTGCAGTGGCCCCTGAGATGCGGTTACACGCGCAATCTCCAGATCACACTGCATCCCAAATCGAGCACACACCGGCCCTGGGTATTGGGAAATCAGGCCTATTTCAGCAAAGACTGTCTGACAATATCGAAATGCCACTCAGAGCCCCTACGCCGGTATGGTGACGTGATTCGACGGGATACGGTGTTGAATATATTCGAGGCTGCCACACGTGCCAGTTTGTCTTCAGTGGTAGACATGAAGTCCTGCGTCATTCGAGCGCAGATCCCCACAGCAATCAATCTGCGCTCTTGAGGCTGCAAGACCACACGGTGAGGTTCCGGGAAGTCCCGTTCAAGAAGTCTAGTAGAGCGGACCGAGGTAGAGTGCGAGCATGCCGTGGGGATCAGCCACATTGTGATACGCCAACTATCGATAACCTCTCAATGGCATCAAATGGCGTGTGACATTCCAGGGGTCTAGACCGAGTGCGCACAACAGCAGCGCAGCGGCAGCTCATCTCGCACAAAATGCGATCAAAGATTCCGGGGAAGACTGTCCGCGTGCGTGTCCCATTTTAGCTCCAGCGCGGGTGCATATGCCGTTGTTGCTTTTCCTTTGATTTTGCGCACTCCAGCTACCAACCACGCTCCCGATTTGGGGCTCTTGCATAAGTACGGTGTATCGTATTCGGAATGCTGTGAGACACATTCAGACCGAAAGCTTGTCTCTGACGGGTCCAATCTCTGCAGGTAGATGGCTATTGTCTGGTTCGTAAGGGGAATGTCTCAGCGCAAGGTCCCCCCCAACACGACCTTGGGTATACGAGGATCCGGAACTGATCGAAGCGTCGGGATTTGTCCAGCAATTATTCCGAGTCTCCTATCGCTCTACCAAGATCCTGCGAATCCGACTGCAGGCTGCAGCTGGGCTTGAAGTTGGAGTTCGGTCGCGCTGTGAAGTTGAAGGTGGCCCCACAGCCTCGACAACCGTGTAAGATGATTGGTTTCTCTCTCATTCACACCACCTAGTAGTCTACCCAGACCTCACTTAACCCAACGCGCCCCCCAACGCTCGGCATTAGTCTACTGCCAGTAACCCCGGACTACATTAGCGCAGGTACCAAAAGGATTTGCCTCCGTAGGCGAGTTGCGGGCCACAGAGAGCCTGAGAAAATCATACCATGATGCGTGATGCATTATCTTGCAGGAAGCTCCCCGAAAGGAATCACCGGTGAAAGTTGGGGCACGCATTGCGCCAAGCCAATCCCAGGAAAAGCAGGCGTCTATCGGTTCGATCATCTTCGTGAACCATCCACGCGGTCTTTCTCGTGACAGAGTCCCACAGTAGGGCTCCCGCCGTCTCAGATTGACAGACGCAGCCGAGCCGTGGGTCGTCGGCGGTGAGCCAGACGACGAACACCCAAGGCACGGGGACAGACAAGGATCATCGCTGCCAGGCTCTCTGGGGCACCTCCAGACTTGCTTTTGCCCCAACCATAGTCTGCAGCCACAGCACCGACTCAAACTAATCATCGACCTCAGCCTCACCCACGGTGAAGGACCTAGTGGATCAGCATGCAGGACAGAGAACTCAAATACGGCTTGCGCAAAAGATAGCATTCCCATCTGAATGAGCTGGATACATTCTCGCATACAGATCTTGGCGAGAAGGGCGATCCCATAGTCTGGACCGACCGGAGTCCACCGGCGAGGAAGAGACGCCCCTGAGGCTCTTGGGCTGTGGGCGAGAAGCAGCCATGTCCATCTATACAGGCAGTAAACAATGCTGACCAAGGTCGACCCCACATTCCGAGGTGACACTGGACCCTTGAGGCTGACACTTGGGTCTTGACCCGGAGATATCAGGGCCAGCAAAGGTCTTTCGGCAGCGGGAGCGTTCGAAGGGTAGACAAGCCATGTCTCGGTGGCTTGCGAGCAGAGCTCGTCTAGCCAGGCCCACGAGCTTCAGCATGGCGGTCTGCAAGCCGGAGACTTCCGAGGGGCTGGCTTACGGGAGCAGATGTGGGGCGTTTCTTTCGAATATCAATTGCTTCGCTTGTTGTGAGATACTCGCAGGCTGCGTGGCGGCGTGTGCATTACCCCAATGTATCCCGACTGGACAAGCCCACGAAAGAGTACTGACAAATCTCTGAGAATGTCGATGACCTTGAAATTTTGCAGCGAATGATCCCAAGATTCAGACGCCGCCTATGGAATTGATCCACCAGAACAATACTGCAAATGCTTCCCCAACGCCAAAGCCGGTGTCCATGTGGTAGGTATTTATGATTGCAAAAGATGAGCCACCCCCCATTTGCCTGGAGCACAACAGCATTCAAAATCATCGCCAATGACTGACTGTTTAAAGAAAAGCAGCGTTCTCGAACGCCCTCCGGATGTATTTGACCGCAAGATCTTGTCCTAAGCCTTGGGCATAGCAGGCACACAAATCGCACTGCCAGCTCTCAGCAAGTCACAATTTATCCCCTCGTTGGCCTCCCTCAGCTTGGCGACGTCAATTCCATGCATGTTGGCAATGCTCCAGCATGTCTCGCCGCGCTGAATCTGGTGTCCGTGGCTGCCAGGCCCGCAGTGTGACATGTGCTCTGACTTGGCCATCCAGCCGAGGAACCAGAAGACGCCCATCAGGAACAGTGCCAGGATGAAGAAGAAGTTCAACAGAGGCATCAGCTCCGCGCGCCAGTGCTTCTTCATGGCGTCCTCGGTCCACCTCTGATCCAGGTTGTTGCGTGCGGTCTCGTGATCGAGAAAGGGCTGTGCCGCCTCGGTCTCGTCGTAGGGCGGCGGGGCGTCGGCGTCGCCAGCCTCGACGTCGATGTTTTCGAGGTTTGAAGGGGGCTTGGGGGCGTCGGCGACCTTGGTCATATGACCGTAACGCGAGCCTGGTGGGCCCTCCCAAAGACTGCCGTCTGCATCGCGGAAGGTGTAGACTTGGGTGTCAGCGTCATAGCCGACACGGACCATGCCTTCGGGCAGGCGTTCCTCGTCGGTGTCGAGCTCTGTGTAGCGGGAGGGCATCGTGGGTTAGTCTGCAGGCGGGTCTTTGTGCTGTTTTGCTTTTATGATTATGTCGATTGAAGGTTGGGTCTGAGTCTGAGTCTGAGCGTGGTGGTGTTGAGGTGGATGTTGTTGTTGAAGGATGAGATGAACAAACAGCGAAGAGAGGCGACTGCGTGGAGGAAAAGGAGGTGTCGACGTGACGTGACGTCGGGTTGGGGGAGCGGGTGGAGCGTTTCAGTTGGGGTCTGCGCCACGACCGACCAACCGACCGGTGCTGCCAGCTGGACGGGCATGACAAAGGAGCCGTTGATTAGTGGACATTGCGTTATGCAGCAAGCACAATCCAAATGACTGGATGTGTGTAGTCTGAAGACTATGCTGTTGCGTCATTGCTGGACTTCTGTGTTCCCTCTCCGTAAGTACACACAGTTAGTACTATGGACTGCTCACCTCACCAGTGACGCATTTCCACCGTTGGACAGCGCCAGCATGGTCATAGAGTTGTTGATGACTGGTTTCTGTGCCAGACAGTGTGGTTCAAATCCACTCGCAGGGCTGCAAAGAAGCAATTGTTGTGGACCGATTGATGCTGATGGATTCATGGCTTGATGGCTTGATCTCGGATGGTTTCCCCTTCCATGACTTCTTCGAACCTTGGGCTGATGATGGGCTGATGGATCAACAGAGCAACAGAATTGTGGATGGCCACAGGGCCATCATTCTGCAGGCGATGAAGCTGCCTCATGCCCGAGTTTCGGCTCATGTGTTGTGACTTGCATCTGTTCTGAGTTTCACATATTTCAATCTGAATTTCTCCAAGGTTCGATGAGCCTGAACCATGAGAGGAATCCCGTGCCGTGCTCCACTAACACGGTCCCGTACAATGCCCAGCTAGCTCTGTTAGCAGCCAGCGCACACGGTCTAGTCTTAGATGCTGTGTTGTTTCTGCCACCTCTCGGCCGACATGACAGATGGGGAAGATGCCGTGTCCAGTGACAGGCCCCCAGACAAGAAGGAAACGGTGGGCTCTGAAACGGGATGATGATGCATGCTGCAGTAGGCTGTTGCTCCTGCTTTCCTTTGATCGCTCACCAGGCAGGGATCAAGCTGCAGTGCCTTACGTATGCTCTGCTCCCTGCTGGTCTGGGCTTTGGCTGGGCATTTACTGGGCCTGGGCTGCCTGTGGGCTGGCAAACAAAAACAGCTTCACTCAGTGCTTGGGCATCAGGTTCAGGTTCAGGTTCAGTCAGGTTGACGTCCCAGGTTGCACACGCCCATGCCTTCTGTCGCCCCGCCCACTGTATCAAAATTCGGTCTTCACCCTCATGTCGCCCCAACCCAACCCATTTTACCACCTCTAGGATCGAAGAGGCAGCAAAGGAAACGCTGCAGGTACCTTGAAAGCGGCGGAGAGAACAGAGGTCAAGGTCCAAGGGTGGAAGGTTGAAGGTCAAGAAGAAAAGGTCGACCAAGGCCCACGTCCCACAAAAAGGCTGAATAGGTCCCTGGATTAGGATTCGACGGCCGACTTTGCCTTGGCCATCGCCATCGCCTTCCCTACTCCTCTACCTGGAGTCTACCACGTCCACCACCGCCAGCCCAGCCACAGGAAAAGGACTGGTCAGCCGCCATGCTGGATGACAAGGAAATTGACGACGCAGCCAATCGGCTGGCCGATTATCGAAGGAACGACGCCTTAAACGACATCCTGGCCCACTATGAGACCCTTCTGAGCGACTACAAACGCCTCAAGAGCGACTATGAGGAGGAGCGAGAGGCTCGAGAACGCTGGAAGCGGCAGGCTCGTGGCCAGGAACGCAACCCTTTCGTCCTGGTCCTTGTCGACGCCGACGGTTATGTTTTCAATGATGAATGTGAGTGCGATCTATCCACTCACCCTGCGGCATCCACGGCTCCCGAGTTCGCTAATCTTTGTGTGTAGTGATTGCGGCCGGCCAAGACGGCGGCACTCAAGCTGCTCAGCTGCTCAATCAGACCATCAAGGCTAGCCAGGCAAAGAAGGGACTGGAAAACTGCGAGACCATGATTCGCGTCTATGCCAACGTCGCCGGCTTGTCCAAGGCCCTCGCCAAGTGTGGTCTCTTGGGTGCCGAAAAACGCTCGCTTGCCCCCTTTATTGCAAATTTCAACAGATCCTACGGCCTGACTGACTTCGTCGACGCCGGAGAATTCAAAGAAAATGCCGATTTCAAGCTTCGTGAGATGCTCAGGCTCTATGCCGAAAACGCGCAGTGCAAACACATTTATTTTGCCGCCTGCCACGATGCCGGATACCTCTCGCAGCTTACCGCCTATCGAGGTCAAAGAGACCGCTTTACCCTTATCAGAACCTCTGGCCTTCATTTCCACGACGAGTTCACAAAGCTTGGTATGGACATCGAAGAGCTGCCCGGTGTCTTCCGGCCTACGGGTTCCGCCTTAGATGCCTTGTACTCCAAGCCACTCCAGTCGGTAGGAAAACCTAACACGTCTTCGTCTCCAGCAAGGAGTCAACCCACAGAGTCGAGAGAGATATGTGCCTTCTACTCAGTCGGCAGATGCAAGTATGGCGAGAATTGCAAGAACCTCCATGTTGGCCCCACATCCTCGACTCTTCCTCTACGGCCCTCCAAGCTGAGTCGATCTTCTTGGCGGAATGGAAATGAAGCGTGTGATACCTTCGACTATCCCTTGCCTTCTACGACACACGTCGCTTCCAACCGAAGCTACCTAAAGCAATCCGACGTCTTTGCCCAGCTGCCGAAGAGGGATGAGATACCAGACGGTCATGTTGCCGTCAATAGATCCCAGCAGCGACTAGACGCTTACATTCCCGCCCCAACGCCTGAATCAGAGGCCCGCCTTAAGCTAAGGTCCTCCGTACGACGGCTCTGCAACACCAAACATCTAACTGGGTCTTGCACTAATCCGCACTGCGAGTACGACCACAACCCGCTCGACGAGGACCTCGTCCCTACCCTCGAGTGGCTTGCCAGGTCCCTACCCTGTCCCCGCCGTGATAAGTGTCGCAACGCGGCTTGCACCGCGGGCCATCTCTGCCAAAAGCTGGACTGTAAGAACCGCGGCGGCAAGGCCTTTTGCAGGATTCCCTGGAGCATGCACTTTGATGACCTTGTTGTCGATCGATATGTGCCCGCGATTTCGCACCGGCAAACGTTCTCATCGTTTGAGCAGTCTATCACGCCTCCGCCATTCAATATCGCAAACGGAGACGGAGACGGAGACGAAGCCGAGTACGCAGATGAAGATGAGGAAGAAGAAATCCCTAGCCCTGACGGCGGCATATCTGTAGGTACATAGCGGTACTCTCATATGGAACGGATCGGTCAGCAGCGCTGTGATCAATATATTACATGAGATGGGCTCAGGCCTGGTGTTGGATAATCCTACACGGGTTTATCACTTGATCATGGTCAGACTGTCTGGAAAAAATGTCGTCCGGCGAGAAGACTTCTGGATGAGTCCCAGAATATCCTGGAAGGATAGCTATATCCTTCCTATCTTTAAAATCTTGGTCCGACAAGAATGAAAAAAGGACATGTTGTAAACTGGACGGAGTGAAACCTAGGCGCTTGGAATGAAGAAGGAAGACAGCGAGAGAAAAAAGATAACCTGATGGAGAGATATGTTGACTGACGATTGGGCTCGGTCTTCTGGATTAAGAGAGTCTGGGTTCCGCCACCGCGAGAGTATGATCGGAACTCGAGGCGCGCTGGGCATAGATTGCTCTCGCACATAATGAGAATTGGGACACTTGACAGGACTTGTGTGTTACTATTAGCGTTGATAAAAAAAGAGAGCGAAGAAAGAGGTGTGAATCAGTGGAAGTCATTAGGTGGGATTTAAAAGGATAAGTGTTACACCTATCGAGCAATCCTCTTGGTCAAGTGGCCCAAGTTTATTTGTCTGTCAACAATGGGGCGATATAAAGCGATTTCAGAGACCTCGGTTTCGTGGCTGGTTATAAAGGCAACGCAGTGCTCAGATTGAATTATGACTGCTGTCTTATTTCGATCACTGATGTCGTGGTCAGGTCGAACAATACCGCCCTTATCTGGATGGACGGTCTTTTCATAATCGATGTGAACGTGCTGCTTCCCATCGCGAGTGTATGTCGTAACTTCGTCGCCAGCCCTCAGTGTTTTCTAATCAAGCTTGTCGATATGCAAACCCACGTCTTGCCTGGACAGCACCACCGCGCCTGGCCCACTCCTCAATTCATTCCTTCCTATCTCGAGCTCATACACCAGTCTCCATTTGGAGCATGAGCCTGCGGTACGGTCCCTCTTTCCGGCCTAAAATGGCGCCAAACCATCGATTTGGCAATCTTCGAATCCTGCTCCGATCCAGTGACCTAGGTCATCCACCTTAATGTCGTCGCTCTTGACTGAGTAGATCGGTCCGTCAGCGAGGTCGCCATAAGCGCGGAACCCTGGAATTATCTTCATTCCCGTTTGCATGCACAGTTTCCGGTATGTCGTCAATTCATTCACGGCTGTTTTAATGTCGCTCCCCAGACGAAATGTAGTACTGTACGTATCCTCCTCTGGTACAAAAGTACGACTGAAACCTTCTCGCTTTCTCATCCACTGAACAAACTTCTTCCTCCAGAGGTTCATGAAGATGATGGTTAATTGCTGGAAATGGGGAAAGAACTCCAAAATATAATGGCGTCTGCCGGGAGTCTCCAGGAATCTAAACTTCACGGCGAGTGGCTCACGAAGCTCGCAGGAGGTGGTCCAAGGACTATCCCCATAACCTGCATCGTACCAGAATGACCGGGCTTGGTTTTCGTCAATTGCCACATGCTTTACGTGCTCAAGGCCATCCAGGTGGCCGAGGGCCCATCTATGTAGATCCAGATCCCAAGACTTGTCGAAGCCGAGGACATCTAGATCGGAGTTCCACCAAATTCCAGTGTCGTGAATGTTGCCGCGATGACGAAAGACGAATGAACCGTGCTGCAGCGCAACGCCACGGGATTCCCTGCAGATTTGTAGGATCTTTGGGATCTCTAACTCAAAGTCGTTGTCATAGCGAAAATTCCAGTCATGGACTCTGATGAACCATTCGCCTTGGCAGCCCTTGACATCTCTGGAGCTGCTCTCACGGTGACTGTTTACAACATGTCTAAACCCTGCCCTGGCTCGCAACGCCCGCTTGCCAGGAAGAATCAGCTCCCAGATCATGATGCGCAGCTCCAGCGGCAGGCGAAACAAACATGTTCGGCCTTGCGCCACTGTGCCCTGAGCCGCGAGTTCTTGGTTGGTGTTAGGCGGTCCTGGGCCGTCGAGATGGTGGTCGATGTAGACAAGGGTCCAGTTGGGGCGGTTGCCGTTCTTGTTCGGTTCATCTTTAGTGGGATAAAGGGTCGGCTTGTCCAGCTCGTGGTCGATGTAGACGATGCTCAGGTTGTGGGACTTCTTGGGAACAGCGTCGGGGCTGGCTTTGGTGCCGCCCTCGTTTGCGTTGGTGATCGAAGCCATGTTCGACTGGTCGCTACGACTGGCTGAAATCGATCAACAGAATTGATATTGGCGAGTGAAAGCTACAAGTAGCTAAGGACTCAGATTGTTCAATATCTCGAGGCTGTTTGTTGTTCGAGGCTGGAGCACCTGCACCGCGACTTCTGGACGCTTTGTGAGCTTGATGGTCAGTGGCGAATCCAAACGAAGCAGCGAAAAGTTGCAAGTAGTATGTAACCGAGATTCAGGGAGAAAATCAAGCATTGTTTGCTTAAGAAATCAGTTTCTGGCTGTGTCAGGAAGAATCTTGAACTTACGAGCAGCAGTTACTGTGATTTTCCAAGTTTTGCTATGGAAAGTTGGCGAGATGTACTGCTTGCAGGCGCAAGACACTTTATTAGTGAACACCTGGGCGCTAAAGTGAATTTCTGGAGCTGATTATGTGGAACGTGGAAAACAGGCAGTCTACGGTACAGATCATCAACATGATATGAAGTAACTGTACTGCAAGTGGACTTAAAGCTTTCATTCCAATAAGAAGCTAGTTCTTGTTTCCAAACTAGAAACTTGGCCTATCCCCCCTCATGATCAAAAAGTCAATACTCTTTTCGGTGACCTCTTCAGCTCTCGACTGTTTTCTCCAAACTCTCACATACGTCTTTTCCAACACAATATTCGCATTCTACCCGATCAGTATCTTGCGTAGGTCATGTTCTAAGACATGATGATCACTCTCTGTGCTTTGGCGAGTGAAATTACAGAGGGTGATTAAGGAAGACATGGAAAGTTGGAAGAGGTTGGAAAGTCGATGTGGTTTTTTCGTAATTTAAGGGTGAGAAGGCTGATCTTGCCACTGGTCGCAGTGACAGTTACAGTTTAAGGTCCGTTTATGTGGTAGGAAGGAACAACAAAACAACAGAACAGCAAGATTCCAGCTGTTCTTGGTTTTTGTTGGTCACTGAAACACCAGCCAAACGGCCACAATTACTTTGTGTTCGGAACCGGAGAAAAGTTTAGATTCGGTTTCCTAGTGAATCTCTGTGTTTTCCTGTGACAAATCTGCGCTTTGTTTTGCTACCGATTCTCGAGCTTGTCGATGCCTTAAGGCTATGAGAGGTATGTTCAACAGAGACTATCCTGTATTTGACTACATGATCAATCTGTTCGGGTGTTTGTGGCTTTGTGTTAAGGTTCCCTGAGGATCTAACTACCAAGGGTGAAGACTGATGAAGCTGCTCGAATGTGTCTTTTAAATTTTTGAGCAAAGATTTCTGAGCAGACGCGATCATCTATAGCAATTGCCAATTTAGTCAACGCACAAATGAAACAAAACATCGAGGCGCATCCTTCTCCAACCACCAATCAGAAGGACGGGCTTTTTTGCATCCCAAGCTATCATTCTTCCTCCTTTCTCCACCAGCCAACGGCTGTGTCAAAATGGTCCCTCTCAATGAGAAGTTGCTCTTGAAACACTTCTCCACTATAGAAGACCACCAAGCAAGATGAGTATCAAGGCTGGAAGTGCAGACAGCGCCACTGACACACATCAGGTACGCAATTTTCGAAATCCATCGCTACCGGCGTTATCCTTTCATTATTCATCTGAAATACGGATAGAAAAAAAAAATGTTGAGTTCCACTAGGCTCTTCCGCCTGCCGCCAAAGCTTCGCCAGACCGATGGTCTGGAAGCTACTGCTGCCCGACCGCAAAATCGTCAAGGCGAAAAGCTGCGATGGGCAAATCGTTTCACGCCGAACCGACGACGGCCGATTCAAAACTCTCATAGCCCATCCCCTCGATTTTCACAGGCCCAGTCCCGATTCGGATGAGGTGGCTTATACAGATACCACTAGATCCTGAATGTCAGCAGCCAGGTTCTTGGCGTAACTAGCAGATCAACCTCGTGAATCCTGCCAGCAAGAAGACCGATCCCGCACGCCTTGTTCAGTACAAATCCTTTGCTGTTCATGATCTGGCTTCTTAGCGAGTGAGACTCGCTGCCTTTGAAACTTGCTTACCAACCTAAATCTGTCTCAGAAGCCCATTTTTGCAAAACTTTCCCTCAACACTCAACTGGGAAGTCTCTCTGCAATCATGAATACTTCTGACAATGAAACCGACAACAATACCGCGTCAACAATGGCGCAGGGTCAGAATGTACGGGCTCCGACCATCAACAACGCCCATCAGAACGGGATTGCCCCTGAAAAGCCGATAATGGAGCCCATAGCCATTTGCGGCATGGCAATGAGGCTTCCTGGCGGCATCAAAGACGCTGCCGGTTTCTGGGATATGCTCTACAACGGACGTAGTGGCCGCTGTGAAGTACCCAAGCACCGTTACAATGCCGATGCCTGGTACGGACCCGGCAAGCTCGGTCACATACCCAGCAAGTACGGCTACTTCCTTGACGATATTGACCTAGGCAATACAGACTCATCCTTTTGGTCGATGACGAAGCAAGAGATCGAGGCCATGGATCCTCAGCAAAGGCTGACTCTGGAAGTCGTCTATGAATGCCTACAAAGTGCCGGGCAGAAGCCCAACGAGCTTCGAGGCCGGAAAATCGGTGTATACGTAGGCACATTTGAGGGTGATTGGATGGAACTAGATGGCCGTGATACCCAACATTATCACATGTACCGCCTAACGGGATATGGCGATTATATGTCCGCTAACCGAATTCATTACGAATTCGGATTCATGGGTCCCAGGTGTGTTTTTTCTACTGGTAGCTTTTGGCATTGAATCGTATGGTTGAGGAGTCTGTGAGAAGCTTACACTATGTAACAGTGTGACAGTCAGGACTGCGTGCTCTTCTTCACTCACCGCCCTTCACGATGCTTGTCAGGCTATATATTCTGGAGAGTGTGAGTCCGCGGTCGTGGCATGCGCCAATATTATCTACTCGCCCCGGACCACTTTCACAATGCACGAGCAGGGAGTGCTCTCTCCCAGTGCACTCTGCCAGACCTTCGATGCCAACGCAGACGGTTACGCCCGCGGAGAGGCCGTGTCTGCTGTCTATGTGAAGAAGTTGAGCGATGCTATTAGGGACGGGGACCCGGTAAGGTCTGTCATCCGTTCGACATGCATCAACGCTGGGGGCAGATCTTCGACTCTCACTGCGCCAAACACGGCCGCCCACGAGGCTTTGATTAGACGCGGCCACGAGCTTGCAGGCATCTCGGATCTCTCCAAGACTGCTATGGTGGAGTGTCATGGCACTGGAACAGCGGTATGTGGCACTGCTGTTGGATTTTGTCGATTTCATTTCTGGCTATTTGGCTAACAATGAGACCGTGCTAGGTCGGCGATCCTATCGAAGCGCTTGCGGTAGCCAATGTCTTTGGAGACCACGGAATATACATAGGATCGGTAACATACGAACCCCCGTATTATTGTAGGGCACTGAGCAGGCGCTGATCGCTCTCACAGGTGAAAACGAATTTGGGCCACAGCGAGGGCGCTTCAGGACTGTCGAGTTTGTTAAAGATGTCCTTGGCGTTGGAGAATCAGACCATCCCACCGAATCTGAATTTCAGAACGCCAAATCCTAAGAGTGAGAGATCCATCACATCGGCTGGTGGAAGTTCCAGCAGTTCTTATAATTGTCTGCTTACCAGTTTGTAGTCCCTTTCAAAGAACGCAAGCTCACGGTCCCTACCGAACCCCTACCCTGGCCTGAAGATCGTGACTACACCGTCGCGGTGAACAGCTTCGGGATCGGGGGCTCAAATGCCCATGTAAATGACCAACATTGATATTTCCCTCACGACAGCTTGTAAGGAAAAGCTGACTTAGATGCTCACTAGGTCGTGCTCTCATCTGCGACATCATTTGGCGTCGAGAAAAATCTACACAACAACTCAGACGTCATTGACCCGAGGACTAACCCCTATCTTCTACTATTTTCAGCCAAGCATCCAAAGGCGTTGAAGAAAATGGTTGATGATCATCAGGCCTATCACGTCTCGAATCCTTCGCGCCTTGCAGATATGAGCTACTCGTTGGGCTTGAAGCGGGAAGCATTGAACCATCGAGCTTTCGTCATCACAGATGGAGCTAATGACTGGAGCCCTGTGTACTCATCACGGCCTCTTCCGCGTGAGCCGCCCAAGATAGTCTTTGTCTTTGGGGGTCAAGGGGCCCAGTGGGCCGAAATGGGCAAGGAACTGATCATGAATGTCCCCAAATTCCGGGCTAGTCTTGAAGCCATGGATGATATCTTGCATAGGCTTCCAGATGGACCAACATGGAATTTAATCGGTGAGCAAAGAGGCCCCTAATCTGCCTAATCGAACACATTGATGTATGTTAATTTCGTGGCAGATGAGATGTTGGCCGCCAATAAGACTAGTCGTATCAACCAGGCAGAATTGTCGCAGCCTTGTAGTACAGCCATCCAGGTGGCGCTCGTCCAGCTCCTCGAGCACTACGGCGTACGACCCGACATGGTTGTCGGGCATTCCAGCGGCGAAATTGCTGCGGCATACTCCTGCGGCTCGATCTCAGCAAGTGATGCGATCGCGGTGGCCTACTATCGCGGGAAAGTCATGTTGGAAGAAGCCGGCAACACTAAGGCAACGCCGGGTCGAATGGCTGCAATCGGCCTTGGACCGGATCAGGTCCAGCCATATCTGGCAAAGGGAGTGTTGATCGGCTGTGAGAACAGTCCCGAAAGCACGACTATCACTGGTGACCAGGATGCAGTCGAGAGAGCTATGCAGACAATAAAGGACGCAAACCCAGATGTATTCGTCCGTGCCCTTCGAGTTGACAGGGCCTACCACTCGCGTATGTATCTGACAGTTTTCCACATCCTTCCTCGATTTCTGGCAGTGTGCCAAGTCACTCACTGGACGCTTGTGATCTTTTCTTGTGCAAGTCATACTCAGAATGGATACTGAATTATTTGCACTCAGATCATATGCAGGAACTAGCATCGCGATATCTGCACCTCATGCCCGACGTCAGCACTCCAAAAGACCCGCAGACAGCGTTCTATTCCAGCGTGACTTGTCAAAAGATATGCAGTGGTGCCGAGCTCGGTACGCAGTATTGGGTAGACAACCTTACCTCGCCAGTACGGTTCTCTACTGCGGTCAATAAAATTCTGCTCGAGCCAGAACGCAAGACTTTTGTCGAGATAGGGCCACACGCATCGCTGGCTGGTCCTATACGACAGATCTTCAAAGCCGCCAGCACAAAAAATGCCGATTACACGAGTATATTAACACGGGGCCAAGACTCACATGCCAGCCTTCTCAAAGCCTTAGGGGAGCTCTGGTCGGGGAACCATGGTTTGGATCTCAGCGCTATTTTCGGCACATGTGGTACCTTTTTGACAGACCTGCCGCTGTATCCGTGGCATTATGAGGAGACACTTTGGAATGAAAGCCGTCTGGCCCGCGAGTGGCGTCTCCGCGAGTTTCCGCACCACGACATCCTGGGTTCGCGAGTCTTGGAGAGCACCGACCACACTCCCACCTGGCGCAACCTGCTCCGCCTGGATGTGGTGCCTTGGATCAAGGACCATGAGATATCCGGCGAAATTGTCTTCCCTGGTGTCGGATACATCGCTATGGCCGGCGAAGCAATTCGGCAGCTCACGGGCACCAGCGACTTCACCGCGCGGCGAGTCCATATTAAAGCAGCCATGATCTTGAAACAGGACACATCGGCTCTCGAGGTGGTCACTCAACTGCAGAAGATACCACTGACGAGTTCTTATGAGTCGGAATGGTACAGTTTCAGTATTTCCAGCCATCAGAATGGCGGCTGGCTGAAGCACGCGTCGGGAGAGGTCCGCGCAAATCAATGGCTAGAGCGAGAGCCTGCCGTGCCAGACCTCACCCCTCTTCCTCGCCTCGTATCGACCAAAGCTTGGTACAGAAAATTCCGGTCCATGGGTATCGAATATGGACCGCGATTCGTCGGCCTCAAGGACATCTCTGTTGACACACAGGAGCCCCAACTCGTTGCGAGCGTGACCAATCACGTCGGCGATGGAGAGTCGCCTTACGCAATACACCCTGCCACGCTTGATTGTGTTCTGCAAGCCGTGGCACCGGCTGTGAGCTGCGGACTCACACGACGAATGAAAGCCGTTGGGATTCCGTCATACATCGAGGAGATATACATTTGCCCACCCGCATCGCCCGAGATGACTATGCACGTTATAGCATCAGAGTCGCCGAGAAACGCGTACACTGGGGACGCGACAGTGGTCTCAAATGGGGAGATGGTTGCACGGCTGAAAGGAGTACAAATGTCTTTCATTGGTGACTCTGGTAACGATACCGAGGAAGACTTGCATGCAGCTGTTGAGCTCGAGTGGAAGGAAGCTATCAACTTCATGGATTCCGCGCCTCTGATACGTCAGGCCAAGGACAGACGAGAAGTCCATGCCCTTCTGGACAAATTTTCAGCTATATGCATGCTGGAGACAAATCACCGTCTTTCAGGGGCCATTCCAACCCAAGTCCATTTTGAGAAGTATCGCGACTGGCTGAATAGTGTCGCAGCCGAAATCGAGGCTCGAACATGTTTAAGCCCGGAAGAAGACGAGAGAATAGTTAACATGGACTCCGACTCGCGTGAGAATACCATTGCTTCACTACATGCCCAGCTCATGCGAACAGAGGCACACGCTGCAGCTGAAGCGATTTACAGGATCACAAAAGACTGCGTCTCCATCTTCGAGGGCAACACCGACGTGCTAGCCCTGCTACTAGATGGTAACTTGCTGCACGAGCTCTATGACTTCATGCAGAACTCGGACTACACAGCATTCCTCGACCTTGTGGCCCATCAGAAGCCCAGCCTCAAGGTCCTGGAGATAGGTGCCGGCACTGGGGGTACTACAGCTACTGTCTTGCCTGCCTTCCAGTCCGCTTATGGCGAACGTATGTATTCTTCGTATACGTACACTGATGTATCTGCAGGCTTCTTTCCAGGGGGCAGAGAGCGGTTCAAGGGCTATGCCAGTATCGATTACGCGATCCTTGATATTTCTAAGGACCCGTTGGGGCAGGGCTTCGAGCCTGAAAGCTTCGACTTCATTATTGCTTGTAATGTGGGTTTCCCATCTTTTTAGGAGAATTCAAATCTATCTCGCGCTTGTTGTTGATAGAGACTGGTGCGCTTTGCTAAATTGTCACATCGCAGGTCCTTCATGCCACGCCCGTCATTAACGAAACGTTGTCGCATGTTCGCAAGCTATTGCATCCCCGTGGCAGACTCTTTTTACAGGAGCTGTGCCCCAGTGAGTCCAAATCCCCTCTGAACTAGGAGGTGAACGAGAAGCATCACAGGATCCGCTGACCAGCGACAGGGACCAAATGGATCAACATGGTCATGGGTGTCCTCCCGGGCTGGTGGCTTGGATCAGAGGACGGGCGCCTCACGGAACCGTACATCAGCAGTGAGCGCTGGGACGCAGAGCTCCGCCGGGCTGGATTTGCAGGTGCAGAAACCGTGGCATATGACGGCTACCTGAACAACAATATCATCGCCATGCCGGCCGAGATCGAGGTCCATTCAAAACGTGTGACACTGCTACATATTGGCCATACACCCGGGTCGGAGCTCGACGTCCTTATTTCTGAGCTCCATAGCGCCGGGTTCAGCGTTGATATGCACCCCTTTGGCAGTCTTGATGCCCTACCGCCCAAACAAGATGTGATCGCAGCACTTGATATCACGCGGCCTTTTTTCCACGACCTCACGGAGGAGCAGCTCGCACAGTTCCAGGGCCTGCTCAGGCAGGCGAGTGGCGGACAGTGCGGTGTGCTTTGGGTCACAGGCACGAGCCAGGTCGCCTGTGTCGATCCGCGCTATGCACCTGCCATCGGCGTAGCCCGCGTGCTACGGACCGAGACGAACATTGACATCGCAACACTGGAGCTGGAAGACTTCGTGCAAGGACTTTCGTTCGTGCCCAAAGTCCTGGCCGAGTTCCAGCGCCGGTCTGGAGGGCAGGAGGCTGGGTCCGTGAGCCCCGAGGCTGAATGGGCCGTGGCTGGCGGGAAATTACTCATTGGCCGATATCATTTTGTCAAGGTTCCAGAGCAGCTCAAAGGTGGCGCGTCTGAAGGGGCAGAAAGCTCTCTGAGGGTCATCAAGAAGCTGGAGCAGCACCGAGCCGGTCTTGCCAGCACATTGTTTTGGAAGGAGACACCGCAACCAAGATTGTGTGCCAATATGGTGAGGGTGAAGGTAATGGCTGTTGGGATGAATTTCAAGGTGAGAAGAATGCACTCTTACGAGTCCACCGTATTTATCGCAGCTAGAGGTTGAAGCTGACACAAAACAACCAGGACGTGCTCATCTCAGTGGGAGTTGTCGCCGAGCCATCCGCAATAGGAAGAGGCTTGGGCTGCGAGTGCAGCGGTGTCATTACGGACATAGGGCCCGGCGTGTCCAAGCACCGCGTGGGCGATCGCGTGGTTGTATGCTCCAGTGGATCATTCACTACAAGCATGGACGTCTCCGAGCACCTTTGCGTCACCGCCCCAGACACCATGACATTCGAGCAAGCTGCCAGCATGCCCGTAGTATACAGTACGGCCATATACTGTCTACTTGATGCTGCAAGACTAGCTAAAGGGATGGTGAGCAAGGCCCTACAGTATGCGGATGAAAAACGGTGCCGAAAAATACTGACAGTGTGATCATGTTCAGTCCGTTCTGATCCATTCGGCAGCTGGTGGTGTAGGAATCGCAGCAATTCAGATTGCTCAGATGGTTGGTGCTGAGGCAAGCAAATTCCCTCTCTGCGCGCTCTTGGGTTCTTTGAAGCTTACATTAAAATCTGCGCAGATCTACTGCACGGTAGGCACCCAAGAGAAGATCGACTTCCTCACGGCCAGGTTTGGGATCCCGCGTCATAAAATTTTCAACTCACGCGATACCAGCTTCCTGGACGGGGTCAAACAAGTGACTAGAGGCAGAGGTGTCGACGTCGTTTTGAATGCTCTATCTGGTGAACTTCTACATGCCTCGTGGAACTGCGTTGCCGAGTGCGGAACGTTTGTCGAGATTGGGCGCCGTGACTTCGTGGGCCACGGGAAGCTGGCGATGGAGGGATTCTTGTCGAACCGGACGTTCGTGGGCTTTGACTTGTCGCATCTCGGCGAGGAGCGACCCCTTATTGCAGGAAGGTGAGCCAGAATTTTCTCAGGGGCTCTCAAGTTCTTCTCAAGCACCTGCCCTGACCAGGTGTTTGCTTTGATTGGTTATACTTACGAAGTGCGCAGCCTCTTACGCCGCGCCGTTGAGTTCTATCAACAGGGCTTTATCGAGCCAATCTACCCCTTGAAGACGCTCAGTGCCTGTACGATCTCAGAGCCAATTCGGAATATGCAGAAGGGGGACCACATAGGAAAACTGGTTGTGAGCATGCCACATGATCACAAGGATCTCCCGTCGGAGACAGGGTATGATGAGTTGTGCCTTCGGAGCGATGGCGCATACCTCTTTGTGGGTGGCCTGGGCGGCCTGGGGCGCTCTACCACTACCTGGCTTGTCGAGAAAGGCGCAAGAAATCTTGTGCTCTTTTCGCGCTCCGCCGGGCAGCTACGTGACGACGATCCCTTTGTCCAGGAACTCCAGAGTCTGGGTTGTACAGTCACTAGGGTGTCTGGTTATGTGACTATTTACGAAGACGTCGTGCGTGCCATGAAAGCAGCGGGCAAACCTATTATTGGCATTTTGCAAGCATCAATGGTTTTGCAGGTGAGCTTGAATGAGAGTAGTGTCCCTTATCCTGTTCAGGACTCTAAAGCATGTTACAGGACTCAAGCCTCGACGACATGTCGTGGGCCCAGTGGATCGCAGCATCTCGGCCCAAGATCCAGGGAACATGGAACCTGCATAACGCCCTCCTACACGAGCAGGAAGACCAGCCGGTGGAGCACTTCCTTCTCTTTAGCTCCCTGGGCGCGATGACAGGCCAATGGGGTCAGGCAAACTACAACGCGGGAAACAGCTTTTTGGACGCCTTCGTCTCGTTCCGCCACTCACTCGGCCTATCCGCCAGCGTCATTAATATCGGCGTCGTAGGCGACGTTGGCTACGTAAGTGAACACCCCTCCGTGCTGGATTCCCTAAGGGCCACGGGGCAGTATATCATGAGGGAGCCGGAGCTGCTGGACTGCCTGGAGCTCACGCTCAAGCGGTCGGGGCCAGCACCATACGACACGGCGGCACGACAAGACCGTGACAAGAAACAATTATCGGGTCCTGGGACCTTTCGCTACGTCCAACCCTCGCAACTCGGGACTGGCTTGCGCTCGCTGCTGCCCATCACGGCGCCCAATAACCGGACGCCGTGGCGTAGAGACCCGCGCATGCTCGTCTACCGCAACGTGGAGCAGGGCGCCGGCGCCGACGCCACCTCAACGGATCCCGCATCCTCGACCGAGAAGGAGCTGAGCAAGTTCCTCCGTGACATCGCGTCCAACATGGCGCTGCTGAAGTCGGACGAGGCGGCAACCCTGCTCGCGCGCGAGATCGGCAGGACCCTGCTGGGGTTTATGATGCGAGCCGAGGGGGAGCTTGATCTCAATGCGTCGCTGGGAGCTATTGGCATCGACTCTTTGGTCAGCATTGAGCTGAAGAATTGGATACGGAGGAGGTTGGGCGCGGAGGTGACGGTGCTTGAGATTGTGCGTGCGGACAGCCTGGTTCAAGTTGGTGAGATTGTTCGGGGAAAGTTGATTGAGAAGTATCAGGCCAGACGATGATCAGATCCGGGATCAGTGTCGATGAAAAGGTTATCTACCTCTTCAACAACAGATAATTCTTGAAGCATCGCAATTTGAAACACCGCAAAATGCTGTGCCACCGTAACAAAACTACGGCGTTATTTCTAGGATGAAAATGGGTCGTCGATGGCAACCAGAGTCTCAGGTTTCATTTCACAAAAGCCACATAGAGCTACATCACAAAAGATGAAGCCATAAATCTTGCTCCAGGTTGCTCTTATACCTCTCATAAAATGGAAGGCGTACGAATTTGAAGGGTTTCTGACCAGAATAATGCAGATTCTTGTTTCCAATAAAAGCAGAAACTTCTGGTAGTAGTCTCAAAGCATGTCCGAATGGGTCGCCCGTAAGCAGGCTCGGGTGACCGGCTTTTTCCGCGACCGGAGTAGACATCATAAGATATCAAATTGATCAAAAGTGCAACAGGGCTTTCGGAATTCAGTCCGGTACATGTCAATTTGCGCTTCTAGCGGTGTGCGTTCGCCTTCGAACTTTGGTGTGGATGATGACTTGGTGATAGGTTCAACTAGCACTCTCTGCAAGCCACATTGAGACAGCACGGCCTAGAATGTGATAGAATATAGATAAATGTGATGGGCCAAATCTGGTTCTCTTCGCTCGCCTTAAAAACTGCGCTTACTTGATGCGTTCAATGGTATGTAGGGTTCAAGGTCGCTCAGTCGCAAGCATCCCATCAATTCCGATATTATTGCACATCCATTCGCTGGAACAGCTGTATATGCATGCAGTCTGAAACAGATTCTGGAGCTGAAAGCTGAATTACCTAATTGGATCTGTGCGTGGGCTTGCATCGTCTTCACTGTGGAATCCTGATAGGCCAAGTTTCTTGTACCACGATGGCAACACATTCTTGTCGGGCTGGTTAAGACCGGTTGACTATGTGCAGGATTGACAAGTCGGGAAATTCCGTGAGGAGACTGCTAGATACATGCTTGGCCGGTCTGTATAAATTCATTGTATAAGCCCTACCGGCAAAAGCTTCTCAGAGTTCTGCACACCATTCACCTACTTCCTTTAATCACAAAAGTCCAAGATGCCTCATTCAACCGCAGGAACCGTGACGTCCGGTTTTATCGGGCAAGAGATCCATTCAGAGAGCACACTGCCGCTCTTGAGCTTTCTCATCGGGTGCAGGTTCAGCGACGATCCTCTCTCCAAGATCTTCAGCGATGTCAAGTCCCAGATAGGAGAGGCAGATCGCCCTATCCCAGATGAGAGTGAGCAATTGAAGACGAGCCTCATCAACCTCATCGACAATGGCCCAGGAGGAAAAGTTCCAGGGCGCCCCACGGTAAGTGCTCTATCCGTCCTAGAGTTTTGTTTGCCTTGACTGACCACCTGCGAGGTCACCATCGTTGGAGCAGGAGTTTCCGGCCTCTGTGCGGGTTACGAGCTCAAGAAAGCCGGGTTCGAAGTGACCATCCTAGAAGCCTCCTCGCGAGTTGGTGGTCGGGTCAAGACGTTTCGAGAACCCTCTTTTGCTCCTGGACTTCACGGAGAGGGCGGTGCGATGAGGATCCCGGACAATCACTTCTTGCTCCACAAATATATCAACAAATTCAATCTCGCGAAACAACTCTTCGACTTTGAGATGGAGAACAAATTCATCTACATTTCCGGATATGAGAAGACGCTGACTTATCAAGACTTCAACCAACTGCTGGAGCGCAAAGACCCAGGCCTCTTGAAGCTATTCCCGGGCCTCAAGAAGGAGGAACAAGGCCAGACCTGCGACGACTTATTTACCGCGGCGGTGAAGCCTGTAGTCGATGCTTTCTGGGCCGCCTACGATGGCAAAACCACGGGCAAGGAATCTGATCCGAAAGATGTCGACGTCGATGCTATCAAGAGAGCATACAAGAAGATCACCGAGGATTACGACAAGTACTCTCTGCGGTCATATCTGACAGAAGTGGCCAAGTGGAGCGAAGATGCCATCAATCTGTATGACCTGGGAAATGCCCATGTTGTATTTGAGAATGGCTTCATTGAGTCTTTCAAAGACGCCTTCCTTTCCAGCAACAAAGGAGGCGCACAGGCTCATATGCAGCAGCTGCAGAGCGGCATGGATGCTGTGCCGAATGCATTCATTTCCAAGGACAGGGGAAAAGGTGAGGAAGAGTAGCCCAATTAGATCAAGATCATCACCCAAACTGACAGGTTTTAGATTCCTTGATTGACAACATCGTTTTTGGCGCACGTGTCCGGGAGATTGGCATTGGTGAGAAGAACAGGCCCGGGATCCCAGGGAAATCGCCTGTGACAGCCACCTACGAGATATCTTCGACCGGCTGCAAGAAGACCGTGTCATCAGACTACCTCATCCTCGCCATCCCGTACACGTCGCAGCGCTCGATCGCCAAGAGCCATGCTTTTGTCCCTAAGCAGGAGATGGCCGTCCGCGACGTCCGCTACGTCGAAGTCACCAAGATCCTCCTGCAGTACAAGGCGCGCTGGTGGGAAAATGTCTTCAGCGACGCCAAGCAGGGCCTCGACGGCGGGCTCGTGAGCGACTTGCCCATCAGGTACACCATGTTCCCCAAGACAGAACACAACGAGCAGTTTGCCAACTCCAACCGCGGCGTCATCATGGCGGCCTACACTTTCGAGCAGGACGCGACCGTCCTCGGCGCGTTGTCCCCGGAGCGCAGGATCCAGCTGGCGGCCGAGAACCTGGACCGCATCTTCCCAGAGGCCAAGTCGCTGGAGCTGCTGGAGGCCGGGGCGTCACAGGTGTTCCCGGCGGACGAGCTGGCGGGCGGCAGCGCGTTCTGCTACTTTGGGCCGACGCAGAAGTCGCAGTTCCTGGCCACGATGCAGGCGCCGGACTGGGACGAGCGCGTCTTCTTCGCGGGCGAGCAGGCCAGCTTCACGCACGGGTGGATCCAGGGCGCGTTCGAGGCTGGACTGAGGTGCGTGCAGCAGATCTGGGCTGTGGCTTCGGCGCCCAAGGTTCAGTGAGGAGGCCTGGGGTGAAGTGTGTTGATGAATCTCCCTCCCCACATTCTTTGATTCATTTATTTTGTAGCCTGAATCATTCTGCCTAAAGCGAAAGTACCTCTGCGGTAGAGCTCATCTGAGGTTCAACTTTGACAATGATATGGGGCAGAATCATACTGAGAAAGAGCCAACGTCTCATCTCGTTATTCTGGTCAGGGTTGCAGCGGGCGGCTGAGACGGTGAGCCGTTGCCATGAACTATTGGGTGTCTTAGACAAATCCTCACCAACTGCATGTGATGGAGACGCCTTGTGGGGACACACGATCGAATCGCAGGGGCCAAGCTGTGGGAGAGATGCCGTTGACGAGGGGCCCCTGCGCTCATTGCGGGCCGTAGAGGCGGGCCTAGTGGGTCAGGCATGTACCGAAGTAGCCAAGTTTCCAAGGTACCTAGGTACCCTGTCACGCCTGTGCCCTTCTTTTCCAACACCCACACGGCTGGCGGCGTGAATCGCTTCCTCTTGTAGACGTCAGATCCACCCGAGGGTTCGCTCGTCCCTGTTTCGAATTAAGCTGTCCTGTCCTGTCCAATGTTGTGCTGTTGACTAGCACCATTCCGGCCCTTCTATGGCCATCTCTTCTTCTTGACCACCTTCTTGCCAGCCTGCTGTCGACAGCGTGGATGGGCATGATACACGAGAGCAGTCTGCGAAACTGCACGTCGTGAGACCCGGCGCATAGCAAGCAACACGCAGTCAGTAAGTCTCACTGCCACGACGTTCATTCCCGGTCCACTCAGCTGCACCGCATCACGTCTGACAGTACTACAGTTGCAGCCGCGCTCCGATCCACCAAATCACCCCAGCCCACCTTGGGCATGCGGCCATTCTCCCCGAGCTTGGCCGCCGGTCGGCTGTCGAAGCATCCCGTCTACATCGCCCTGGCCTTGGTGACCCTGCTCATCTTCCGAACATTCCTCCCGACTGTCGACTCTGGTCCTCCCTCGAGATACGCCTCCGCCCTCCGGAACATCAAGTTCAAACCGTCTGCCTTCAACTGGACGTCAGCCGAAATATTCTTCCCGCCCACGACTCCTCTCGCCCCATTGCCTACCGGCAAACCCAAGGCCTTCCCTCACGTACAACACAACTTCGGCTCCCAGGGCAGTGCTCAGAACAACAAGGTTGCCGAGGAGCGCAGGAAAGCCGTCAAGGATGCCTTCGTCCGCTCCTGGTCCGCGTATAAGAAGGAGGCATGGCTGATGGACGAGCTCGAGCCCGTGTCAGGCGGAGGCAAGAATACGTTTGGCGGCTGGGGAGCCACGCTCGTCGACAGCCTCGACACCATGTGGATAATGGGCCTATATGACGAATTCTACGACGCTGCCAAAGCTGCCGCCCAGCTCGACTGGTCCAAGACCTCCGAAACAGCCGCAAACATGTTTGAGACCACAATACGCCATCTGGGCGGTTTGCTTAGCGCCTACGACTTGAGCGGGACTCCTGCGTTGTTGGAAAAGGCAAAGGAGCTTGGCGACATGCTCTACATGGGCTTCGATACGCCTAACCGCATGCCAGGGTTCTGGTTCAACTTTGACGATGCCCGTAATGGTCGCCAACTGGCTGGGACACACGATCCAAGCGCGTCTCCGGCATCTTTGGCACTCGAGTTCACAAGACTTGCCCAACTGACCGGCGAAGACAAGTACTACGACGCCATTGACCGTGTGCGCGCGTTCCTGGCCCGCACCCAGGACGAGACGCAGCTCCCTGGCATGTGGCCTGTAGCCCTCAATTTCCAGCGCCAAGAAGTCGTAGGCGACAACAGCTTCACTCTCGGCGCCCTGGCCGACAGCCTGTATGAGTACTTGCCCAAGATGTTTATTCTTACAGGGGGGCTGGAACCTTCTTACGAGCAGATGTATCGCAAGTCGATGGACGTGGTTATAAAGTATATCTTGTTCAGGCCGATGCTTCCAGACCAGGACGATATACTGTTTGCAGGAAATGCGCGTGTGAAGCAGGACAGCGTTGAGACGGAACCCGAGGGCCAGCACCTAGCCTGCTTTGTCGGAGGCATGTTCTTGCTCGGAGGCAGGACGTTCGGAATCGAGCCTCACATCCGCATCGGCGAGCGTGTCACCCGTGGTTGCACCTGGGGCTACGAAGCATTCCCGACAGGCCTCCTGCCGGAATTATTTGGTCTACTGCCATGTCCTTCGCTGGCACCCTGTGACTGGGATGAAGAGAAGTGGTCCAAGCAGGGCAACCAAGCACTCAAGAAGGGGTTCAAGCATGCACGGGATACACGCTATATCTTGCGGCCGGAAGCGATCGAAAGTGTCTTCATACTGTATCGGGTCACCGGGCAGGAGGAGATCAGGGACATTGCGTGGACTATGTTTCAGAGCATCATGAGTGCCACGGAGACTCCATTGGCCAACTCTGCTATCCGGGATGTCACTGTGTCAGGGCCAACGGACAAAATGGACTCGATGGAGGTATGTGCTTCGTCGTGATACTCTCTCAAACTCAGAACCTAACCTTTGCTTAGAGCTTTTGGACAGCCGAGACGCTCAAGTACTTTTACTTGATCTTCTCACCCCCGGACGTCATCAGTTTAGATGAGTACGTTTTCAACACCGAGGCTCATCCACTGAGACGGCCAGGGTCGAAGCCTTGAACGATGGACACCGGAAATCATACAAAACGATAATTATAGCAAATGCTGTGCAAGCCGCATAGCACACTAATTGTGTCGCATCTCGATGAAGATATAAATACATAAATAACTTCTATACTCTAACCAAAGCCATTTTGACCTGCCACCTGGACCCTTTCTACATATGGCTCACTCCCACCTGGTCACGGGCAGATCCAGCCCAGCTTCAAAGGCTAGGGGCGCAAGGACGACGGGAATCTCGAGCATGGGCAACTCCGGCGAGGCGCCGGATAGGCGCCGGGTAGGATGACATGTACAGCAGTCGTCGGCTTGTTGATTGCGGTTGTCTATATCGGTACTTACGCTAGAACAGTATTGCCGACAGTGCCGCTTTGGTATACGCCATGTCTGCGTCGGTAGCATGATGCTGATTCAATACCATATCTTGGGCACACCTAAGGTCATATGATCCATATTTTACGGCCCGCTCTTGTGGCACACTGGGTCTTGTGACAGAAGCTGTCGGCTTCTCGAGTATTTCACTAAGAAGTTCGTCCACGAAATGCAACGTCTTCTTACGATTTCCATGACTTGGGTCCAAGGTGTTGGTGGCTTGGAGGACCCAGGTGGTTTTGGGTGACGTTGTGATGAGGAGTCATACCGGAGCTCTCAACATGGGTGATCATCTTGGTGCTGTTATGCGGCGTTCATTCCGTCCTATGTAGACCCCTGCTCCACCGAGGCCGAGATACTTTCGCTCCTGGGAACTAATTGAAGGCGCCGTGTTGCCCTGTTACCGAATCCGTCCTGAATCTTGTGAGAAACATGAAGCCTCGCCATCTTTGTCCACGTCGTGCTCCCTCTTCCCCTGGCCAGGCATCTCTCCATGAGCCGCGCTCTCTGTGTCCACATGCCTCATATTCTTCAATTCTTTCCTTCCCGTCATCAACAAGAACAATTCTGAAAATTTATGCTCCTCGCCGCTTCACAAAACAAGGGCAGACTACTTGTGTGCTATACAGCCGGCCGGTGCCTGTTTAAGAACTTCTGCGCTGCCACAAGAGCGCGTTCGTCTCTAATACTCCCTGTCCTATGAAGCAAAACGACATGTAAGCATACACAGATCATCATGTTGTCTTGGGGTCGTGGGCTTCTCATACATCGAACTCTTGATCGGCTCGATGACATCTGCAGCAGAACCATAACAAAAGCGCCGAGAGGGAGATCGGTAGGAGTATAGCGACGGCCATCCAGACTGGTTCGATGCCATTGCTCTCCGATGTGGTGCTTCTTTGTGATATCAAGGCGGGCATCTTAGCGATTTTCGCACGGGAACCCTTGAACAATTACGTTCTATCACACCTTTTAATGGCGAGAGCTTCACCAACTATCAATATGTCCTAATTGTATGTGACCAGTAATGACGAGCAAGACATAAGGTGCAGAAGTGCAACAAAAATGAAGAGCAGCGGAGAATGCAGGGTCTTGTGGCTCTCAGCTGGAGCCGGGAGAAGCAACAAATAAATCCAGCCCCTCGATCTCATAATGGTGTTGAGAAGGCCATACTGCAGCAACACACGACGTCGAATCAACTATCGCAGAAAGCCTTTGAAAAAGACAACCCGATTGTGTCTCATTGACCTGGTTTCGGATTGTCCCTGAGAAACGCTTTGAAACTCCACAGCTTGCATATTTCCGTGTCCAACAATCTGGATCTCCGGGCAAACAGCAACATCTACAAGCCAAATATTTGCGCATTTTCGGATTAGTTGGCAAGAAGCCACTCCCCCGACGCACAACTCTGATACATGCCTTGCTTCTCGCTGTCGGCTTCTGAAATCAGTAGGGCGAGACAAGCGATGAAGGTAGAAATACGGGTGTGAGATGGCCCCGCGGGTCACTCACAAAGTGGTAACCATACCAAAGAACGATGAATCACTTCAAGTGCTTATTACTTAGAAGCAAGTAGTCCCTTCTCCGGAAACTTGAGCGAAGAGGAAACTGAAGAGAGAAGAGCGCCTTAGTGACGACTGTTTGCATGACAGGACCTCTGATTTGATGATTCAAGTCAAGCCACATGCCGTGAGTGCAAAAGACTTCACTCAAACGAAGGGTGACTTGGGACCCATAGATGCTACGACCTAGACCGTGGAAGCTTGTGAGTGACCATGAGACTTACACGTTCCTCGGTACGGCTGCAGTGGATACGTTAGTGGCTCACCAAACCCACCGCTGACAAGACTTTCAGAGAACGCGTTTAGGTAGCTGAAACTCAATTTTGGGTGTTGGGAATGAGACTCCAAGGTCGATTTCAAGGGTCTTATAACCTAGCAGGCAATGAAGCTCACAACTAGACTAATATTGTGCGGATACTTGTGCGTAACAGTATAGTCAAATTGGTTATGATTATAGTTCCATGGAATGGAGACCTAAGTAGTAATTGATAGGCGATTTGTTTAATATACAGATTAAGTCCCCGAATGCCAATGAAATTCCTAGACGCCATCGCTCATGAAAATTGACCCAGCGCCCATCGACTAGACATCAACGCTTACATGCCACCTTTGACTTCTTCATACTGCAATTCAGGATAATCCGGGAGCTTCCAGTCTCCTGCAAAATTGTCTGACGCAAAACGTTCAATGAGCTTGTTAATGCGGAAGGTGCAGACGATTTTCAGGATGAGCTGTATGACCCACACGCCCCACTCAGACTCGGGGTAGGCGATGGCGGGAATGCCTTTCATCAGCGACTGCGCCTTTTCGACACACGGGCGAAGAACCTTGTCATAGGATGCAATAGCTGCATCCAATGCTTGTCCTGGGTCCTTGCTATTCTCGAGATGTTTGGCGATCTCGCCGCCCAGGACATAGGCTCCGATGAGGCCAAGCGAAGTCCCCTTTCCTGTCAAAGGTGAGGGCGTATAGCCGGCGTCGCCGACCAGGACGATGCGGCCCCGAGACCACTTGTCCATTTTGACCTGGCCGATTTTCTGGAAATAGAAATCATCCGCCTCTGGGGAGTTAAGCATGCCGTCTATCAGCCTGGGGGCTTCCCAGCCGACGTCCTTGAACATGTCTGCCCAGAGCTGCTTCTGCTTCTTCATGTCGCCACTCTTCAGGGCATCCTCCATAGCGTGGCCGTCCTTTTCGAGGTAGGCGAGGTAAACCTGCATAGTCCTCGGATTGTCGACTCGGGTGAATATGGCGCGGCGACCGGGGAGGTTGAGCACCTTCGCGATCATTGTGTCTTGCTCTCCCTTGGGAATGGTGAAGTAGGCGAGGAAGAGCTTTAAGAAATTGAAAGGGTCCTTTGCGTCAGGGCCCCATGCCCTCCTCCTCGTCCTAGAGCTCTGGCCGTCTGCGCCAACCACCAAGTCAAAGTCATCCTCCTTGCCGTCCGAGAATTTGACGTGCACTCCACTGCCCGTCTGCTCAAATTCTTCGACGGAGTTTCCGAAGATGTACTTGCACTTGTCCTTGGTCAGGTCGTACAGAATGCGCACCAGATCACCCCGCATGATCTCGAAGTCTGCTGTCAAGCTCTGCATCCCCTGGCCGGTCTTGTTGGCTCCGAAGAATGCCTGTCTCTGGCCTTTCTCGTTGACGAACTCGACACCCTCCTCCTCGACGCACTTGGCCCTGACTGCGGGTTCAATGCCCATCCTACGCATCACGGTCAGACCCTCGCCTCGGAGGTCTATCTGCTGGCCCGAGGCACGCAGGTTCGGCGCTCGCTCGACGATGGTGATGTCGCAGTCCACTTTTGAGAGCCAATGGCCGAGAGCAGGGCCTGTGATGCCCCCACCGACGATAAGAACCTTAAGGGGCGACATGATGAGAATTGCAGTAGTAGTAAATGGTCTGGAGATGCGTTGAATCCAAGACTTTCGAAGTCACTCGGAAGAAGTGAACACCTTAGGTTTGCCCTCGTGCTGCCGTGTCCAGTAATAGGATATTTGCCTGGTATTTATTAGCTACCGGTAACACAACAGGTAGCAGAATCTCGGATTGCTTATCCCATGGATCTTCCATGGATCGTGTGGTTAGTTGCTTGATCGGCTCAACAGCTGCAATGCTTATGGGCCGGGTCGGACATCGGAGGGTTGAGGCACCGCTGCCAACGCCGAGGCCGAGAAGCAACTCTAGACTTTAGACGGGAAGCCCTCCTGCGAAAGCCCACCACGTCACCACTCTGTACAAAAACAGAGCTAGACACAGAACAGTCCCAGTGTGCTAGCGGCCCGCGTGCCGCGAGCCGCGGAACTTGATCAATGACGGCATTGCACAGTCGCGAGATGGCAGCTTTAAGCAGAAAAAGAGTGGTGCCGTGTTAAGTAGATGTCACCGGGAAGCCCGTCAGCCCGATGCCGAGCTGCAGGTGCAAGGTAGTCTAGGAGCCGCATGCCTAGGCACCTTTCAGAACTGAAGCTCACCTCATCTAATCACATCAGGCCAGACTCGGCATTTGCATCCATAGATACACAGTTCCATCGCTGCACAGAGCGCTGAATCAAATTCTGCCATCCTTACTCCCACCCATCACCCCTTACTCTTCCTCTCTCTGGCTGTCTGTAACGTAATTACCAAAATCCCGCGTGTTAATACCTTTGGAAAACAGCTCATCTAAGTCTTTATAGCTCCGGCCACGCGTTTCAACCTGGTAAAACCACAGGTATACCAGGCTAAACACCCCAATTCCTCCGAAAATAAAGGCCGTTTTCGCACCGAGATTTGCTTTATCTGGGTTGAACAGCAGTGGGAGTGTGAATGCCCACATCACGTAGATCTATGGGTTCGCCAGCCATTCCAAGTTAGCATCATGTGATGGCTTTTCGGTTATATAAACACTGGGTATTAGACATACCAAATGCTGCGTAGCAATCCCTAAAGAGATTGTGTGACCTCGAAGTCGCGATGTAGCAACCTCGCAGAGAAGCGTGTACGCCGTGGCACCGATGGTGACGTTGAAGACAAGATTGTACAGCAGGAACATGGCAACCGTGCCCCTGATTGCAGCAGGAGTTCCGTACACTCCTAGCCCTCCACATAGCATCAAGACGATGGTGAGAAAGAAGAGCCCCCAAATTGTCAGGGTTCTGCGGCCGACTCTGTCAACCAGAACCCATGAGCACATATTGCCCACCATGCAAAGAACATACTGCACGACCATTAACTGGAAGCTGGCTTCGTCGCTGAAGCCGGCCAGCTGCATGTAATATGTGCTGTAGTAGGTGACAAAAAACACGCCACTGAGCGCTTGTATGGCAATTGGCATGATAGAGATGATGGTCCGGCGAAAGTTGGATTTACGAAAGCACTCGACATAAGATGCTCCCTCGGTCTCACTCTTCGTTTTCTCCAGCTCGTACTGGGTTTTATGCACCATCTTCGTGGCCTCTATCTCCGAATATCCGAGTCGACGAAGTGAGTGCCGGGCTTTCTCTTCGTTGCCAATGTTGATCAGCCAGACGGGCGACTCAGGCATGAAACATATAAAGAGAGCAGCAAGGCCGCCGAACCCAAATTGAGCCATGAAAACGGTTCTATAAGCCCATCTGCTGTTCAGGTGCTGTGTGTCTTCAATGATGACAGCAGCGATGAGTGGTCCAAGGTTGATGGTGAAAGCACTACAGCAAGTGAGGAATCCGCGCAGAGGCAAGGATATAATCTGTGATCCTGATCAGCGAATCGCCCTATATATGCCTAAAGTTTCCTTCATTCATTTCTTGCTTTCTTTTTCGGTCTTCTGCTTTCCCCTCTCAACCATAGAAAGCAGCACTTACTTCGCTAAAGTAAGTCATAGCCACTGACATGATGACTCCAAGGGTCATTCCATTAATGATTTTGCCAGCAAAGAAGTGTTCGTTGGTCTCGGCCGTAACCTCCAGTGTGTACCCTACGAATGATAGTGCGAGTGAGGCCATAATCATAAGTTTGCGACCATACTTGTCTGCCAAAATACCTGAGAACAGAGTTGCGATGACGCAGCTTGCGCGCGGCCCTCCTAGGAATGCAGCCTGCCAGCCGGCGCTTAAGACATAGTCTCCAGCGTATGGACGCCCAAAGTCCCTGCGAAAACGAGGCATTCCTATTACCGATCCTGTGGCCACGCTTTCAAATGAGACGACCACAAGAGTCAAGCATGCATACATACACCATCCGAAGACCTTCGGCTGCCTGCGAATTGACGCAAAGAAGCCCGACTTCTCCTCGGCTGTCTGAGCATCTGGTAAGCTGATAACCGCATGGGTAGACCTATTTCCTTTGACACTGTGTGGCTGACCAAGGTTCGAGGCATTTACGGCTGTCTCATGAGCAGTAACTTCTGCATGGCGATTTTCACCTGGGGAGTTGACGTTTTGCATAATGAGCAAGTGCGAAAGAAAATTGTATAGTGTCTACGTCAGTGAGCCAAAGGGTCTGTAGGGTTTGAATCAAGTGTTTTCTCTATGCTCTTAACCTTCTTCGTTCTTGGGGCTGCAATAAAGCCAATGTAAACAACTGCATGCACTAGGAGACAATTCTTGAGGCCTGCAATTCCTATGTCACGTTACACATTTGCAGCCATGTCGACACCTTCCAAAGCCTTTAACTGTACTCCGGTGCGGATTGCTTCTGTTGTGACGATTATGCACCTCCGATGTGTAGAGTGATGTGCGCGATGTGACCTTATGGATGTCCAGTAAAGTTTTCCGGAATCTGGGCTCACACACATCGCCCATTGCCGGAGGCTAGATCTGGTAATATCTACGAATCCTCCGAGTAACTACGAAATTGGGGTAAACTTTCATTGAAACAGATACTTTAGGGATAATCTATCCCAGTTCTTGCATTAGGCCAAAGTATAATATTTCTGGAAGGGGACTGGACTCGTTTGGGTCATGGCCAAAATATCAGTGCTGTCTCAGAACGCGACATGAGTCGTTCAAAGCCCAGAGACTCGTCGTGCATTTGCCGAAAGTGTGGGTGAAGGCGAGAAAAAATTAACGTCTGTCGAAATTGTGATCATGTCAAGTGCGCAAAGTCTGGACGAAAACCACGCTTGTCGTGATAGTATTTCTCTCAGCACGTGATAGCATTTACATCGCCACCGGGGAAGTCAGCAGTCTGTTGGTCGCAGAAATTAAATATAATGACAAGGGAATCGAATCCGGTGAGCACGCTATGTGCTCCTATCAGCACATTTTTGTTCCAATTGGTGTTGTTTTGAAGAGTAAAATATCAAACCCCCATCTTCGAAGGTTGTCACAATTTGCTACAAGAAATACGCTCAGAGTTGGTAATCTGTTCAAAATAGGCGAGTAAATGTATTCAGTATTAATCTGAAGGCTTCTAACCCGATGGATTGACTGGTTAGATTCCAGTAATGGACACAAAGTTGGCGTCCTTGGCTACATAACTCCTAAACCATTCTCAGAGGGCGTAGATGCATCCATTTTCCAGTGTGGCCGACTAGAACAGATCTTATTCCACAGAGAGCGTCTCGAGGTTGATTTCCTCGCTTCGCCGTCGCATTCTAATCTTCGCTTTGGGGTCCAAAGTCAATGAAAACCCATTGGCCAACACAGTTGGTCTTGCACCTGCAACTAGTTCCCAGTCATATTTCAGAAGCAAATAACTCAGCACAATCTTGAGCTCATTAGCTGCAAAGAAGCGTCCTGGGCATGCGTGTTCGCCCAGCCCAAAGCCTATATGGTCGCGAGTGACCGCAACTAGGTGGGCAGAGTGTTCCTTGCCGGGAACGTTGCGTAGTTTTAGCCAGCGATGGCCGTTGAACTCTAGTGGTCGTTCGAAACGTTCTGCGCTCCACATATCGGTCAGGGAGACTACAATTTTCTCGCCTTTCTTGATGTGGAATCCGCCCGGCAGGTCAACATCCTGCTCAGCCATGCGACGCATATTTGCTGTATATGATAAGACACGTCAGCATTTATTCAAAGAAGTCTGATTCATAACAAGATACAAGTAGTGTGGAAACTTACCAATACTGGTTGGCTTGAGGCGCTGTGCTTCTTTAATCACACTGTCAAGGAGTTTGAGATTATAAAGACTCGTCTTCTTCCACCCCTCTGTTGACAACACCTGCACAATCTCTCGGCGCAATTCGTCAAAGTACGCCGGGTTATCCGCAATACATATCATCGTCCAATAAAGGAGATCCGTAGTGGTATGAATAGCCCCGACCGATAGATTAATCTGTAGCATTGCTGGGTCGTACGGCTTGCCTCCAGCGAAGTATTCCTCGAACCAATCAATCGCGTCGTTGAACCTTGGCTCAGGCTTGCCGGAGGCGACTGCCGCCGCTCTCATTGAACGCCGATTTACGACCAAGGGCGTGATGATTTCGCGCGCGTCGGCAATTTCGGTCCGCAACTTTCTGACCGAGGGCAGAAACCAGTGTACAATAGGTCGTAACGGCTTGGGCCAGATCCCCAATTCCTTAGCAGCTGTAAACAAATCTACACTGTAGTTGATTGTGATATTCAACCATTCGTCGTTGCGACAGAGCTGTTCGCCGAGAAAGACACGCGAAGAAATGCGAGCTATTAGCTGGAGCAGACAACCTTTAATCTGAACGTCGTGCCATTCTGCAGCCACTGAGTCAACATATTATCATTGAAGCAAATGGAGAGGGCTGGATCTCTACCTGGGTTGTCCCCAAAGATATACTTGACGGCAAACGCAGTCTCAGACGACAAAGGCTCAGTGAGCTTAGCTTGTGAAGTATACCAAGGTCAGCTTTCTTATGCTGGTCGACAGCAGCACAACTAGGCTGTAATAATGAAGTAAATAAACAGTTCCGCCCACTCACACAGTACGAGAGTCAACTGGTGCATCGCGACGTTTCGTACGGGCTGCTCCCCATTTGACGCCGCGAGAACCGGTTCAAAGCCCGGGATGTATGCATGAAAGTCCTGTTATTGAGTGGCTCGCAATGTCAGCTAGAGATAATAGAAAAACAAGTGTGCGCATGCAAACATTGAAAAGGGCCCGGCAATTTATTGTTGTGAAGATGAGGACTAGGTACCGACATCGTAGACTGCGCGATCAAAGCTCAATTTGTGCTCGTTGCGCATGCTATGAGCCATATCGAACGGTAGAACTGTTACATCACCGCGCTCTGACCTGACGCGGAATGGTTTCCCTCGAAAGGCCTCTTTGCCCTTGCGGAGAAGCTCCTTACTGTTCTTCACGAATTCGAGCTTTGGTTGGGACTGTCGAATGTCTAACCACTTCGGCGGGTTGACAAGAGGCGGCTTGCTTCCGCGCCCGTTCGAGTTGGCAAAGACGTAGAGCAGCAATGTCACCAGAGAGACGAGTAAGAACGGCATAGAATCATCAGTGGCGAAGTTGACAGGCGACGTATCGAACCAATCCTGGATAAAAGCCCGCTTTGCCATGATCAGCAAAAACAAGTGAATGGCTATTTTGTTCTGCGTAGTGGGTGTGATTGAATTGCAGTGGAAAGTCTGAGAGCAACAATAAACCAAGATCGAAAAGTAACAAGCGATAGCCGTCTACAGTCTCAGTGAGCTACAAGTTACTTTGGAAAAGATCGATCTTCTGTCATAATTGAATGCTCAGTACAGACGAAGATATCCTTGCCTCCTGTTTGTCCCAAATCGGGCTCCGGATGCTTCCGTCTGGAGCTGCCACACCCCCGAGAGGATGCGGTACTGCAACCCAATCTGCACGAGTTGCTTAAGCAATTGTTGCCGATCTTTCCATTCATGACTCGATCTCAACGCAGTATGATCTGTCACAAATTGACTTTAGCTTCCTTGGTAGCTGTACCATAGATCCGTTGCACTTTCAGACAGTATAGTTTGATGTGATCCTAAAGCGTGGCTCTTAATAATCTTGGATGTTCACCAACCCTCCAGACTCTGTAATTTGAGGTCTCTGATCGAACAGTAAATTAAACACGCATGGGTTATATCTTCCAAAGCTGTGATTCCAGGTTCCTTGCATATGGATTTATGCACGCTAAATAATGAACAGCGCATATAATTCAGACACTAGCTGAGCCACTAAGCCCGATAATTGGGTATCTATCAAGTCGAACCTGTCTATGAGATAAAATAAATTTCAGTTTACATATTTGACAAGGAAATCAAAGTCATGTGTGATTTAATAAGTCTAGCTCCTTCACAATGGAGAATTGAACGCATCGATATCAAGATTTTGACTGTTATGCCTAACGCATTACTAGAAAGCTTGACGGCTCACTTTATTGCCTGTCCCAGAGCTTGACGGCGAGAGACCGACTCAGGATCAAAATAAGGCCTTTCGCCCAAAGAGACAACGCGGTTACCCTTCCGCTTCCCGCTATAATCACTACACCGAAGGTTAGCGAATTTTGTAACATAGATCGCAAATCAAAAGAAACTGAACTGACTGTGTGGCAGTATGGAATGTTGAGCGACTGCGACACGATTCGGCGTTAGCAAATAGGCCATCGCTAGATGAATTTGACCTGGCCAGTTGAATGGCATCCGACGTATTTATGACTCACTTGTCCCATATTGCAATGTCATTTTTGTTCCAACGGAACCGCACCTGGAGATCGTGATTCTCGTAGATAAGCTGATTGACTAGAAATGCACGTGTTAAAACGTCGTCCCGTGGACGAAATAACCAATTATGGCCAGCTCTCATATCTCTGCCCTTGCACTTACAGTAAGCCTTGAGAATGTCGCTTTCCCTTGGTGTCACATCATTGTACCAGCCGAATTTGACCTGATGACAGGCACCAAAAAGACTTTTCCATCCTGTTACAGGATTCGTTCGAATCACCGGGCTGCGGTGTCACAACATTAGGAAAAGAAATGCTATACGGTGACGTCTCGCTATTCGGAAAATGAAAGTTCAGACATACTGCTCAGCTTTGAACTCAAGCCCGGTGTTTTCGGGCGAACCGCGGTAGTCATCAATAAGTTCTTCACCGTACTTGTTCTTCACCTCTAGAAAGTCGGGTTGGTAATGTGTAGCTGTCATCCCTTCAGCAAGTCTTTGGAAAGCTGGCGAGAGACGATCGTAGGCCTCATAGCCGGATGCCCATAATGTATCACCACCTGCATCCTCGTTGGGTTGAATCATCTTCAGAATGGCATAGTCCGAAGGAATATTCTCGAAAGAGATACTACAATATCATCATGTCAACGAATACCCTGTCCAGGGAAATGATGGCTAGAACTTACTCGGCATGCCAGCCGACACTTGCAATTTTCTTAGTGGCAAGCGTGACCCGCTCTTTGAAGTACTTTCCGGCTTGTTCGGACGAAATGATTGATACCTCGTCATCCAGCCTCCCCTTTTCATCGATAGCAAGTCCTCGCTTACTATTCGCCAGGGCATCGCGGTGTAGCTTAGAAGTCTCAGGTTTTCCAGAGAGCTCGCCAAGCTTTTGGCCCAGGATTTTCTGGTCGTCAATATTCAGATCCTGGTTCCGAAAGAAAACAACGCAACGCTGGGATACTGCACAAAGTTAGTTTACAGGTACCAGACACTCGTGTTTTGCAATTGGTTCTTGGAGAAACAAGTTCAATACGAACCAAGTGTAGCTAGGTCCCGGATCTTGGTATCATCATGCAGTATTTCGCTCAGCTGAAGTTCAGGAAATTCTCGCCCGATGATAGAGGTTGTATCAAATTGTCGATATGAGTCCAGGCTTCCCGAGTAAGTCAGCGGCCTGCTCAGCCTTGATGCAGTCGACGATTGACTTTTGCAATGTAGCCCGTTCATAGGCTCAACAGAAATCAAATCGGCTTGAGTAGCAGAAGGAGCCATCGTGTGAGAAACGGGCCAGAAATTGAGGGATATGAAGAGCTTGCTTCCTAGGCGCACAGGACTATTCTCGTATGAGAGCAGTTTCGCTGCAAAAATTTCCTACTGGCAAGTAAGCCCCCTTTGTATTCTATATTCATCCACACAATTTGATTCTTTTTTTTTTTTTCAAAAGAGAAAAGGGAGACGGAGGGAGAAAGAAAATGCACTTTGGAGCATGGGGTCTCCTCGGGTTGGCTCGGACCGAATAAGTCCTTCGAAGCCACTCGCTTAGTTTTCTAGAAGGGAAAAGTGCTTTGAAAACTATACAGATTGATCTATTGATGGAACACATTCATAAAGAGACCGAGTGAAATTCCGTCATCCTGAATGTTATTCCTGCAAGGTTGCACGGGCCAAGACTGCTGAGCCCAAACTCGCAGTCCGCGAACCCGGAACCCCCATTTCAGGTAACATCCGAGTTGCTGGAAACTCCTAACTGCACAGATTCGTGGCATAATGCGTGACTTTAATCAACGTAATTCTGTTTGATGGTCTAGTATCAGCTCCGCCATCTCAGGTCGTTGATCGTGATTTTCAGTCTTCCAGGTGTGCTATCCAATAATCATTATACTAAATTGCTCGACAAAGCAGCGCAACTCTGTCCATTGAATCGAATACAACTGCAGCATGGCCAACCTCCTACGAACTGGCGATGTCTCATCTGGAGGTCTCATACTTGCAGGTTTTATTGCAGTCAGTGCTTCTTACATTTTTGCAACAATCGATTGGTGATAGGCTATGTTTGCAAGGCTTAATTTGAAGTTTCCACTAACTTATTACTTCTTGACATGTAGGCTACCTCTTGTGCGGCTGCGCTATATGTGTTTGGAATCAGCATCTACCGGCTGTTTTTCCATCCAATTGCCAGATTTCCTGGCCCTAGATTGGCTGCCCTCAGCGATGTAAGTGCTCGCGTCGTTACCCCGATTCTGATCGTTGTTGATACTGACAAGTACTGTGACAATAGCTCTGGATGCATTGGACAACCATGACGGGCCGCCAGCATATGATAATCTTGGACTTACACCGGAAGTATGGGGACGTCGTCCGTGTTGGTCCAAACGAGCTCTCCTTCTCCTGTGTACAATCGTTTCGAGATATCTATGGGCATGCCAAATCACCAGAAAAGCGGTTCCTTAAGACCGAGATGTACGATAACGGAGAGCCGCCTCGTGTTTCAACAGCGCGTGATCCGGCGCTCCATGCACAGCAGCGCAAGACTCTCTCGAATGCCTTCAGCGCAAAGGCCCTTCGTGATCAAGAGAGCGTCATCCAGAAGTACATTGACTTGTTCGTCGACAAATTGGACCAGTGGGGCGACTCGGGAAGGAAAGCCATCAACATAACGCCAGCAGTGAACTGGTTAATGTTTGACATCATAGGTTAGTTTCAAATACAGTCAAATATGTTTCAATCCGGGCTCATAACTGATTCAAAATAGGGGACCTGTCATTCGGCGAGTCATTCGACAGCGTGGCTGATGGCAAAGAGCCCTTCTGGATCTCAATGTTCATGGGCGCCCTATACTTTCCATTGATCAAGAGGATCGGAAAGCAATTTCCCCTGCTTAAGCTTGTTTTCCCGATAGTCATTCCAGGATTGCGCGAGCATGCGAAGAACCTAGAAACCCACAGGCAACTGGCGCGCAAGAAAGCGCAACGCCGTATCGAGATGGGTGACATGGGACGCATAGATTTCTTCAGCCACATCCTCAAGAGGGGAGCATGGGACGATGACACAATTGCCAGTCACACACAGTTGCTTGTTATCTCGGGCTCCGAGCCGATCGCCACCGCCTTGGCCGCAACAATGTACTACCTGCTAAAAAACCCCGAATGCCTCGCCAAACTGCAGCACGAGATCCGGAGCACTTTTACATCTGACCAGGAGATCACGGGAGAGACAACTTCCCGGCTGGAATATCTCAACGGCGTCATTGAAGAAGGCATCAGGCTCTTCCCACCGTCTGTCGTTGTACTTGCGCGGTATTCCCCTGGCGCCACCATCGGCGGTCATTACGTTCCTCCGGGTGTGTCCGTATTCAACAATGGCTATACAATGTCACGCGATCCTCGATACTGGGAAAAACCCGAGGCTTTTCGGCCAGAGCGCTGGATTGGCGACAGCCGTGACGAGAGAAGGGCCAGCCAGCCTTTCTCTACAGGACCGCGTGGCTGCCTCGGCATCAATCTGGTATATCTAGACGTGCGGCTTACAATGGCAAAGCTCGTCTTGCATTATGACTGGGAATTGGAATCCAAGGATTTGGTCTGGGAGCGCGATGTTGTATTGCAAGGGGTTTGGAAGAAGCCAGCGCAGTGGATCAAGTTCCACAGAGTGACTACATCGGTTTCTTGAAGTTGAAATTGTATGCTATAATGGCTCAGAGACACGCGTGAAGAATTATGGAATGAACCAGAATTTTGTTGGGCATCAACTCCCCCTGACTGAATTCTAAAAGTTCACCTAGCCTGGGAATTTGAACGGTCTCAATATAGAACAAGCGTATGATTGAATCTAATTAAGGACTTTAGTCTATATTTCATTCTTGCTCATTTGAAATCATAAATCTAAGTTGTGGCTTCTGAGCTCGCTTTCAGTCCATTCCCATAGCCTCTCCGCCAGCTCACCGTCTGCAGCAAGCCTAGGTAGCTTGCCCGTGACGCCGACCGGAACGTAATATTCACCACTGATAACATCCTCGGAAGTGGCAGCCCAAAGCTGATTCTTTACACCTTCATCTACGACCAACATGAAGGGACTTGCTAGTGGCAGCAACAACTTAGCCCACACATTATGCTGAGCAGTCTTGTCCTCGATGCCCGTCTTGACTATCCCTGGGTGCACAGCCGTGACTGTTAGCTGTGGGTACTCTCTGGCAAGCCTTCTTGCAAAGAGAGCATTGGCGAGCTTGCTCTGACCATAATGTGTGAAGGACGTCCCGATGTCGCTTTGAGTACCTTTGAGCTTGTCGAATTGGATGCCACCCTCGGGAACGCAGCTCATCATGGCAGAAGTCAGAATGACGATGCGCACGTCTGATGCCTGGCTATTGCATTTACTTATGTCCTCACTATCGATTTCCTGGTTCAAGGCGGCAGTGTTGAGCATTAATGGCATGAGCAACTTCGTGAGCAATGCATGTCCAAGGTGGTTTGTGCCAAAGAATATTTCGTAGCCATCGAGCGTCGTGGCTGGAGGGCTTCCACCGAGGCCTGCGTTCAGAAGTAGAATATCGAGACGTTTAGCTGATGATAGGAAAGTTCGGACCGCTGCCTTGACCGAGTCCAATGAGGCGAGATCGAGCTGCAGAATGCGGACTATGGCACCGGGGACTTCTCTCTGTATGTCGTGCCGCGCCGATTGTGCTTTGACATGATCTCGAGCTGTCATCCATATTTCGGACGGATGATGCTTCGCAAACTCGATGATGGACTTTTTCCCAAGTCCTGTATTGCCACCAGTCACCAAGATCACCTTTCCGAAAAGCGGCGGTATATCCTTGTCGAGGTTAAAGGACGCATGTTTACTCGTGCAAATCCCCATGATGAGCTTTTCGAATCCCTCTAGTCCTTCAGTGGCAGACCTGGGAAGCAGAGAGATCACAGTTGTCTTGAATAGAAAGCTGCCAGGACGAGTACAACATCCATGGGCATTTAAAAGAGAGCGGCTTCCCGGTCTTTCCTCGGGAGTGGCCAAAACATTTTCGGAGGCCCAAAAAGAGCTAGGATCTGTACTCCGAATGGAATGAGGCTGACGATGAAAATTTGATTTCTTCGCACGAAGCATCGTGTGAATATAAACAATGATTACATGGGTAGATGCAGACAAGTAAACTTCACCGACATCCAACTGGAGGTCAGCCCGCGAGTCCGCGACCTCCAACATGAACATGACGCATATTCTTCGCAATAAAGTCACTTGTGAAAATGAAGATATATACAAAACTTCTGGAATGTCTGACAGTAGCCCTCCGTCCGATTCAGTACTTCATTCTCGGCGTGAGGTAAACATGTAAATCCGGCTTGTCCCATAAGTTCCATACTTTCTGCTTATTCATCCAATTGTCACAACCATCCGCAAGTTTGATGTCAAAATTCCAGATCAACCTGGCTAAGATTGTGCGCATTTCGGCGTATGCCAGGCTAAGGATTTGGATGTAATGTTAGTGGTGATACTCATACGTCGCAACACACATTATGTTGTGTCACAGCTTCGGGAGTAACTCACTTGCGTCCCAGGCAGTTTCTAGGCCCGAATGAGAAAGGCTGGAAAGCTTCCTTCCGATCGTTGAATTCAGGATCACCAAGCCAACGTTCAGGGCAGAAGTCAAAGGGCCGTTTGAAATTGGTTTCACTATGGTACATGGGCCAATGCCAGACCCCAAGGACTGTCTTTCGTGTTCATGATAAAGTCAGCAATTTGATTCCTTTTTGAACCCGGGATATGGCAATAGTACTTACATTGGCTGGAATGTATTCACCAAGTATCATGTTTCCTCCCGGCGGTGTTTGCCGCGGTGTGCAAGCTGCCACAGGTGGGTATCTACGGAGCGTTTCTTCCAGAACGGCCAGAGTATATTCCAGCTTAGATGTGTTGACAATGTTGATGTCTGCTTCACTCTGAAACGAAGAGCGTATTTCTTCGTACACCTTGGCCAAGCATCTCGGGTTGGTGGCGAGAAGATACGTGGCACCAGACAATGTAGTCGCAGTAGTCTCGGAACCAGCTATGATGAGAATTTCGGCATTTTCCTGGATCTCAACAGGTGACATTTTCTGCGTTCACTCTGCTTAGCGCTCACAATCTTTCTTCAAAGGCAATTATGCGGGAGAAAACAACATTACGAATCATACCTGGTCATCTTTTCTCGACACCATCGATTCTGTGAAATCTGGTCGAGGCGCGCCTGAATTGATGCGTCTCAAGACTCTTTCGTGGGACAATGCCCTCCTTTCCTCATCTTTCTGGCGTATATCTTTCGGAATACACTTTTCGAGAATGTCGTAGACGAAAGGCAGGTGTTTCATTGCTATTGATATAGCCATGAACTTAATACTGTCGAAAATAAGCGCCACCCACGGGTGGTAGTCGGATTTCGTTAAGCAATCGAAGGGCTCGCCAAAAGCCAGGTCACCAACGATGTCGAATGTGCAGAAGTTGTACCACCTCATAAGATTAACAGGCTTTTCACCCTCGTTACCGACTTCGTAGAGGCGCTTGATGAAAAGGTCGATGTATTTCCGCATGATGGGTTCTTGCTTCAGCATTGCTTGCGCCGAGAATCCATGTGACAAGACCCGTCGTAGCCGCCCGTGATCAGCGCGCTTGCTAGCAACAATACTATTGCCCATGCTGCCGGCGTAGCAGTTTTCTTTTCCATTCTCCTCTTGTTCTAACTTCCGATGTCCCATAACATCGTCCCAAGCTTGAGGTGTCAAAAACGACAGTTCGTCAGGGGCTAGTCGGACCACTTCGCCGTACTTTTGATGCATCTGCAGCACCTTTCTGTGTTCTTCACCACTCCACACCATGCATATGTATGGAATTCGGCTCATTGCCCACCATCTTGATCCAGGATACTTGGAAAGCGGATGAAAATAGACGTTGTAGACGGCAATGTAGACCTATAAAAAGATCAGTAGGGACTCCAACCAGAAGAAAAAATGTAGTTCACAGGGTCATAGGTGCAAGTAACTCACTAAATAAAATATTAACCCGGACAAGAACAAAATCCCGATTGCAGGGCCAGCTCCTACGAGGAGGTGTGCCTGAGTTGGAGGAGGCATTGGATCCGTCCAGCCTTGACTTGACTCAGAGGTCTCGTTTTGTGCCTAAACGTTGGCTTGAAAAAATGGGAGGAGCAATTGAATATGAAAATGCAAGCACATAGGAGCTTTGATGGCGTATCCCTTTTTCTATGGGGTTCATAAAGCGATTCGGATGACCGTCTCTCACTGACATTAATTCTGCGGAACATAAGAAGATCCTGATGGGCAGGGATGGCACGAGTCGCAGCCATGCATGTCTCTCCGTGAAGGTTTCATCCGGCCAATCAACTGGAAATACCAAATATGGCCAAGGAGCAGCTCGGATGACTGTTTGAAGGCACTCCGATGTTCTGAAGCCGGAATGAGATGCGCATCTCTTGGCGTGAACTTCTCGAGGGTTTCTACTCTGGGGAAGTCAAAATACGGCCGACAGACATGCAAAATGATCAGCAAAGATCAGATATGTCAAATGTGTAAGGACCTGTCATTTGTACTCAGTCGGTAATTTTCCGCTCGATTCTTCCTTCATCGCCGTGACGAGCTTGCCATTCTAACTGCCCTCTACATAATTGAATAGGTCTTTGCCAGTCAGGTTCTTACTCCTCCCTATAATCAGCCTACGAATCGAATCCTTGTTCAAAATTTGATCAAGTCCATCCTCACTTGCGCACCATCCCGCATCGCCTCACTGAAACAGTCGCTCACTCAATTAAAGTCAGCCATGGAATCCCTACTCTTGAATTCCACCTCCCTGCACCAGGCTGAGTCGCCGCCTATCGTGATGTTACACATGCTTTTGGCTCCTGGATATGTGCCATATATTTTTACAATCGCCCTCATCAGTATCATTGCCTACTGCTGGCCAGCAGACCGCTACACAGCCAAGCTTCCTTTGATTAACCCCAAAGCACCCTACGACTTATTCAACTTTGGGTCACGCAAGAACTATATCCTGAATGCTCCTAGAATTCTGGCAGAGGGCATCAAGAAGGTGCGCATTTGTTGTCTTTCGTCCGCCAGATGCTTACGCCATATTGTTTAGGCCGGCAAAACCAAGCCCTTCCGGGTGATGACGGAAAAGGATGAGATGATCATATTGCCTGCCACAATGGCACACGATATTAGAAATGACCCCAACCTAGGATTTAACCCTTTCATTGCCAAAGTTTGTCATGTCTATTTTTTTTTTGAAAGTAGTCCTGAGCGTCATTGAACCCCATTTGATGGAGCTTGTCTAACAGCGTCTACTTGTCTAGACTTTTCACGCTGGTATCCATGGATTTGAACCGTTGGCCGAAAACGTGTCCCATGATCTGCTTGTCGACATGGTCAAGTCCAAATTGACACCTGCGATAGGTTCGTACTAAATTGCTTTGGAGTTGGACCTCAATTATGTCTCGTCTTCGGCACTCTGACTGTGGCTGAGCAGGTCAAGTTACCGAGCCAATGGCAGACGAGATGTCGAAAGCTTGTACAGAGCTTCTCACAGAAGATACGCGCTGGCACGAAGTCGTATTGAAGAATGTGCTTCTGGATGTCGTTTCCAGGCTCTCAAGCCGCGTCTTCATGGGAGAAGAGCTCTGTCGTAACCCTGAGTGGCTCAAGCTTACCAAAGAGTACACTGTCTGTGGTCCCATGGCTGCGACATTTTTGCACCTTTTCCCAAGGCCTCTCCGCCCACTCATGGCCTGCTTTCTACCCATCACCCGCGCACTGCGACGGCAGCTGAGACAGTCGCTGGCTATTATGCAGCCATTCTTAGAGAAGCGCCGCCTCGAAAAGGAGGCTTTTCTTCGCGAGGGGAAGAGTCCCAAGGCTTACGCAGATGCGGCGGAATGGTTTGAACAGGTTGCAAAAGGCACCAAATTCAATGCTCACTACCTACAGCTTGGTCTTGCTTTTGCTGCTGTGCACAGCTCAGCCGACGCCCTAAATCATGCCATGTTGGAGATCCTTCAGAAGCCAGAAATCATCCAGCCAATGCGTGAGGAAATCATCTCTGTACTTGGAACAGATGAGTGGAGTAAAAGGACTCTCTTCAAACTCAGACTCATGGACAGTGTCCTGAAAGAGTCACAGCGGCTAAAGCCGGTCCTGCTCGGTAAGTGACGCTGTCTTGTGTTGAAACATGGATTTTCTCCATCTTCGTCCTACCGAATTTTGTGGAAACTAAGCATCCTGCGCGAACACTCTAGTTACCATGAATCGCGAAGCATTACGAGACACAACTTTGCCTGATGGCACGCTTCTGAAGAAGGGCGAGGCTATCGGTGTCGCATCGCACTGCATGCGCGACCAGGAGACGTGGGACCAGCCGAATGTCTTTGATCCATACAGATTCGTAAGAATGCGAGAGGATCCCAAGGAGGAGAACTCGTGGCAGTTCGCAAGCACGAGTAGCAGGCACCTTGGATTTGGCCACGGAGATCACGGCTGCCCTGGCCGTTTCTTCGTCTCGCATGAACTCAAGATTGCCCTTTGTCATTTGCTCCTGAAGTACGACTGGAAGCTTGCTCCCGGGTGCAAGCCACAGATCGAAGAGGCCGGCTATTTCCTCAATTCGGATTCAAAGGCCAGGGTTATGCTTCGGAGGCGCAAGGAAGAGATCCCGCTCTAATACCAATGGCAAATGAGACTTAGGAGATGTCAATCACGGATTGTTCTCACTTGATTATGTTCGATTCAGCTTTCTGTGCTTTCACCCTGGATGGCTGTGACTGTATGTGCAGTACCTAGATAAATGAGATGTATGGATCAGGCATTTTCTTTGCACTTAGTTATTATCAACCTATGGAAGCGTGCGTTCGTTTAGCAACTGCCCCAGCATTTACTCGTACAGTCGTTTATGTTTCTATTCTGGGCCGTGCTCTTCAGTTTTAGATGCCCGTCAATAACGATATTGAAGTATCAATTTTTTCAACGTATCACTTGTAGATCTACTTTGACATGACCTCAAAATTCAGTATTTGTATTTCAAAATGGACGACACCAATGCTGTCAAAATTGAATGATAGGATCTGTCAACCGCAATTTTCGCATATTTTGTGAACCTGGAAGTGCAGGTTGCAAGGTGGTATTCAACGTGGGACCTGACCTGTGAGCAGGTCAGGTCATGAGTATTTCTCGCGCAACACATTAGGAGCCGCAGTAGAGAGAAATGAGTCAATCTTTTTAAAAATTCGTTAATCATTCCAAGATTTGTCCAAAAAGAAAAAAAGTCGTATATGAGAAATGCAGTACCAATCTACTTGCGCGGACTATCCTTCTTGATTTCCAGAGCTGCTAGCAAGTCTCTGATCGGCTTGTTGACTTTACCCGTCCTCCTGTCAATCAAATCCACTAATTCGAATATCTCGTTGAAGAGCACACTCAATATTTCGACAGCATACTGTAGGGATCCGGTCTGCTGCATCATAGAAAGAATCAATTCTTTATGGCCGAGACCGGCCGCCCCAGTGGCGCGGCGCTCAAGTAGCATGCTGTCAAGAAGCACCCGTGACTTGTGGTCGCAATTTTCCAAGGCGTGAATCAAAATTAGACTGTATTTCCCTTCATCAAGATCCTCACAGAACCCTTTTGATTTTGTATACTATGGCGCTCAATCAGTTCAATGCTCGGCTGAACACGTCGCTCACCCGGGAGACCTTGGTTCAACCAAAGGACTTACTTCCTGAGAGGTCAGATTCATGTAGTCATCACGGATCTGGAAGTAACGACCCAATAGAGTCATCAATGCGTCGAGATCTGTCGAATTTATGTTTGAAGATTCCGACTGAGCAATCATGAGCTTTGAGGCCATCCGAAATAAGCCCCCTGTTTCTATGATGTACACGGCTCGTCAACTCTGACCTCCTTTCCCGGTAGAAAATTTTGCAATACATATGTGAAAGAAGATGACTTACTCCCATCGACCATCTGTAAATACTCCTCCACCGAAGGTGTTGAGATTTGGTGAGTCCAGAGGAGGTCTAAACTTTGACCGATCAATAGACTGCGCAATTCCTCTGGCCAGCCGCTGTTGATTAGCAACTGTTCTTGCAATGTCGAAATATACCCCATTCGTGATGCCGGATTAGATGACTGGAGATAAATATACCTATCACAATCTTTAAGAACGCAGGGTTTTGCATTTCGGAAGATCGTCGAAGTACCTCCACTATCCCATATGTAGACGAATTCACCGTCTGGCCTATTCCAAATATGCTGTGCGTTGAGGGCCGTGAACGTCTCAGGGGAGAATTGTCCTCAACATCGTCCTGCCTGTGACCGTATTAGACTAAACTCGGCACATATCACTGTTAAAGCTGCTCACATGAGCGACAAGTTGTGTACATCAACCACAACCGATGTTACAGAGTCAAGGGCCTTCGGTGAGGCGCCCACCCAGATGTTCAGCCCTCCAATAAGCTTGTCCCGCACACCTTTAGATGGCAGAGAAGATGTATAATGGAATGGGGCGTCAACAGCCTGTTGTCAACAGCAAATCAGAATTTTGCATTCAGTTCGCACAGTTTCTGCTCGTGATGATCAGGGCAATTACCGCTGTTGAAACCTCAGGAAGAACGTTGCAAAAGAGCCTCCTCATGTCTTCGTCTTCGCCTCCGGAATGAAAGCCCTCGTCAATGGATAAGTTTGAGTCAATACTATCTTGCAGTGATTTAGCAAGGGGACGAGGCATTGTCGTAAGTTCCGTGCAAACGGAGCTGCGTGCAGCACCCATGTCCAGGTGAAATGGCGGAGACTCCATGGTGCAGGTCGCGGGCACCGGGTGAGCTTTTGACCCGGAGGTCATAAAAGACCAATAGATAGCCGATGATAAGACCGCAATGCAATACAGCCAAGTAAAGCACTTCCTTTGTCGCGTGGGTCAGGAGACAGTTACGGTGGATTGAGAGACGGTTGGGGGCATCCATTCAATTCTTTGTCAATTGGGTTGTCCAAGTAGCAACAGCAGTATGGCTCTTTTATTTCGACAGACGCCACATGGAATACAATATGTAACTACAATATTAAGATCAAGACAAAGACTTCGGGTTTCTATCAGATACTTGTCCACCAATAACTGCCTGCCTATGCATGGGTACTGTGTAACCACCACATGGAGGCTTCATGCCCTGCTTGGGCAAGCATCACATGCTGACTCGGACAGTTCTGCTAGTATCTATGCTCCACAAACGTTATCTCTGTAGGAGTCTTGAATTGGCAATAATAATGTTCTTGAGCTGCAGCCCAAGCATCTACACAGTGGCTGCCTTACGGTGCAGAAGTATAGGGACTTTCCCAAATGGGCTTCCGGATAGAGGACACAGAGCGAATATCTCCTTTTCCTCTTTGCTCAAATCCTAATTAAGTCTTTCCAAATCGGGCCCGGCTGTTTCATGGCTACCTAAATAAATGAAGCGAAGACGGAGGACGGCAGAGCCTTGGCCCATTCTGAGTTTGAGCTGCGGCCCTGTTGCCCACAATGAAGTGTTTAAACCTGTCCGTAACTTCTCGTGACAGTTCTGTGTCAATACTGCATCCATCGAGGATTCTCTTACTTTTCCCGCGCAGTATACCGTGCCTACGATGGAGAAATCCAAAAGGTACAACGGTTTTCGTAGACTTGAGAAGCTCAGCCTTCATATCCGCGCCTCATGCTAGATGGAGTGACATGTTGAAGAATGGGAAGTCTGTGCATGCACTTGTATGCTACGGAAACTTCATGTACACGCAGTAATTATGCACTTATTGAAAGCAATCGCCAGGGTGAACCAATATCATAGTTGGAACGAATGTATTCGCGTGTAATGAACCCGCATAAGGAAACTCGTATTTAGCCACACACCTGTCTCAATGTCTGTCTCAATGTCCAAATTTTTGTCCTGTCTACGTGACCAGCATTGGACCTCCACCTACCAGGGGAACTGAGCTGGAAACCAGAGGCACATCCTTTGCAGTAGAAGCGATGCCGGTTTCCCGCACATGAACTGACCTGGCAGTAAAGTCACGGACTACGTAGATTTGGCCGTACAGGTCTGCCGTATCCAGGAAAACCTTCCACACATCTAGTCTGCGCCGTCTTTTAGCCCTCTCTGCCTCGGTAGTTGCAGTCTGCAGCGATGCCTCCTCGAGACGCTGGAACGCGGCCTGGCAGCAAGCGCGCTCATACTCGCCCATTGCATGTAGAGCCTGCTTTTCCGATCCGGAAGCGGTCACGGCGAATTCGGGGAAGTTGACCGAGTTGAGGTTCTTCTCGGTCGCGTCGCGAACCACGGAGCCACAGTCGTTGTAAATTCGTGTCACGTTTGTGATATGCCGGCAAACGTCGTCTGCATAATACTTGGACTCGACCGAGTCAAATGAGACGTCCGAGCTTGTAACGATGCTTTCGCTTTCGTTGCCAATCACGGCTCGCTCCACGATCGGATTGGCCACGAGATACGGCACAAGACAAGTGACGAAACCAAATGTGATGGGACATGCTATGTCATCGTTGCTGCGAACCCAGTGGAAGTATGGCATGTTGCGGGACACGTACCACCTCCTCTGCTCCTGTAAATTGAGACGCATATTATCCTGAGTATGACGGACGTGGGCGACCAGATAGTTGTGAACCTCGCGCCAAGCAGTTGCACGGTCATCTCGCTGGGCGTTCCGCACTGCAGGATGATCGAGAAAGAAAGATGCGAAGCGTCTCAGGCAGGTTCTGACCTCTTCGATATCCCCTGATGCAATGTTTGAGAGTTTGGCCCGCGGACATTGTACGCTGGACATATCTATCAAAGAAGTCACGGGGCTTGCGGGCTCGGTCTTGTATGGCGTCAATACCTCCTGAATTAGGCCCACCAGCATGGACAAGTCCTCCGAAAACGTCAACCCAGCAACTGCTTCCATGAACTCATCGGCTTGGTAGTCAACCACAGAGACCATGATCATGTCGTAAAGCCATGCCGGAGAGGCAAAGGTGAAATTACGGTTGTTTGTCGCAGTCCAAGTAAAAGGGATGAGTCGAATATAATCATCATCCGGATCCATATTCTTGCGGGGGAAGACATCAAGTCTGTGCTCGTTGACGATCGGAAGGAAAAGGTGGCCTTCAATGAAAGAGGCGCGAAGCTGCCATTCTGGAAGCGACCGGAAGAGGGGTGTCTGGTGGAACAGCCAGATATATTTGTCGATTCGCTGCCGAGATGGGATGCCAAGGTCCAGACTTTCGCCCACAATCCCAGGGTTATCCACCAAAGAAGTTGCAACTTTGAGAGCGGCAAGACAGTATGCCTCGGTGACCAGAGGCGAGGTGTATGACACTTTCTCAGTCCAAATGAACTCGGGCAATGATTGTTGTGCTAGATCGACGCTGTGGAGACGGATGAAAGTGGCAGCCTGGTCGATAGCGGAATCGATTTGCGATTGCAAGTGTTTAAAGGTGGATAACCTTCTAGCTTGTCCCAATGTCAGGACAGCATAGGCAGTCTGCTCTCGGGAATGGCTCCAGGAGCCATCCTCGCACTGCTGTAACATGGTCCTTAGGCATCCTTGGAAAAGGCAAATTGACACCCTTGCCATTTCAACAGTGTTCAAGCCATATGGCAAGCCTTTTTGATCAAGTATGGCTTGAAACTCGGTAAGTGCCTGCACCATCAGCATTGTAGAATATAAGTGGCTTTGATTCTGTGTTCGGAGTCAGCCAAGTATCACCAAGCTGTGACATATATCCTTTCATGAGGGTTTATTTAAATATGGATTCGGTACAACTTACCCACTTGTCACGAATTGGTCCGTCTGTATTCCACCAGCATCGCGTTAAAAACTTGACACACTTGAGTATTTGCGGCTGGTATGCACCGACTTGTTTCTGGTGGAGTAGAGCCAAAAGTACATTGCAGTTGGCGCTGAGACTTGCGTCTCGCTCTGAAGGGTAAGTCTGGAAGTGGTTTTTAACTTCAAACTCTTTGACCATCTCATTAACAGAGACATCATATCCCAGTTTATTGAGCGCGAATGCAGCTTTCGCTGTATCATCGGCATCACTTGAAATGGATCGTGCTGTGACATGCAAGTTAGCACGAGTCTACACAAAGACTGTACGTCAAATTCGTGAATTCAGCGTACCAAATCCGATTGTTCCTTGACCTTCTATGAATGAATTCTCAAGCATCCCGGCCACATCGCAAAGCTCAGGGCATTCAATGTCCTTTGCGGTGAAACCCGCATGCAGGAGCGTGGAAAGAAGCTATAATGGCCACCGCTATTAGTTTAGCTGCGTATGCTCCGGCTTTTTGGAGTTCAAAAAAGGTAGTTGTGACTTACCCATGAGTACTCGAAATTAGATGACGGGTATGCACTCGGTACAGCGCCGTGACCACGTCCTGAGCCGTTGACAAGTACGTTTTTTATGTAATCTTCCGCTTCATCGTCCCAGCATGACGCATTCATCAGATAAGCAGCAGTTGCTGAAGGAGACGCCATGAAAGAACCGCCAACTTTATGGTGTACCACCTTGTCAAAGTCAATGATGCCTACAAAGGCTTCGAGAGAGTGAAGTAGGGTCGTTTTATGTTTCCCATAGAGCAGAACTTCTGGATCAAAACGTTTCAACTTTGCCGCGTTGACCTTCATCAGCTCATCTTGGGCTTTGAAGGAGAAGCATAAGCCCTCAGCGGCGAGCAAATTGAGCAATGCAGGCACTATGATCTCAAAGCCGACGTGCGCAGTGCTAGCAATGTCCCAGTCAGACAGCTGTCGCTGAAGGCTTAGTGTTGCACGGTGAATTCTGTCGTCAAGATCTCCATCCTCGCAGACATCATGCAGCTGCAGTGGTTCCCTTGCGTGCCGCTGGAGTGACAGAAGAGGAGCTGCTGTGTTGAGAATTCTGTCGACAGGTGATGTTTGCCGCCCCCAGCTCCCATCATTCTCTTGATTCTCAAGCAGAAATTTGAAACTCTGAGGAAATAGCCATTTCTTTATGCCGTTGAACGGTTTGGCCACCAGAGATACCCAGGCGGTGTCATAAGCTGCACAGCTCATGGAGCCATATCCGTACTTTGGGCTGTAGCCCTCCGCAGCTTGTCGAATAAGTGACACCGCCAGATCCCGCAGCCTGCTGTGATCGTCGATGTCCATAATAGTCATGAGGTTCTGTTTTGCTGCTTGTGCGATAGAACTTGAAATAGGTTGGAAAGCTATGTGTAAAATGACACGGGCCGATAGAGCATTGGCGCTCTCGAATGACTTTATTTCATCTACGAATATAGCATCAACGTATCCGTGGCTTAAAAATTAGCCGCCTTGCCGCGTCTACCGAGAGCAGATATCAGATGGTTGCACTCCGCAAGTTTAACCTAGGTAAGCATGCTCCTTTACGGTAAGAGCTTCTAGCGATACGGTCGTTTGCCCCTGTTTACGCGGAACCCGGAGATGCAAATGGAAGAGACACAAAAGCCAAATTTGGGCTTCCGTAACTCGGGGCTGCAAACCTTGGCTAGCATCCCTGCCTGCGTATCGCGACCCCGAGGGATCGGCAAGAAGGCTCCGACGATGGAGACAGTCAATTTGAACAGGTAGACTATGTACTGATTCAGTATCACGGCTCGGTGAACAGACCTGAGGATCTCGCATTCTAGCCAATTTTCAATCATAATTACGAAGTACATGTGAGACAGCTTTACATTATCACCAACAAGCCTTTCAATCTCAAATAGAAGAGTTCACAGAGTCCGCTCAATCAGTACGGGTTCAGTCTTTGACGACATCTTGTTAATATGGCGATACACGGCTTTGGTATCCATCTTCTGACCAGGGAAGGAGAAGTCTTTACTTTACTAGCTGCTTCTGTGAGTTATTGCGTCTACTCGTGAAAATGGACATGCGTCCAATCTGTTCCCTTCCTGACGCGAAAAACATCGTTAGATCTTCTGCTACGCCATCTCCGTAGGCGTTTATAATGTCTTTTTCCACCCCTTGAAGCATTACCCTGGCCCGAAGCTATGGGCTGTCTCCAGGATCCCTTACAGCAGTATGTATCTTTCCGGAGACGCCCACCGCCGGCTTCTCTCGCTGCACCGTCACTACGGTCCAGTCGTTCGAGTCGCGCCAAACGAGCTATCTTATAACCATCCTGATGCATGGAAGGACATCATGGGACGGCGGAGAACACCCAACGGTGAGAATGGCCGAGATCCAGCATTCTTCTCCAAAGATATCCTGCACAGCATTATAGCTGCAGACAAGGAGAACCACAGCCGTATCCGCCACAATCTCGCTCGTAGTTTCTCGCCACAGGCGTTGCGGGACCAGCAACCAATCATTCAGCATTATGTCGATATGCTCATCAGCCTCCTACGGCAGCAATGTGACAACGGTCGTCGGGCCGTAAATTTAGTTCGATGGCTCAATTACACCACATTTGACATCGTCGGTGACCTGGCTTTTGGAGAGCCATTCCATTGTCTTGAGGCGTCAGACTATGTTCCTTTCGTGGAACTTGTATTTCAGAGCATCAAGAGCGCGGCATTCTTGTTCTGCGCCAGGAGATATCCGCTAATTGAAGGTTTCTTGATGTTGTTGGTGCCGAAGAGCGTCAGAAGAAAATTGCAGGACCATTATGACTGGACCCAGGAGAGGGTCAGCAAGACGCTCAGTGCCAAAAAGGCCCGTCCAGGCTTCATGGAGGCCCTCGTAGGCTACGGAAATAGTGGTTTAAAATCAACAGTATGTTCCACCTGCCTTGCCTCAACCTTTGTTCATTCCACATATTGGCTCCTGTTACTCCGCTCTCCTTACGAATTTTCAGTGGCTGACCAAAATTTATTGACGGGTAACAGGAGAAGCTTACGGAAATCGAGGTACTGGCAACGTCAAATACGCTGATTGTGGCTGGCTCTGAAACAACGGCCACTGTTCTATCCGCCACGTTGTATTACTTGACCACGCATCCTCGGGTATTGTCCACACTTACAGAAGAAGTCAGATCGACCTTTTCTAGTGAAAAGGACATAACACTTTTGAGCGTGCAGACGCTCCGATACACGCTTGCAGTGCTGGACGAAACCATGCGCATCCATCCCGCTGTACCAACTGGCCCACCTCGGTTGATTGCCAAAGGCGGCGATACAGTGTTGAACCAGTATGTTCCGGAAGATGTACGTCCGACTCAAGTTAACCCCCCCCCCCCCAAAAAAAAATGTTTTGAACACAGCATTTACGAATGTTTAGACGGTTGTGTCTGTGTGGCAGTGGCCTCTGTACCACAATCCGGACTACTTTACGTTACCGGATTCCTTTATCCCCGAGCGTTGGATCGATGATGAGCGCTTCGCTCAAGACAAGACACATGCATTCAGTAAGTGACTCACTCCTATCAAATTATCAATGATAGATTCTGATAGATTCTGAAGTGCCCTTTTCCCACGGACCAAGAGATTGTATAGGTCGAAAGTAAGAGTGACAACACAGCCCGTCTGTCTGCCTATGGATGCACTTCTTTCTGACAAAACGTAGTCTTGCATACGCCGAAATGCGTCTCATTCTAGCGCGGCTCGTGTGGAACTTTGATCTCAAATTAGCAGACGAGAGTCGCGGTTGGGCTGAGGCAAGCAAGGTTTTCTTACTCTGGGAGAAGGGTCCACTCATGGTGCATTTGACACCCCGGAAAATTATTGCTGTGGCCAAAACGTCTTTGACGGTGATTCGTGAGGATATTACAGAGACAGCTCACATTGAGAGAGCCCCGGAGGATTCAGTATCCGTGGACGAGTCGCGAGTTCAACGCTCTCAAGAATAACTGCTTTAGACACAGAGAGCCAAAATCGACTCGCGCCATGTGCACATAAGCATATAGGAATGACACGCATCCATAGCATTCAAAAATGCATCCACGAATTATCTCAAATGGTTGTCGCCAAACGATGGTTGCTTCCGTGTGATCTTCATTATGAAGGACTTTGAATGATGTGTGATTCCAAAATACGCCCCTTTCAAAATAGAGAGCTTCTGCCTATGCTTTCTTACAAAGCACTACAATTATTGAATAAAGTATGCTAAGCGACTGGCGGTATTCGTGCCATGCCACCCTCTAAGGAATTACGTTTTGACCCAGTCTTAGTCTTCTACTTTTCATCTTTACGTCTATTGGCTGGTTTGTTGCTTCCACTGCTCCTACCAAACGAGATTTTCTACAGCTTGGTCAACAATAATTGGCTTATTCTGTAGCAGCGCGCACAGGCAATTCACATGCATGTTCCTGTAATCTCAGCAGAATCCCCCGAACAGAATTGCCGAGAGCATATGGACGTGTCGACGCTGTGGAGCGGTTCGGAAACCAAAAGCGGAAATAAACCACTTATGACTCAGTTTGACTCGCCATAAAAGTTTATGCAGCCTCGGCGAGCTTGAACTTGCGTGCAGGCAAAAGATCCAGAGATCGTCGAAGCAAGGTTCCTATGGTCTCTATTTTCTGTGGATAAGGGGGATTTTTGTCTCCAGTAGCCTGGCCACCGTCTGATCAATCCATTTCGGGCAAAACACAAAACCCAAAGGTTACCTAGTGAGCAAATTATTGCTAAAGCAACACAGAGCATTACTCTTCCTGTAGTCCTTTTCAGTCTTAGTCCGGCAAAGGAAGCAGAACAGGCAACTGCTGACATGTTCTCAGTTCCTGTAATTTACATGCTGTGAATAAGTCTTTGGGATGTTATATTGAAGCACATGTAGTCAGAAAACAATTAGCTATTGCCACGCATGTCTGAAATTCCATTTGAATTCTTTCCAGTAGCAATAACTTAATCGGCTTAACTCGTGATCATTGAGTATCTTATCAAAATGGAGTTCACATTGAATGGAGGCGGAAGTTTTGTCGACACAACACCGCACGTCACTTCATTCATCGCAAAAGCAGACCCTTCCCACGTACCGATAGTCTATGTATTTGTGGCGTCCGCATTGTGCCTCTTATTTTATCGCTACAAGTCTATTTCTAGCTCGAGACACACCGCCCCATTAATCAACCCTAAGCGGCCATTCGAGCTCACGAACGAGCGGCCTCGAAGGGAATTCATCGCAAACTGCAGGAGCATTATTCACTCGTGGTTTAAGTCACACCCAAACAAGCCGGCGCGTGTCAATGGGGATATCGGTGAATATACCATTTTACCCCCCAGCATGATTGTTGAGGTCGATAAGGAACATTTGGTATCCTTGACACGGTGGAGCTACAAAGTACGTCGCAACATTGCTTCTCCTACCACATCTGAAGACACAGCCGATGAGAGACAAATTTTAACACATCTATGATGGTAGTATTTTCATGCGAACATCCCAGGGTTTGAGGCATTCTTGGAAGGTTCCAACGACAACCAAGTTGTGAGGAATGTTATCCTTAAATTTCTGACCACCAAGAACCTCGGTAAGCTCCCACAGCCCTCACTACTGGATCTATTCAGAAGCGAAGTCATTGAATTAGTTACTGACGCAGGTTGATCACACTTCCAGCCAAGGTCACAGAGCCTCTTAAAGAAGAGGTCGGTTTAGCTCTGTCGGACCTCTTTACTGAGGACAAAGGTGAGCCAACTTTTTTTTAGCGGTCCTCGGGGTGGTGCGGCCAATCTTAGGCTCCAGCCAAACTGATGATGAGCTCTGAGTCTACAGAATGGCATTCTGTTCCTTTACGGCCAACGGTCGCGCGCCTGGTCGCTCGGATGGCATTCCGTGTCTTCCTCGGCGAGCCCCTCTGCCGAGATGAGGCCTGGCTGAAAATCGCAACTGAGTACGCCACGACTGGATGGCAGGCAGCGAATGAACTACGCGACTGGCCCGAGATCCTCCGCCCTTATGTGCACTGGTTCTTGCCAATGTGCACCGCGGCGAGAGCCCAAGTGAAAGCGGCACGCGACATCATCTCGCCACATGTAGAGAAGCGCCGTGAACTTCGATCCCAGGGGCATAAGTTCAACGATGCTCTGGAGTGGTTCGAGGAAGCCTCCAAGGGTGCACCATACGACCCTGTCATTATACAATTAATTTTGTCCCTGGCGGCTTTGCACGGTACCACGGACTTGATATGTCAGGTCATGACCCAGATCGCAAAGCACCCAGAGATGGTGGGACCGCTGCGCGAGGAGTTTCTCGCAGTGATTAAAGCCAGCGGATTGACACAGAACGGACTTACTCAGATGAAGTTACTCGACAGCTTCATCAAAGAATGTCAGAGAGTAAAGCCTATTCACAGTGGTAAGCATTTATGTTCATGGCTCGTGCATGATTACAGTTCGACTGACTAAATGCCTTCGTATTCAGCAACTATGCGACGGGTAGCTCTCCAAGACCTACATCTATCTGACGGCACAGTCATCCCCAAGGGAGGCATGCTGGCCGTATCGACACATCGGTTCTGGGACCCAAGCGTTCATGCTAATCCTGATGTATTCGACGCATATCGGTGGTTAAGGATGGGCGAACAGCCCGGTAAGACAAACTTTGCACAGCTAATCAGCACGAGCCCGGATCACCTTGGCTTCAGTCATGGGCTGCATGCCTGCCCCGGCCGGTTCTTTGCAGCCAAGGAAGTAAAAGTTGCTATCATTCACTTGCTGTCTAAGTATGAGTGGAAGACTCCAGATGATTGGGTGGAGACAAACCCTGAAAACTCGTTCAATATAGCGACAGATCCGTGGCTCAAAATTCAGATACGTAGACGAGAGGACAAGATTACAGTCTAGTGTCTGTATTCTAGTACTTGACGAATGAAGCCTGCCTTATGCCACATATGAGGAAAAATGCCAAGAGAACCATTCAACGCCACAGAATTTCCCCTCATAACATCCAAAGCCACCTCAGGATAACGAGCGCCTCCTTGTCATAAAAATTGCTGTCACTAAACGTTCTCGCAGACTCCTGATCCGAGCATCATGAGCTGGCCACTCATTCAGCTGAACAGCCCGCTGAATCTTTGTAGTCAGTCCATCAAGTCTCGTCATACGAGCGATTAACAAGCTCTGTATCACTTGTTCCTCATCCTCATTGTCTAAACGCCACTTTCCAATCTTCAGACCAGTCCCGGTGCCGCGGAGATAAGAGGAGAGGTCCGATCCTCTTCGAAACTGCTGAGATCTTGCACCACCGTTCAGTTTGCCAGTGGCATGGGTCGAGATCTGATCAGAGCCTCGGGCGACGGAGGTTGTGGTGTCTCCTCCACCAAATGCCACGTTGGCTGTTGGTGCCGCCAGCGGCGCGGTGCACTGGCTTCCCGTGCCAGCTAGCTCCTCAACACTTGAAAGCATGATATTGCAAATGGATATGCTCAGCATAACGCATTCTGGTCGCACGCTACACGCCTGACAGTTGACGAGGGTCTCGCAGCTGGCAACCGCACTCTTGAGGCACTGCAAAACCGTGTCCACCGGGGCAGCATGCTGATCACTGTGGGCATTATTTCCGCGATTTTGTCCCTGGCCGATCATCGGTCCGGCCGATTGAAATGAGTAGCCTGTCTCAGAGGGGTTTACCGCCTTTCCCTCCAGGTTGATGATGATATCTTGGTAGGTGAGCAGCACTTGGGTGATGCAAGAGCACTCACAGCTCCCATTATTGGTAGGTGGTACCGGTGGCACTAAATGCCGTTTAGTGCTGATGCTCTCAAAGACGTAGGTACTGCTGCTTGCAATGCTGATGTTGTTGGGCGGTGACACATCAACCTCTAGCATCGTGGCATCGTTTGTGGCCCCAGAGATGGGTAGAGCGTTGCTCGCATTCCCCGTTGTGTCCGACGAGTCATCCGATTGTGAAGGCAGGAATATAGCAGGAGTTACTGCTTGTCGCTCTGCTGTCAGTTCAGAGTGCAATCATGTAAACAAAGCGGGTGTCTGCTGGCTTTACTATGTGCCAACCAGAGGACATACCTTCAACATGATACGCGGTGTCAAGCGGATCGATCGAGTCATCCGCCATTTCTGCTCCTCCGAAGAGATTGAAATCCAACTCGGGCATGTCGCTGAAAAACATATCAACAGTATGATCGTGGTCATTATTTTCCTGGGTTTCGGTCTGCTGCTTGGGGACCTCCACTGGGGTTGTAGAAGACGTTCTTGTCGACGAATCGGTTCCATCGGCAGTGCGGTTTCTACCACTGCTGGGTTGATAGATGCATTCGATGGCTTTTGCGAGGCATCGCTGGCAGCCATTCTCTTCGCCGGAACATCTTAACTACAAGGGCAAAGGAGAACCATTAGCATCATTTCGATATCTCCCAAGGAGGAACACATCGTCATGGCCATGTGAAACACCCATAGCAAGTCTCCTAAGTCTCAAAGTTGTCATGATAATGAATGAGCATGTCTTTGCTCGCACCTTCTTCACTCGACAGTGTACACACGCATTCTGTGCAAGCGGGCCCCGCCGCTTCTCCTTGATTCGGTTCCTGACTCTCAAGGTCTCGAGGCCAGTCGTCGAGTCGTTATATTTCAAAGTGCTAAACATGGTACAACCCGGGATCTCTCACAATATGTATAGCGCTGACAAGAATCTGGTGGCGAGCGGTTCGGGTCGGTCGATCGTCTGTGTTCAACGACTCGAGTAAAGGACCAGACCCACCTCAGTTCAGGAATGATTGAAGAGGACAGGAACCGGGGCGCGATATTTATGATGGATTTGTGGGCGTGAGCCATCGAACATCATAGACGGTGGGCAGACCCCACAATCGATTGAATCGTGTCGCCTGCACCTCTTGAGTCGTTTTGAATCTTAAACAATAGTTCGCAGGGATTCCAAACTCTATGACGGGTTCTATAGGCTCTTCTTTCCATTTCCAGAGGCCGGTCTCAGTTTTAACATATGTGTCTCGCTTAGAATAGTACGGATCGACGATAATTATGGGCATATCTTTCTGCTCCCTGTAAAGGCTCCCAAGCATAACTAATGGGGAAAGCGACCCCGGTCATAAGGCTTGCCCAGCCGACATATTGCTCTCAGCTGCGTTGTATGGGAGTATAACTTTGTCATTGTCGGAGTGGATAAGTCAGAGTATGATTGGCCGTGTGGTTTCACCGAGGTCTTGCCGGCATGCGTATGTTGCAACCGGTTGTGTTTTCCTGCCCAATCCGACCCCTCCCTTTTCTAATGGATAGTAAGCCTGAGCATTATTCAATGATGACTCTACCCCCGGCCGCATTATATGGGCACTGTCTCGGCATGCGGCTTTCAGCGAACGAACACGTAGCCCATGATCCGCTCATTTAAAGCTCCTCGGTAAAGACCGAAATGGCGAATTCAAACGCAGCGGCAATCTTTTTTCCTAACTTCCTCCCCGTCCTTTTGCCGACCGGGGGCAGCTTGTCCACAATGGCTGCTATGAAGCGGTTCGCCTCCTCCTGGTCGTCCTTGAGTTTGGCGATCATGATAAAGGTGATTCCTGCGTGGTCCAACTTAGGCTTGGCGTGGATGAGGATGGCCAGCGAGGACTCGATATCCTTCAGCAGCTTCTTAGTTGCCGTCTTGATCTTGATGGCTATTGTGACAGACACCTCTTTCGAGCTTTTGGCTGCCTCGGTGCCCTCCTCGATGGCTTCAAGGAGGTTTCTGCCTGCTCTCGAGATGGGGAAAGAATCGAAGGTGTCGCCACTGAAATTTTGAACAGCTGCGGCGAGATCCAAGGTTTGTTGTTGGACGTCTCGGATATGATCGACAATAGCATGTGTTGGCCGGACGGCCTCTGCTACTTCGGCGTGAACGCTGGCCACGCCGAGAAGCAGGCTGAACAGGGTGAGACAAAATTTTAATATGAGCATTTTGTCCAGAATGGTCAAAGATAGTTATAATGTTCTTTGGGGTAGTCGAAAGAGAAATTATTCTGAGAGAACTTTCGCCGTGCGCTTTCGCCGTGCGACTCTACTTCTTTGGGTATTACCTACTTAAGTACTCCTATAGATTTGTCAAGGGGTATGAAGAGTCACTCACCATAGAAACGTCATAGTAAGGCCGAATTGCCCGCTTGAGCTCCTAGTAAGATCGACCAGTCGTGCCTCGCGGCCTTTGGCTCCTGGCTAGTGAGAGAAGCTCCGGCTGTCATCTGTGCTGGCCGTGCAAGCCATTTGCAAGACCACGCAACGGGAGAACTGCACTGGCTTTCGCCCAAAGTCAAGACAATAATACGAGCTTTAGTACATGATTGAGCTGCAATTTTTTTTTATCCAAAGTAATCTTCAGAATCGACTCCTCACGGCGTGGTACATGGCAATTGATTGAGGCCAAAGGACAAAAGCTATGCCTGAGACGACCTTGGTCCGAAGCGATGCTGATTAGGGGTGAACACGCGATGGAGTGACGTGTACAACAGATATTATGAGCAGATATTATGGGTTTCGATTCACGAGGCAATGTTCTTCTCCTTGCCTTCCAAAGACATGGTAGATCATTGCTTGTCCTGTGCTTAGGGTTGTTGCCGACGGCGTGGTGAGTCGTGACAGGCGATGCTTTACCTATCGAATCGATTTTTCTCGATGGAGGTATGTAGAATTTCTTAGTTCCAGGTCCATGTGTAGGGCCTAGTCTGTGCACAAGACTGATGCTGGACGAAATCCAGTTTTTGAATGTCGCTGTGGTACGCTCTTGACATCCGCGGGTCACACACCGAGATTGTATGCTGTCCCGTCTGCGCCACGACGATACGGGAGATAGACGACACAAGCACTGATGAGTGATCCGTCCTGTTCACTTTCGCATGAGGTTGTGGGACGGCATATCAGCTGTGTCCACAGTGCAAGCCTGGTCTTAGTGGGCGCTGATGTAGTAGTGTGTAGTCTGGCCTGTTCAAAACTCGTGTGGTTGGCCTTCGTGGGACGGCGGAAGTTTAAATTATTTAGCAATCTAGGTTAGAGAGTTGGCCCCCCCCCTCCTTTCACCTCAACACAACACGGGGTCCAGGCCCCAGCATCTATACTCACCTTCGATTTAAGCTATGATTATCCACATGAACTTGTATCTGGACAGCTTTACCCCAAAAACATATCATGAAAGCACCAAGGGCTGGCAGGTCTACTAGAGCCGGAGATACGGTAAGGGCAAGTCATCAAGACCAACAGAAAGGACTGGTCGGCATTAAGTCAGTCAGTCATGTTTGACTCTTGACGTTCAACATGTGTGACTGCGATATTTAGCAGGCGAGATTGAGATTGGGGGAACTACAGGACGAGTGTAATACGTCGCGATGATGGGACAAACAAGCGTATAGAAGGAAGGGATGAACATGGACCGAATCCACAATAACAGGATGAACCATGGGGAGGGCAAGTGCCAAGGTGTCAAACTGTCAAACTGTTCAAGGGTGCTACACGTGTACTAGCGGTTGATCCACCCTAATCATGAGCTAAGATGCACCTGCGGCCCTGCCTGACTGCAGCCTGCGCGGTTTAAAACCTCAGGCAGAGAAGGGCAAGAGAAGAATTTTGGAAGGAAGGAAGCAGCACCTCGGGAAAGGAAGGACCAAGAAGGAGGCAGGGAGGCAAGGGACTCGGGGAGGTACTGTGGTAAGGCAGCTGCAAGGCAAAGCTCCAAGGTGTCAGTGACCCCACCGCGCCCAGAGATAAGCTCTCGGCCGCTAAGCCGAAATGAGGCGTGGGTCATTCGACGAACGGGCAAACCACACTCACTCTGCTACTTCCTGATCGTCCATCTCCTGCCTGTCAGCCTGTCTTCTATCTCGCCATCTCGCCTCAACCCCCCCCCCCTTTCTCTTCACCCTGCATCGCCCTAAACCACGTCGACCAGCATAGTCAACCAGACTGCCAGATAGACGTGCACCATGGCTGCATCAACCCCCCTAGATGAGGCCAACCAGTCCGTTCCTGCATGCCGATTAATGCTACTTGAGGTGCATCGCGCACGCCCTAGCTACCAACCAACCGGTTGCTGCACCGCCAATTAGACGAGAGCCTCCTCCAGAAAAAGAATCTTGTCTGCCCTGCTCCCCTCGTGTGTAATATTCACTTGTCAACGCCTCAAAAATCAACTACAACCAGCGCCGCCGCATCTGGTGTGGCGCAATCCTTTCCTCAAACCTTCAAGGTCTCCCTGAGCCGCCTGTGGCAGCTTGTGGTTGGTCAGTCCTCGTCGAGATAACGAAGGATTCCGGGAACGCCCCCGGCCCTCTCTCATTTCGACAAACAACAACAACACAAGACGCTGCCCAGCCTGCCGGTCGGCCAATCCGCCCCTCAGCCTGCAGTCCACCACCAGTCTTGCTACCACTCTGCTCCATGTTGGCGTCGATTCTCCGATCTCCCGAGACCCCAGTGGCAGAGTCTCATGCGGTCATCACCTGGCGCCCGCCATCTCCTCACTCCTTCGCCGTCAGCCGGTGCAACACTACATCACGATGTCCCGTGTTGTATTGTACCATCCATCCAGCCCATCGACAATAATTGGCGGGCCAAGATCTCAAATAGGGCTCCCCAGAGGACCTGGGTCTGCCTAGCACAGCAAGCAAGCTCCTGGTGTTGGGTTGGCCGGCGCCAGCCCTGCCCTCACCTCGGCTTGCCCATCTATCCATGCCCCGACTCGTGTAATCTCCTACCCTATTCTAGCCTCCATGGTCAATTTCCGCCTGAGGTGTCTGTTGGTACACGTCTGCAGCAATCCATGTCTCACTCAAAACCAGCTTCCTAGTCCGTCTCGCTCCAAGCCTTCACTTCAGCCGCCGGCTTCTCGTACTCTGCATACTGCTGTTTCCGAAGCATGCCATTCAATCTCGGCCTGGAGCCTGGGCTTTCTTGCCCGAGTCTGCTTCTCCCGGGAACAGCAAATCAGCTATGGCTGCGTAGACATTGCCATCCGTCCGCAAACCAGCTCAGTTGTCTTCCACACATCAAGTCCTGATAAGCCAGCGGGCCTGCGATGAATCGGGCAAGTGGGCCGCTTCACCAATCCCACTTGGTTCCGACGCGTCGGATTTCACCCTCCAAACTAGCAAGATGGCAGACCTGGCAGGGTCCGCCACACACAAAAGTTCGCTGTTCTGTATACACCAACAAGCGGTTTAGGACTTCGTACGCTCCCATGGACCCGCTGCTTATCTTTCCCCGGCTGTCTGGCCTCGAGGTGAGGTTCCACCCCGGGCGGGCTTGGAACAGGCCAAGCCTCCACGGGCTTCTCCTTCTCATTGGATGGCCTTTTTCTTGATATCTTTGCCGCATGGCCCGTCCAGGGCCCAGATGGCATGCGCATGCAAAAGGCAGGCCATTGTCGAAATTGTCTTGCAAAAGGAGGGCATCCCATCGGATGCGCCAAGCCTGCGTCTATCCTTGCCCGGACCGAGCTGAGACCAGTGTCTTGCTCACTATTTATCTACCTGCTTACCCACTCCAACGGTCTTCCCCAAGACCCGGGCCCGTCTCCTGCTTCTTTTCTATTCGTTTGCTTCTTCTTCTGTTGAAAAGCTTGCAGTGCTCCTTTTTCTGCCTGTCGCTCGGACTTGTGACAGCTGGAAAAGTAGTGACAACCGCATACAACACAGTCACCCCGGCCCGAGAACCTGAACAAAATGTCGGCCGGGCCTCTGGAGGAATACAACGGCACGACCGGTGTTGCCGACACTGGTGGCGACTCGCTGACTGCCGACCTTAATGTTTACTACTCGGTATGTTGCAATCCCAGCTCTCCATCCCGACTCACTTGCAACCTCTTGAGTATTGAACCTAACAAGCTTCTCATCAAATAGTCGGGCGACTTCGCATGGATCCTCACCTCCTCGGCCCTGGTCCTGCTCATGGTCCCTGGCGTGGGCTTTTTTTACAGCGGTCTTGCCCGTCGCAAATCGGCCCTTGCCTTGATATGGCTCTCCATGATGAGTATAGCGGTCGTGGGGTTTCAATGGTTCTTTTGGGGCTATAGTTTGACCTTCAGCCACACCGGCAGCGCCTTCATTGGCGATCTATCCAACTTCGGTCTCATGAAGGTCCTGGGTCAGCCCAGTGTTGGAAGCACCAAGATCCCTGACTTGCTCTTTTGTCTGTACCAAGGCATGTTCGCCGCGATTACGTATGTCGAGCCTTGAAGCCACCCTCCAGGAACCTTCATTGGGATATGTGGAACTGATAGGTCTATTCAACAGGCCCGCCCTCGCCATCGGCGCCGCAGCCGATCGTGGCCGAATGCTTCCTGCCCTCGTATTCATCTTCATCTGGGCAACTATCGTCTATGACCCTATAGCTTACTGGACCTGGAACGCCAACGGCTGGTCCTTCAAGCTCGGCGGTCTCGACTTCGCCGGTGGCACGCCTGTGCACATTTCTTCGGGAGCTGCCGCTCTTGCCTACTCCCTGATGCTCGGCAGGCGGACTGGCTACGACAAGACCCACGGCCTTCCATACCGCCCACACAACGTTACCCACGTCGTTCTCGGCACAGTCTTCCTGTGGGTCGGCTGGTTCGGCTTCAACGGTGGTAGTGCTCTCGCCGCGAACCTGCGTGCCGTGATGGCTTGTATTGTAACACACATTGCGGCCTGCGTCGGTGGCTTCACATGGTGCCTCATGGACTATCGTCTGGAGAGGAAGTGGAGCACTGTTGGCTTCTGCAGTGGTGTCATTGCCGGTCTGGTCGCTATCACGCCAGCCTCTGGTTTCGTGCCGGCATGGGCCGCTGTCATTTACGGAGTCGTTGGCGGAATCTCGTGCAACTTGGCCACCAAGATCAAGTTCTGGCTTGGCATCGACGACGCGCTCGACATCTTTGCGGAGCACGCTGTTGGTGGCATAGTTGGAAACCTCCTGACCGGCCTTTTCGCTGCGTAAGTTCCCGCCCTTGACCACCATTCAAACTGTTACAAGCAGCTAAACTCTCATCACAGTGATTACATCGCGCATCTTGACGGATTCTCTGAAATCGATGGCGGCTGGCTCAACCACAACTATATTCAGCTGGCCTACCAGCTTGCCGACTGTGTTGCTGGCTTCTCGTGGTCTTTTGTCGTCACCTGTATCATCCTCTTCGTGATGAACCTGATTCCTGGCCTCAGCCTGCGCGCTTCGCTCGACGAGGAAGAGCTGGGGCTGGATGATGCCCAGCTCGGCGAATTCGCCTACGACTATGTCGAGCTGAGCCGCACGATGAACGATGTGCTCGGGGGCTCGAACGATGGCCATAACTCTAGCCGTGGAAGCCTGAAGAACGTGCCAGTCACTCCTCCCGCCAAGAACGACGTTACTGAGAAGATGGCGTAGGAGCCAAAAGAAATTGAGAGCCAGATGTGGCGCCGCTCCAAAAAGGAGAGAATGAGGTCTCAATAAGAGATTTGTCACTGCGCTCGACTCGCACCACATGCTTGATACCAATTTGTTTCTGTATCTATTTGCATTTTAATTAGGATGTCGTGCCCTGGGAACGGACAGAGGCACTTATAGCTAGCTCCTAGCCACATGCAATCACTCCATCAGACCCGGCATTTTGCCAAACCATGTTCGCACTTTCAAAATATGCCCTCCTCCTGCCCTATAATAAGACTGAAAACTTGCCGTATGTGTGGTTTCCTGCCCACCGCTGTCCACCTCAATCTTAAGCATCCTTCTTCACCACCTGTTTCTAATTTTCCGCATACGCCTTTCGCCAGACAATTTCTCCAGCCGAAGGATCCATGACCACCGCAAAGTGTGTCCCTTCATTGCTTATGGGGCCGGTTTTGACCATAGTTAGCAGGTCCTCATGGGTCATGGTCTTGTCCTGCTCGTCCTCGCGAACGCCACAGCGGCAGTGCGAGTGACGATCCTGCTGATCGTGTTCTCCAGCATTGTTGCGCCGTCTTGCGTCCATTATGCCTTCTCGCACGGCCATGATACTCTGTTTCCGCTCCATGGATTGGTCGATGATCCAGCCAATGCGATGGGGGAAGCCTGGGAGCACATTGAGGAACGACCTGGTTTCCTGTTTCGGTTGTCCCGCCTCGGGGTCGTTTCTGGGAGATGCCTCTTCCGCCACGTCATGGTTGCAAGCGACGAGGATGTTGTCGGAACTCGTCCAGGTCGCGGAACGGTGGTCTTGCTCAATGCTATAGACGCGCGTGGGGGTGCACAGGACCAGGTATGCAGCTGTAGAGGGTGCAGCCTGGAGCTTTTGCAGAATATTACTTATCTCTGCGTCCTTTTCTCCGCTGCCATGAATCCTTTTCGGTGAGTCTCCTTTGGAATCGCCACACTTTGGTGGGGTGGCAGTCTCAGCACCGAGTGACTCATTGTCGAAGAGCAAGCTGCGCAATTGACTCGAGATGCCAGGTCTCCGACCAATACAGGCCAACAACTGATGACCCCGATACCTGAACCGCTTTCGCAGGGTGCTGCGGTCATGCAACACCCTCGAATTAAGGCTCACACTCAACCCGGGCCTCACGCCCGTCAAGACACCCACGTACCCGTAGTAAGTCAAAGTCCTCGCCACGACAGGGCCGCCTTCAGAGGCGACAAAGTCGAGCTCGATGATCATCTTCCGGAGGGGACCGTCACACCAGTCGAGTGTGCGGAAATGAAGCATGCTTGTGGTGCTCCGGTCACCGTCACCGGCTGATGTGCCCTCGGGGCAGCCGCTCGAGCCATGGGCCTCCTTGTCTGCAGGAACGCTCACACGCGCCCCGCCGCTTGTGCACCCCATAGCCATATCCAAAAACACGTTGATCATCACGAGGATTGAGTGTGGGATCCCAGTAGCCTTGGATATGCCCCTGAGCTCGGCGTCCTCCTCGTCCGAGTGGAGTCGCCTCATGAGGAGATGGGCTGTTATTCTTAGCGCAGCAGCGATAGACGGCCCGACGGTTTCGTCGAGGATATTATTGAATTCCTGTCGGAGGTCCAGACGCTGCTTCATGTACGCTGTGACTTGGTCGTAACGCCGCTCTGGGGCCAGAGACAGGTTGACGGTCAGCCTCGGTGGGTCATAGGGATAAATTTGTTCTCCCGGGCCCGTGTTCTTGTCTGCCATGGCCCAGACATTGGAGGTGTCCGGACTGTCTCCGGAGCTGGCCATCGAGATGGTTATAGGAGTGTTGTTGACACAGTCTGCGATGACCTCGATTGGTATGTTTCGTCGTACGGGGTCTTCTGCCTGTGCTTGTGGGTGACCCCGGAATACCAGGGATTCAATCAGCTTTTAGGAATTCGACAGGATTTATCACGATAGCTTTCAAGAATTTAACTCAATTTTGGAATCAGTGACTCCCCTTCCGTATCAAGAGAAAGCCGTGGTCAAGGGGCCATCAGTGACTCGACCAGCTCGAAGTGTACGATATGGTCACGTTGCCTTCCGGTGAGATGGGACCTAACGATATCTACCCAGTGATTAGAACGTTTTGTTGATTCTCATGTAACTCGTCTGTAATGTTCTGCCCACATGTGCAGAGATGCCACCTACACGTGCACGGTTATTGAATGTTCTTTGGGCTCCTATGCCGATATGCGGGCGCTGTTAGGATATATATACCTACACATGCCTGTGCCCCTGTATTTTGAGGATAATTACTACCATAGGACCTCCAGTACACTCTCGCGTAGATTCCAGAATGGCCCAGTGGATCTACAGCATCTACTGAGACGGACCTGGTCTCGTACAGTCCGTACTTTGCTTTCCCTTCCTGAGCATCACTCAAAAGTCACCATGATCCATTCAGGCATAAAGGTTTTCTCGCGCTGAAAATCCTGGCGTAGTTGGTAGATGTTGTCATGAAAAGCCGTTCGGCAAAGCTGGTACACTTTCCTTGAGGACATTGAGAAGAACTTGTATAATCGTGGCATGCGTATCACTTTTCGTCTTCATCACATTTATTTTACACAGACCTAGGTCGTTCAGAAGCTACGACTCCATATAATTTCATTTCGCTGGTCTCGAGTACCATGTGAGCCGTAAATTGCAGTATAAATAAACTCATCGGCATTTTCGACACAAACGAGCACTACTTCCAGTGGTTATTTCAAACCCATTGCTTCCAATTATTTGAGCTCCTACTGTCCATTCTCGAATGGAATCATAGGTCCAGTCTTGCTCTCCAGGACCTTGAGCGGCGTTCCAACGCGCTGATCTATCTCACTCCACTCACCTTGACGTGCATAACGATTTGGTGATCGACATGTAAACTCCTGACGACACTGCAGTACAAGTGGATAAGGGCCATTTTTTATGTGCTACCTGATCAGATCGTGGCCTGAACTACACCCTTTCAATGTTAGGTACGTTGCAACTTTCGTAGAATCAATAGTCTTGGAGCTTAAGCCTTGACAGCGCAGATCACGGCTGCTCCCGATCTTAGATCCTTGTGCACGGGCAAAGTGTCTCAACACAAGGTTCTTCCCTACTTTAGCGCCGAGCCAATCCTTCTTGGAACGCCGATCCTGACCACGCGCTCAACCGAGGGAAATATTAATCAATCTCAGATCTGTATAGCAAAGAACCAGGACCGCTGATTTGTCGAGGTAGTCACTCTCCGAGGCGAAAGGCTGAGACGGTGAGTTAACACTCTTGGAATGATGATTGAGGTAGAATGCCGGTTTGGTTTACTTGACTAGTGTGGTTCATCCGTAGAAATGGCAATCTTAAGGCACAGTGTTGTACCAGTGGTCGAGACGGGATTATCAATCTCGCGAGCCAGCCATCCAGCTATCCAAGATGCCTTCTCCTTGGCACCTATTGTGTATGACGACTTCGAACCTCTTCCGAAACAGAGTCCTCGTATAACTTATGTATAAGACTAATTATCTCCTGTGAATAACACAAGATTTTCATTACTTGTGACCAAGCGTGTGCATTACAGTTTGCATGACGAGAATTCACCCTCGTTATTGTGGTAAAAGTCCAACATCGATCACATCCTCTTCTTGGATCACTATTTGGCCCCCTTGTCACAAGAGTCTGAAAAGGGTAATCTTGACAATGCCCTAGATCCCTTGATTCTGTGGGATGCGGACATTATCCGGGTCCAAACAGAGCCAAGATGCAGCGGAACCCCTCCGCCCCTGAGCCCCATTTCTTGGGGCCGACCTTTTGGCTACACATAGTGCTTTGACACTACCTCCTGAGCCAACTCATCCGAGCAATTGAGCTAACAGAGAGAAGACCGGCGGTCAGCGATAGGCCCTACGGCGACGAAGCTCAATTAAAAAGGAGTGATCAGCACGAGTCAATGGCAGTGGCCTTCCCAAAGAAGATGACCTTGGTGCCAGAATACCTCACAAGCGTGATCTATGTGCGATTCATATTATTATCAAAATCGCTACTGTGTGCAGTGGTCAGTAAGCAGGACTTGATTGGGTCATTGAAGTTTTCTGGGGTGCCAGGAGGTACATAGCTCAATGAAGTCCAGGGGATGAGGGATGCATGCGTGGAATTAGTGGGTATTCCAAGAAACAGGGAACATGTATAAAACAATGGCTTGTAGACATACCGTCAGAGCTGATTTTAATAACCAGCAGGAACATCAGATGGATCATTACCCGATACCTCATAGCCACGTTACAGAAAGCTGAGATACGTATATTGGAATGACATTGGAATGACATTGGCCCTGATGTAAGCTCAGCGAATTCAAGTAGACAACATATGATCCATCTGTGAGCCAACATCAGATGAACTCCTTACCACCCCTGATGCGACTCGGCCTCCCTTTTTGTTGCTGCCCCGTTCATCCCACCACCGTAAACCATATCTGGGAATCTCAACCATTGCGATCCACTTCGGTGCATTTGCCCCTCAACTCTCAGGGACAACGCAAGCAATATCTATATCTGCAACTCTGGCGTGAAGACTCGGCAGACTTAAGCCTAAAAGCATAAGTATGAAAGGGGGACAGACGAGGGTTCAATGTTTCTTCTGGAGCTCATCGATTCGACGATGGCATTGTTTCGTACTCTTGGCATTGCCCTTAATTCCCGGAGATCGTGATACGAGGGTTATCCCTGAAACCCTACTCCGAGGCATCTCCTTTTGAAGACAAGAACAAATCCTCAAAAGCCGGGACCGAGGCACAGGCCAGCTCTGCTAAAGTTAGAACACTTGCAGAAGCTAACCTCTGGGATGTAGACAGGCTGCTGGATTAGAGAATATCTCACGGCTGGCCTAGCCTACAGTATGTCCGGGGCCGCGTGTCTAGCGCCGAGGGCTGCATATGTCTCCGACTCGGCCGTATGATTGGGCAAGCGTGCAGAGCAAGTCGGTGCAGTGAAGGCAGACTAGGATCACAAGAGGGAGGCGTCCTCTCGAACTTCGAGAGCCGTCGTTCATCAAGTAAGGACCGCGGAGCAGATGCCGGCAGCTCCTCTGAAGTCTGCACACAGTACGATGACTGCTCTCTGACATGCTACATGTGAACTCATAGCCTCGCCATGGTGCCCGCTGCCAGGTGCAAAGTGGGTGCACAACAGGACGAAAAGGGAAAGAAAACGATTTATTGGAATCGTGAAACGTCAGCAGCCCCCTGTACTCCCGCAATGAAGGGCCGTCGGCTGGGGGCGTCTAATGCCAAAGCGCGGCGGGATCGACGATAGGTGGAGACGGCTCGGTGCGGCTCCTGGGCAACTTCGACCAACGGCGTAACGCCGACAGGCGGACGTCCAGGATGTGCTGCAGGGGTTGGAAAACCTCCGTCTGGACCACACGGCCGGAAGCAGGCCAGAAGCAGAGACTGAGCCTGAGCCTCCTCGACCACACATGTCCACATCAGCTCATTTGCGGCGTCAAGCACTCGATAGTGTTTCGAAACAATCTTCACCATCGAATGCCTCCGTATAGCCGAACCAGCCCTGGAGGGCATTTCACTCCGTGTTGACGGTGGATCATGGGCGTCTAGGGCTGCATGTCGCGCCAGCTCGAGTGGGCTGGCCTGGACTCACTTCTCCTGATGGATTCTTCCTCGCGATGACACCGCCGCCCGGAATCTATAAGGACAGCGGGCCTCCCCAGGTTTCCGGATACTATCTCGGCTTTGGCATCTTCGTCGACAGTGTCTTCTTCTCACGTTCTCTTTTGCTTCATCCACAAACCCGGCGGGTTATTCATTCTTTCCACAGGTGCTAGCTCACCCAGTTCATTCTTTTTCCACACCTTCATTCAACCCTTGATCGGGATACAGACTTACTGATCTCAATCCATTGACGTTCACTGATCATTGATCCAACCAAAACCACAAGAAGAAAACCACTTGTCCATCATGCGTTTCCAATCAGCTGGGGCTCTCGCCTCTCTCCTGCTCTTCTCCCGCGTGGCCGTCGGAGCTGCCCTTCCGGACGCAGCAGATGCCACCCTCTTAGCTGAGGACGACGATACTTGCGACCCGGACCTTGAGGAGACTGTCACTGCTACAGTCGTACCTCTTTCTTCTGCCATCGCAAGCCCTTCGCAAACTGGCATCGCGTCCAACCCTCAAAGCAGCGCTGCTCCTCTGGCCGCCAACGGCACGGTGCCCACGCCCGCCTCTGAGCAGCTGACCACTCTGACCGTGCTGTCGACCCAAGTTCGAACAGTCATCAGCTGTGCCCCGACCGTTACCAACTGCCCGGCCGATTCTTCATCCCTCTCCGAACTGGCCTCCACAGCGCCCGAGCAGGTGTCTACCGTGCTCGTCACGGACGTTGTGCAGCTCGCCACGACTATTTGCCCCGTGACAGCCGCTGAATCAGTGTCCTCCAGCGTCATTTCTGTTGCTGCGACAGGTGGAATCACTGGTACAACCCTCACGGCGTCGTCGACCAGCTCGGGTTTTCTCCCGGGTTCCCTCCCGACTGACGCCTCACGCCCTTCGGAATCTGGGGCTGGCAACGGTCCTCTGCCATCCGGAGAGGCCGCCAGCTCTTCTGGAATTTCTCCTGTTCTCCCATCCGAGTCTGCTGCTGACGTCCCCTCTGGCTCTGCCGTTCCTCCCCAAGAGAGCGCTTCGCCCGAGACAAGCCCGCCCCCTCAGAGCAACGGAACGACTCTGGGAACGAATGTGCCTCAGCCTCCTTCAAACAGCACCGGAGTGAAGCCATTCCCCATCGGAAACTCCTCCATTCCTGCCGTTCAGGAAGTGACTTCCACCGTGTACGCCACTAACCTGTACACGGTCACATCTTGCGCCGCCAGCATTACGAACTGCCCGGCTGGAAGCTCCATCGCCACAGAGATTGTCCCTATCTCTACGACAGTTCTGACAAGCACGCTTGCCTCATCTGAACTTGCTTCGCTCTCCTCGGTTGCCGCTATAACAGGTGCCCCTGAAACCACACCCACCCCTGTCGGTGAGCAGACGACTTTGACTGTTCAGGTCACACACGTGAGTCGCTGCTGAAGCCCTCTGTTGTTGTATGTGCAAGTTCTTGCTGACCCAGTGCTATTCGTCTAGCTTCACACTGTCATTTCTTGTGCCCCTACCGTCACAAACTGCCCAGCTGCCACCAACACCCAGGAAGTCTCCGCTGCCATCTCGTCCCTGGGAAGCTCTGCCGTTCAACCAGTCATTGTAACCAGTATTGTCGGCGAAACGACCACTGTATGCCCCGTTGCTGAGGCCTCTGCTGTGTCATCACAAGTTGGTGCCAGCTTGAGCTCTGCTGTGGTGACTACTACTGGTAAGTGGACTTTCCTCCGATATACTTTGGATACTCCCTCGATGCGTATGGTTAGCGTACTAATGCCCTTCCAGTCAGCGGTTCCGCATCTTTCTTCATTCCAGGTGCCTCTAGCGTCCAGACCGCTGTCGTATCCCAAACATCCGTCCTGACAACAGCCACGCCTATTGTTTCATACGTCACGGTGACGCTTGGCGATGGCGTTGAGAGCACCTCTACGAAGATTGTTGAGCAGCCGCAGACAATTACCACCGTTCTCCCAGTGGCATCGGCCTCATCATCTGTCGACGCCGTCGCTGTATCGTCGTCCACGGCAGTTCTTGTGTCTGTGTCACCCGTCGTGTCTGTCATAACAATCACTCTGGGCGATGGCTTCGAGAGGACGTCTACCAGTTCTTTGGAAGTTTCACAAACGGTGACAACGGTTGTGGCTGTTCCTACAACCCAAGCAGCTGAGACCCCAGGGGCCGAGACGCTCCAAACCACTGTCCTCAGCACCAGCATCGTGCAAGTCCCAAGTGTGGTTACCATCACGGTTTCGGGTGTAGCTCAGGAGTCTAGCACCGTTATCGAGTCGACCAGCGTTCATACTTCGGTGGTGCAGCCTTCGGCCAGCGCCTCAGCCTCGGAAGTTGTGTCAAATGTTGTTTCGACCATATACGAGACAGTCACTTCGCAGATCCCCGTCGAGACAATCCTTACTGTCACCCTTGGCGATCAAGTTCTCACTTCCACCATTTCCACGGCAGCCGCTGTGCAAACTCCAGAAACGACTGCCCCGCCGCAAGTCTCAACGGTCTATGTCACCGTGGGCTCTGGCTCGGAGACTAGCGTCCTGACAAGCACGTTCACGGCGAGCGAGGTCGTTGCCAAGGACACGCAGACCCTGACTTTGACAGGCAGCGCCGGTATCGTCTCGACATACACCCTGACCCTGAGCCAGGCCACGACTGTGACTCAGGAGGCGCCCAAGCCAACTAATCAAGGCAACGTCGCCAGTGCATGTGTGCCGTCCACCGTCACTCTTGTCAGCGTGTCGACACTCTGTGCACGCAATGGCAATGCTTGTGCTACTGCCACGAACCTCCCTTTGGTGAGGTTTTAAGGGTGGAATGGAGGGACTCAGTGAAATCATGTAAATAGTCTCTTGTGCAGATGTCGCAAGTTCAGGTGTTCTTCTCAGCGATTTGGATGACGGGATCGTGTAGTACTACTCGTTCGTGTTCATCGCCACGACGTTTCTTCACCAGCTGTACATAGTTCGTTGAAATAGAACCGTACATTGAAAACCTTGACGTACGTGCACTGTTGTAAAGCTGATTTCCACGTCCTCTGCCGAAACATTCTCGGTGGAGTTTTGCTTCCATACCTTTTGGTCAGACTTTCAGGTGCCAGTTCCGGGTGCACCTCCTCTTGCAAAGCTGGGATAGCGAGCCAAGGATCCTGGGAGGCCTTCGACCCGAATAGTCGAGGAAATTCGATCTTCCTTGTGTCTTGGTTCTGGCGTTTGGTGACAAGAGAATGGGGTGGAGAAGGACTGCAACTCTGTTTGCGTAAGCCCTATTCGTATGATTTTGGTCGGCGGGTTTGAGTCGGTATTCGGTCTACCGAGAGGCTTAGAAGAAGTTTGAGAAGTTGTCAATTTTGGGGCGCCGGAGGGGAGGGCAGCAGAGGTCTGAGGCGTGGCATTGAACAATGCTAGGAAGAAGGATCGCGGGGCCATTGATTGCTGTTTGAGTTTGGGGAAGTCGGCACACTTTCTGGAGTTTCGAAGACAAACTGACAGAAAGCATATGGTGATGATGACCAGTTCCCCACCAGCGCTTCCCAACGATCCTCAGATTTGCACCGGGCAGCCTCCGCTTCTTGTATGGTTTCTTCAGGTTCCGCGTACAGGCTATTGTTGTGCATTCCAAAATGGAGGTCCAGTCGACGACTGGAACATTCCTATACACATATTAGACGGACTCATTTTCGCGAGCAGAAGCAATGGCCTTACTTACTAGAGATAGCGCTTTCTTTCGTTCCGTGCTTCAACGTAATGATATTGGCCCATAGGATCGCGTTCGTCGATGAATGCCTCACGCAAGGGACAGTCTTGTACGCCGGCGGAAAGGTGTGCCGAAACGAGCACAGGAGGAGGCTGCTCGGATATTCGGCTTGACAAGGGAGGTTTCCCGGCAGTACTGAAGTCTCAGTGGCGTAATGGCGAGCTCTTTTGGTGGCAATAAACTGGTGCTTGGTCAAAGTTGATTTCTTTTGTGGGCAAGATGTTGCAATCGCTTCAACATACCTGAACAATGGGTACAGGCTAGCGATATCAGCCTTGTTTGTTGAGGTTGGTGGGCTCTGAAGTGATGAATGGAACTGCTTGACTATGCCAGGGGAATTGGCAGGCAAAGATTTCTGAAACAGGCAAGGTTGTGTGCGCACGCGTGTGTATGTCTGTCTTGGAGGGATTGGCAGCAATGCTGTCATGTTGTAGGAACTCGCATCTTCACAATTGCAAAGCGCGGAGCGTCCCAAGAACAACAAATGAGTACCAAGTTGGTGAATGAGGCCGTCAACGAGGCCAGACGTGAGAGAGAAACGTGAGAGAGAAGGGTGAAAAGAAAGTGTTAGCTAGCAATGCTAGCTGGGATTGCTGAAGGTCATTTGAGCTATAGGTTGAGAAAGTCAAGGAAGAAGGCGAGAACAACAAACAACCTTGGAAGTAACAAGCTGGTGAAGATGGCCGTTGATGATGACCAGATGTGAGAGCGACGGGCGGGGAAAGGGTGATAGCTGGCGATGCCAGCTGGTGTCGTGGAACTTCATTCGAGGCGTTGGGTTGAGAAAAGGGCAGGGAGAAGGTGCGTCCTTGATGTTGAGGGGTGGATGGTAGGTACCTGGGAAGGCACGACTCTAGGGGGCTGGGTGCAAGTGGGAGCAGCTGTGTACACTTCCTGTTCCAGCTTCCCAGTGGAGCTCCAAGCTGGCTCCAGCAAGATGAATCGAGTGCAATCAGGTACGCGCAATGCTCCCTCCCGTCCACGTCTAGCGATGCCTTTCGAGTCACTTGATGCTCAACAAGATGTATGCTTGCCAGTGGCCGGTCCAGGGCTCTGCCGCTCTCCTTGGAGATGATTTTTTTTCCGTCCGTAAGACAGTTGTTGCTTCCTCTTTGTATCTCTCTGTCAATGACTATCTGTTCTGTGTCATACCTTGCGAAGCGGCGTTGCCCAGTCCGAAATAAAACTCTTGAGCACCGACAGATCACCTCAATGTTGATATTTCGTTTGGTCAAGACAGCGTCAAATGAATTGACAAATGTTAGAGTGCTTTTCAGAGGGCACATTTGGTTTCCAGCCTCTGGGCTTATCTTTATGGATTGGAGTCATGTTGTGGCAGGCTACCACGGCCCCCTCGGGCAGCATCGTATGGGAGTAGCATGGTAGATTTGCTCCTTGCAATTGCCGTCTGCCTGCTTCTCCGACCGCCAATGAAATACAGAAGTTAAATTTGAAATAGCATCCCTGGATTTGCCTATGCATACTTCGAGGTAGATACTGGTGGCTTTGTCGCGTCGTCCTGGGGTCCCTGAAGATGGACGACAGAATACCTGCCCGCCACCAACTGCTGGTGGTACAATGTTCACTGCAACGAGACAGAATCTTGAGCACTCAAGGTTCCATTTCGTGTGTTCCATCGTTTACCGATTTGTATTGGGGAAGCGCCAGGTGGTGTTCATGAAGTGATACTTGGTGTCATTAAGGGCTACTGACCCGACCTCTTGTCTTATTTCCATGCCCATCTCCTCTCCATATCTCTTCAGCATTCCAGGCTTATCCTGTCTACCATTCATTTACAATAATTTCTAATGCCTTTTCGGGTCTTTAAAGTCGTTGTACAATTCCTGCGGTATCTGTGCTGGCGAGTCAAAAGCTATACCGCTGTGCGACGCACGACGTTGAGTGCCTACCTGGTCGAGCATATCTTTCTATCTTGTGTGTTTCTGGGCCTCGTTCGGGACCTCATTAGCCTACTGTGATTCTCAGGGTGCCGTTGCAATCTTCGGGTTTCCTGGTTCATCATTCATATTTGAGAAAATGTGCAGAATCGGGCGCACAGCCCTCCTCTGGCGGGACCTTGAGGTTGCAGCTTCTCGCTCGATCCATCTGATGTGTGGGCTAGAAGATCAGACACTGGTATTTGACACCTGCCCACTCAATTAAGCGAGCACCATTGAAAACCGCCAATTGAGCCCTTGAATGGGCCTTTTCTTCAGATGAAAACAAGTTGGCATTTTCGGGCCCATGTCCTCTGTTTCCAAGCTTGTCCAGCAAGTCCTACTGGCTGTTGGCATCCCAGTCACTGCTTTTCATCCCGTTCTTTTCCACTACCTGGTGAAGGCAGCTTGTGGTCTGCAAAAGCTAGTTCTCACTCACTCATAAAAGCTGTCATCTCTGCCATCTTGCCCTGGAAATCTTTTCTCTCTCTCTATCTCTTCCTCCCACCTCTCTCTTTCTCCCACCTTCCACTTCTCTCTCTCCTGCTCTCTTCTTCCTCACCACCACAAAACTGCTTCGTCACCCTGCAGTTTCTCTCAGCAGCAAAACAACGCATCTGTGGTTGCATCACTTCCGGACTGCCTGGGTACCTGTTCACCTCTTCTTCCCTTCTTTCGAACTGCATCTTCAAATGAAATCCTCATCAGCCAAACACACAATTTTGGTGTCGACACTTGCCCTTTCCGCTTGCTTCCTCCCCACAAGCGACCTGTAATTTTGGCACTGTACTTCGCCGAACAAAATACAACACCCACAGACTCTCTACCTTCCGGGAATCACGCACATTTATCTTCAGCATTCCCAGAAGCACCGACCAGCAGAGACTTTGCCAGTCAATCACAAGGTCAGTTCGAACCGTCGCATTTGCTCTTTGCCTTCCTCGAGGCTGTCAAAAGTCAAGGCCCGCGCAAATTTTGCTGAGTTTGTCGTTTGATCTCCGTTGACGCAAGGCTGCCACTAGACCCAACCTAGTTCCAGACCTTCCCTAACTTCGACCTTCTGACGATACCTACCCCCAATCTCATCATCTTGGTTCCTCCGTTGCCACTCAAAACAGCGCGACAATTGCATACGACTACGACAGACACTTCTCCAACGGAAAATTGCCAGAAGAGGCGAAACTGCTGCATGTCGGGCTTTGGTCTAAGCTGTTCCGCATATTTGGCCGCGACCACGGCCACGCAGCCTACCACACGATGAGATCTGGAACTATGAGAGTTCCCCTTTGAGTTTCTGCTTGAAGGCCTCCACGGTGGCAGATTTTAAAAGAGGTTCAAACAAAAGCTCGTCCTGCGGGATGGAAGGCTCGGGTACGTAAAGCGTTTTGCCTTGTTGTGTCTGTCATTTATTTGGTCAAAATTGACACTCTCGTTGTACAGATGAGCCCCCCTCTCTCGAACAGCACATTGATCTGGACAGAGTCCAGAAAAAGGCCTAGACTGTCTCAGTGATAATTGTGACGAGGGGACAAGTGAGCCTCAAACGGCAGGACAGTACCACAGTCTGACAATCCGCTTCGCTCTAGAGGGAGCGACTGCAAAAAGTGGACGGGATCGACCCTGCCACGCTGATCATTGAGTTACGGCGGATGCTCGAAAGCGACGACACCCAAGTCATGCACGTGAATGCAGATGTGCACAGAGCAGTGGCTGATCTTGCACTCTGGGCAGAACTGTTGGTCCAGTGCCGTGCATACGCACCTACCATCTTTTTCCACCGAGTCCCGGAAACTAGCAGGATTGAAGAGGCGGATACTGTCAATGTTCTATTTGATCTCTGGGCCAGCAAGGAGCTCGCACACCTTACAAATCCCGCACAAGATGAGAAATTCGTGCGTCTCGGCCACACAGCCCATCACAGCCTCGACAATTTGGAGTCCCCGATAGACAAGCCACGGAACAAAGCCAGAAATGCCACCATGCAGGCCTCCGAGGCCAACCTGGACAAGTTTTGGGATGGTGTTGACGAGCACGTCAAAAAGTTCTGTTCAAATCACACTGTTGTTACGTGGAAGTCGCTTTGGCCGTCAAAGGAGAATCTGCTAGGACACAGAATTGGACAGAGACCGCTCCCAGTACTGCCATGGCTCCCATCAACACCAGATCGTGTGAAGTCAATCTCAACTTTGGCGAGGAAAGGGAGACGCCAACCCAAAATATGGCTCAGCGCTCCAAACAGAAGTCTCGTTCTCGAAAGGAGTCAGAAGACGAGACCATCAGTTCTGAGAATAAGCCAAACGTCTCAGACAAGAAGCAGGTTGAAGTGGATGCGGCACAGCAGAACAAGCCTGTCTTCCATATCGACTCGCGAGCATGGAGAATTTTTGACAGTGCGATGTTCTCCGCTGGCAAAGGCCGTGATCCGCCTTCGACGATACGATGGCCAGACTTTCTCCATGAAATGACCTAGCTCGGCTTTATCAACCACCAGGCTTTCGGATCGGCTTGGCGTTTCGAGCCAGGTGCGAAGGCTTGTGCGGCAGGGATCAAGAGGAGCATAAGCTTTCACCAGCCTCATGGAAGGGATACAAAGATTCCTGGCTGGATGGCGCGGAGACATGGGGCCAGGCTGTCTCGCGTATTCGACAGTGGCATGGAGTCTCTGAAGCGACGGCAGACTTGAAGCGACGACACTAAAATTTTATTTTCTTTCTGCATGACACGCATGTGAGGAGGCGCTGGGAACAAGAAGGAAGTGCGGTAAAAAGAGTTGACTGCCTGGAAGAGCCAGGCCTTGATGGGTGTATGATTAGTAGCTAGACTTCTTTTCCTGCAGGCGCTTGTTTAGCGAGCTGGATTTCAGAACATTGCCAATTAACGGTCGACATCGTCAGCTCACTCTACCTGATTTCCTACATTACGTGTGTCCCACCGCCATTCTCGGTCCGAAGTTGACAACGTGGGGATTGCCTTTCCCAAGGGCAGTCAACGTACAGATTGTGAATCTCAGACAGAGTCAGAGCCGGTATCACCGGCCACCCCAGCACATTAAATTCAATGAACGAAAGCTACACTACGATCCTCAAGCCGCACTGCTCCGGTGTCATTGCACCTACGCATCAATACTGACCTGCGCTGTAAATGCCAGCCCATCGCCTCGTTGCTACCTCGCCGCGTCGCCACCGCAGGACCACATAGACAAAGACACGAGGAGTTAGGACAGGTTGGTTTCGAAAGATGGCGCAGTCTACCGAAACGAACCCTACCAGCGCACAAGTCATCGGCGCTCTCGAGGCCGCTCGCAGCGAAGATGGACACAAGATTGGACTTGCGACCCTCTGCTTAATGCTGAAGGACAAGAACAGCTGGGCAAAGCATGATCTTGAGAAATCAATCCACGATGCCAGCCCTCAAACGCCCATGCCAGCGAGACTGTCGCCGGCATTCACAACCAAGTTGAGAACCAGACTGGGCAGTCAAAGCTCGGTTTCATCTTTGAAGTACAGAATGGCTGGGCCCTGTCTGAAGCCGATCTCAAGAAGCTGGTCCCACAGGTCAAGCAATAGAGGCATAGCCTGATAATTCCGCACGACGCCTGATCTCTCATGGCTGTCGATGCCCGCAGCGAAAATGGACATGTAAGCGGAGTTGGATCCTTAGTACGTCGAAAGTACAAAACACTTCTCATGAAAACGCCCCGTTTATATAATGGAATCACCTTGATAGACATTATCACTGTACGATGCCATGACCATGATTCTTGCCAAGAAGCACAGCGCTTGCCGTTTGCCTAGCCACACTTGCCACCCTCGATGCCCACGCCAACATTGAAAGTGCTGCCGTGTCTGAACTGCTGCGATCCATTTGCCAGCTAGGATGTCAGTTGTTTGAGCATACCAGTAAGGAGCGACGTAGAAACAGTCCCGAGCCGAGCACTATGCGGTGCTGAGCGGGACAGTTCTTGGGAATAGCGGCGTTCATGGTAAACACGAAAGCAGCTAGGGCTTCTGACGAGTGCTTCTCTCAGAGCGCCGATTCTAAGCTTAGGTCACTCATGAATACAATCGACGGTGATTTCTGGCTCCTTATTTTGCTCATAATTGTAAATACTCCCATTGTGACGACCATCATGTCCAGCAGAGCTTGCTGTTCAAGACATGACCCTTTTCAGCCCATGTTTTCACCATGGCATTGTATTGTCTGTAGTTGAATGGACACACTGACCTATGGGGGGCTTCGACCCTCGAATCGAAGTGGGTCGTTCCAAGCTGCAAACCATATTCGAGTTAAGTATTTAAAACCTTTCTGGCCTGTGGACGACTGCCCGAAACTCTCTCCTTCTCTTCACCCGCGCCAGCCCACGCTGTGGGCACACACACCCATGAGTAGTTTTGTTTGTTTCAACACCATGAAGATACCGAGATTTTTTTCTGAGAATACCAAGTCGTCCGCATCGCGGTTGGCATCCCAAAGCTCACGAGTCACGCCACGTCTTGCCGTCGCATCGCAATAGAAACCAGGCTCACGCCTCGTCTCACTGTTGCATCACGACGTTCTTTTTTTTCCTATCCTTGGAGACACGGCTGAGTGTTTGTTTGTTTGTTTGTTTGGTCTGCCCAGGAACTTTGCACAGCTTCCACAAACGAAACTGACCCCCGCCCACTTTTTCTCACCCAATTGTTACTACTATCACCGCAACTTTTCTCCTCGAGGCCATCTTAAAACCCAAGACTTTTTCCAAGAACAGCGAAAGGCATGTGTTTTTTTTATCATTGCCAATCCCTTCCTCTTACCTTATTACCTATCATCCTCTTCAATTCCCTTTCAACTAACGGTCCACCAAGACTCCTCTCCTCTTGCGCGATTGTCGCAGACAGTCCCGTCCTGGCCACGAAAAGCTTTCCCAAACCCCATCTTGACCTCATCAGCTTGCAGCCTCGGCCAGCCCAAGATGTCGCGGCACGGTAAGGTCAAGAATTTCATGACTGTACCCGCACTAATCGGTGTTATTGACGACGAGGAGAACGTGTTGCTGTTTGGAGGAAAGCAGCTCAAGGCTGGCAGCGAATATTTCTTCCCCGACAATCTCAAGACGCAGCTGTTTGTCAACCAAACTGGCCCCGACCACGCCCCTCACGTCGGAGTCTTGATCTCCATCGATCATGGCGAACTTGACAGCCCTTACACTGGCACCCATTTCGACGCCCAGGCCAACAATCAAGCCACCACGGCCTACAGATTGTGCCTGTCTGTGCTAGTCAAGGAGGCGAAACTCATTCCTGCTAAACTTTCAGACTCCACAGATGGCGGCGACTTCAAGAAGCTTGCCACCATCCCTTCCGAGTATCTGCCCCAGTCAGTCGCTGACGTACAAAACAAAGGCATGTCCTCAGTTCCATGTGCATTGCTTGCGCTATTCAGTGCTGACACAAGCAAACAAGGTGGTGACTTGATGGCAATCGTTATCCAACTCAACGAAGCTAAGATGGGCTGTGCAACGTACCCTCCGTTTGTCGCCAAGGGCCCCAATTATGGCCTTGTCCACAGCGATGAGCCTTTTGATGGTGTTGTGTCCTTGTCAAAGATACTATCTGCACGCTTCATCATTGCGTACTTTCCCAGTCCCCGTCTCCCAGATTTGACCAATGCTATAAAGCAGAGCTTGGAAGCAGCTCCAATTGATGCAGAGCGGCCTTTTGGCGTCCGCAGCATGTAAGCCAAAATTAACACCTGTACCCTGCCCAATCAATCAGATATTGACTGCCAGTCTCCAGGCACATGTACGATCGCGAGCACCTGGAACAAGTCGCCGACGAGCTCTATCTGAAAGTCGATCAACAGCCTATCCGCCCTCGGGCAGTCACTGATTGGACGCATTACCGCGCCGCCAATGTTCTCGGCATGGGCGCAGAGACACTTCCTTTACAGCAAGACATTGAGGAGCTGGCCAAGAAGAAATGCCAATCTCAGCTTTTCCGCGCGGACGATGGAAGACTCATTGCTGCATTGGAACTGCCCAAGGTAAATAAGGCTGCCGCGTTCTTCTCCTTTTTCTTTTTCTTTTCTTTTCCTTTCTTTTCTTGCCAGCTAGAGTACATACTGATGTGCACCGCCTCTAGAATGAGGATTTCAGAAAGCTGATGGCTGTGGTCAACAAGAGTGGCCAGAAGGTCGACGTTCACAGGCTCGAGCCTCTACCCTGGGGTCCCAAATCGGGCGAAAGGAAGCCAGAATTCGAAGAACGGGAGCCATATCCTGCCACAATCCTAGAGAACCCCCCCGCAGGAATCGACCTGCCTTCGAATTGCGACATTGTTGCTCAAATGTACCCCAGGAAAGTCGATGATGAGACAATCGGTGCTGCTGATGAGTTGTCAGATCGTGTTGAGGCAGACGGAGAGACCTAGGTGGTTCTTTGGCTTCAATTCCCAGACAAAACAGCTCAAACAAAGCGCTTCATCGCAAGCTTTTCCCAGCACCTTGACGAGGTACCGTACAACCAAGACAAGATCAGCAACTTGTCGAAGTACTTTGAGTGGGCCTCACAAGAGATATCCAAAGCGAAAACCAGGAACATGTTGTGTGGACGTGGTACCAGGGAATACAGATTTGATCTCGAACGCCAAGCCGTTTGCGAAATTCCGCCCCCTTACCAGCGTCCTATGGTCAACCTTCTACTGGAAGGTTCAAAGAGATCTGCTGGGGCTGGTCTGACCACCAAGATCATTGCAAGCACCATTGGCAAGCTCGGCGCCTACAGTGAGCTCGTAGGGTCTGCCATCAAGGCTCTGCCAGATGGAGTGCTGTGCATTGAAGCATTTCCAGGAGCCGGGAAGACCACAGTTACAGCTGCTATCGATGCGCTCCTTTGCCTGCTTTACCAAGACTACAAGATCACGGTTATCGCTGGACAGCATGCCGCCCTAGATGCACTGAACCTCAACGTCACTCGTCAACTGGTATCATCAGTTGTAGACATCAACAAGGAGAACGACATGAACACCTCTGAGCCTGCTGTGCATCTGCCATTGGTGCTCCGCACGACCACCGACCAACACGCCGAAATTTCGGAAATGGTGCGCATTATCAAGGGACAGTACAGGTCTAGCCCTGATCCCACGCGCCCGAATACTCTATGTGAGCTGGTTCTTCAGCTTCTTGGAGCTGGCCCTCACCGCCTTCCGGATTTTTCGAAGGCAGAGCTCATCGAGTTGGCCAATGCAATTAAGTCAGCGGACGACGAAGCCTTCCAAAAGCTGCGAAGCTTTGTTGCTGGAGAATTGACATGGGATGATGCCAACAAGGACCCACGGAAGGAAGGAAACATGGACCAGAACACAGTGGAGGTTATGTTTCCAACAGGACAGTGTTCCAACTTCACAGTGAGCCTCGAACCGAAGGGAAAGACTGCAAAGGCTGCAATCAAGGCGATCATCCCGAATATCCTTCCACATGTGAACATCCTCATTGGCACCACCGCGACCATTGGAACCAAGATGTACGAGACATTCGTTCGACAAGCAGACCTTTGCCAGAACGAAGAAGCTGGTGCGACCTCCTGTCCTCAGATCTTCACTGGATACCGTGGTCTTTCTCAACGTTTCATCGTTTCTGGAGACAACTCGCAGTTCGGACCGTTTATGCTTGATTACCGCAAGCACATATTCAGCGAGTACATGACCACATCCACTCTCGATATGGTCAAGCGCGCAGGGTACCCTGTTTTCCAGCTGAATGTACAGTACCGGGCAATCGATGGACAATTCGACCCAGTGTACGAAATATTTTACACCAAGTCGAAGAAAGTCGAGTCTCCTGACAGTCAGCGGCCGGAAAACCATCCAGAAGCGCAGCGTGTTGAGGAGTCATTCGTCGCAGACTTTGCCGCCCTTCAGCCCAGTCCCGAGGGCCACATCATTCCGATGTTCATCAATGTTCCGGATTCCACATGCGACTTTGTCGGCAAATCGAGATTCAGCCCCAAGCAGACCAAAGCAGCCTTGTACATCGTACAGAAATTAATCTCTTGTGAAGTCAAGCCTGCCGACATCATGGTCATTGGAGCATACAGAGCAGAGATCCTTGAGCTGCGGAAGTCCATTCCTGATCATGTGATGGTTACAACGGCCGACGCAGTTCAAGGCCAAGAGCGGCCTTACGTCGTGTTTGTCTTTGCGACAAACAAGGAGACTGGACCTGGATTCACGAAGGACCCTCAACGACTATGTGTTTCCATGACCCGCCAAAAGTCTTTCCTGGCGCTCGTGGGCGACATCGGTGCTGTAGACTACCAGATCCCTAGCAGAGCTCTTGCTGATAAGGACCATATACACCTAGCGAGCATCCACAAGTACTTTGTCACGAAGAAGCGCGTGGGGCACTACGGACCCCAACAGGAGGCGGTTCAAGACGCCGGCACAAGTGATGATGAGGAGGAGAGGAGACTTCTGACGGCGCGGGACGAGGCCGTTGCAGCGCGAGACGAGGCTCTTGCTGTCTACGAGAAGGCTGTCGGTGACAGCGCCAGGGCTGTTGCTGCTTTGGAAGCTTACTTAGCAGGCAAGTCAAAGAAGCCGGCTCTGAATTCGACGATCAACACTGGTCTAGAACTCGATAAGCACTCACTACAGTCCAAGAATTCCGCACAGTCAACCAGCAAGCCCTCTGGCCTGAAAGCTTGGACGGATGCCGCGGAAGGCATAGTTCCTACATAAAATGTTTAATGAGGCGCCGGTGGATTCACCACGTCTTACGGCAATGACTTCTCTAGTGGATCTGGCAAAACCACCACGTCTGGCACCGGCAAGACACAGGTAGAATGCTACAACTGCCATGAGAAGGGTCATATGAGCAAGGACTGCAATAACGAGAAGAGCATGCAGTGCTTCAACTGTCAAGAGTTCGGCCACATGAGCACGAACCCGGAGAAGCCGAGGGACTACAGCAAGGTCAAGTGCTCCAGGTGCAACAAGTTTGGCCACACCAAAGTCAAGTGTGACCAGCCTGAGCCTCAGGAGGGTACTAACTCTGGTTTCGACAATGATGTTGCTGGATCAGGCTTCGATAACGACGTGGCTCGCCCGGCGATTGGGATGCCTCAGGCGGTTGGGCTAACGATGGTACCCAGTCTGATTGGTGATCTACAGTGCATTACTGACCAGAACATGGAGGCGAGACGAGGCCGAAGTGCGACATGCTTCACAGCGCGATACATTAACCACCTGTCATTCGACCACGGATCACGGAAGCTGGTTGCGTTTTGAGATTCATACAGATAATTCAGGTGCAGCGCGATACATTAACCGCTCGTCAGTCGACCACGAATCACGGAAGCTGGTTGCGTTTTGACAGAAAAGACAGAGAGTCATAGATGAATGAAAAGAAAAGATAGACTCCACGAATTTCTGATATGCGAATGTGATCTGACTGATGTTGCTAATAGACATCATCGATGGTGCAACCCAAAAAGAAGGATAGGTACCGATAGCGTCCTCACCTTTTATATTCACCACCGTAGAGTTGGATCTGGGTTTAGTCCGGATTGGCGTCTGGAAGAAAAGAAATTCTGTATTCGGGGCGAGAGCTCGAGGGAAACATTGCCTTGTTCCATCCCGACGACGCTCCAATGGAAATATATGCTGGGACCCGGCCCCGGTGTTGTATTGATGTGCTGACGAGATGAGATTCCTTCGACTGCTCTTCCCTTCCGCCCAATATGGCTTTCTTTCTCTCAAGGATCATCAATCATTCAAGCCTCTTCCATCCTCAGGGCCGCAGTGTCCTCTTAGTCAATTCTGGCAAGCTTGGTGGCTATCGGAAAGAATTGTCAACTCGTAGCTCCCAGGGGCATCATGCGTCTTCCTGCGACCTCAGTAGGCTCATCCTGAGGGGATCCAGGAGCGTTCATTGAGAGAAAATCTCGTGGCATAGCATCATATGACTCTCGTTATTGTGTGACAGTTAGGGCGACTCGTTTTTTTGCCCTTTTCACTTCGTCTTGAGTACCTTCATGGAGCTATGATTTGCCTGTGAATGTCAAGCCTTACAGGCGGTGGTTATTTAGTTAGGCACTTGGAAAGCAATTAGTGGTGGCTTTTTAATGTTCCAATCAGAGTCTTGATAGCTTCTCCTTTTCCTGTTTGTCTAGGATCGCAAAATTCCGGTGGTGGCATGTGTGATTATAGAAGCGGCCACTCACACACCCATGCGCTCTAGCAATTCGGATATGCATGTCGCATTGAATGTATTTAATTAACAACCTCGAAGCGACATCGGGCCTGGTCATCCACAACCTGACGTAAAACGCCACAATGTGCACGCTGGACCCTGTGCGTGCCGTATTCGCGCAAGTGTCACCTACAAGTTTCCAGGATTGTTGCTTGAATCTCGCTTCCAATGCCATTTCATTCCGGGCCTGTGCTGTAAGCACAGCACCGGTGCTCCCGGTCAGCGGTGTGTCTTAGTTGTCCGTCCACTCAACCCCGAAAAACACTAAAACCTCAAAAGAAATAGAGCGTGCAGGAATAATCCCGTATTGAATAGAGATCACAAGGTGAGCTGGTCTCCAGACCGCCTTGGGCCATTGACTCGTAGTAAATATCATCCCATGTCACATTACCCCAGGATCGCGGTACATAAAGTTGGATAAAAGCTTGAATCGGGGGTTTAGTCATCCGCAGAAAGGGCCGCCTTCGCTGACCTCGCTACCAGGTGATCCTCGTATTCGACATAGCGTCAGGGGGGAAGGCCAGCACAGCCGCCAGTCTTGGCAGCGGCAATGTCCTTGTGTGTGACGTCGAGACACTCCTCCCGACGGAGTGCCCATGCAAAAATACGAAGAAGTTGGCCCCTTGGGGGACAGCCATTGGACGGCGTCATGTCCACTCACCTGTTCTGGAAGAAATATTCTTAGATTCGGCATGTCATCGTCAACAAACCGGGTGACGGGCTTAAGCTTAAGTATCCACCTGCATGCATACGGCGAACTTGGATCAACATCCGATCTCCGAGTCCTCGCCCAGTCCGTCTTATAAACAAGGTCATCCTCCCCCGTTGGAAAAGCTTTTATTGATCCCAGTCTGAGCAGGAGTCTTCGCTTTCTCATTCTTGCTCACCTCCACCGACAACTCTGTGCCTCGCCCAACAGACTCGGGAACATCGCAACAATGAAGCTCTCCACGGTACTCTCCGGCCTCTCTGTCGTGGCCGGCACGGCCAACGCAGCCATCCAGGGGTTCAACTACGGAGCCTTCTTCAACAACCAGGCGGCCAAGCAGCAGGTTGATTTCGCATATGAGTTCAACAAGGCAAAGAACCTGCCCAACCAATCAGGGTGGAATGCCGCGCGGTTATACACGATGGTCCAGTGGGGGACCACAAGTGACGTCGTGTCGGCCATCCCAGCCGCCATCAACTCCCAGACTCGTCTGCTGCTCGGCCTGTGGACCTCGGGCGGCAGCTTCCCCAACGAGCTCAAGGCGCTTCAGACAGCCATCAACCAGTACGGCACCGCCTTCACCGACCTCGTGGTCGGCATCTCAGTAGGCAGCGAGGACCTGTACAGGAACCAGAACAATGAGGTGGGGATCGGGCCGGACGAGCTTGTGGGCTACATCAACCAGGTGCGCAGCACGATCGCGGGCACGTCGCTGCAGGGCAAGCCGATCGGGCACGTGGACACGTGGAACATGTGGCTGGACGGGGCCAACAGCAAGGTGGTGGCGGCGGTGGACTGGGTGGGCATGGACGCGTACCCGTACTTCCAGTCGGCGTTTGACAACCGGATCGAGAACGCCAACTCGCTGTTCTGGAGCGCGTACGACCAGACCAAGGCGGCGGCGCAGGGCAAGGACGTGTGGGTGACGGAGACGGGGTGGCCTGTCAGCGGCGACACGGTCAACGGCGCGGTGCCCAGCGCGCAGAACGCGCAGACGTACTGGAAGCAGGTGTCGTGCGGGCTCATCTCGCGCAACATCAACACGTTCTGGTACATGCTGCAGGAGAGCCAGTGGGGGCAGGCCAACCCGGACTTTGGCATCTACGGGGCGGGCGACCTGGGCACGCTGTCGCCTCAGTTCGACCTGTCTTGCTAAGTACGGTCTGAAGGCATCTAGCATTTACGATATGCATGTGGCGGCATAAGACGCTGAATATTTAAATGTAATGGATAATACATATTTGGCCACGGTCCACATTGGACTGGAGGTCTTTTGTATAAGGTTAATGCTCGCCATGGACAATTTAGAGTCTATATCTGCGTGCAAGTGATTTTAACACGTCTGACTGCGCCGCACATATCCCAAGACTCCACTTGAGATACTAGTTCCAGCACAAGGCCAAGTCGACATTAATTCAATCGAATACCCAGATCCCTCACATCGCTGTGTTATAGTCAAGAGGGTGGGGATGTACTGTGTCACAGGTCTATGTGTTCCAGGGTTGTATTCAAAATAAACGTGTCCCGGCTGGAATTGTGGGCTGGGCCCCCACAGGCGCACACCGCACACAGCACGAGTCGAGAAATAGTTCCACACAAATTTATAAACACCACAAATTAAGGGATCTACAAGCCCGTTTAGCTCATCGGTAGAGCGCATCACTAGTAATGATGAGGTGACTGGTTCGATTCCAGTAATGGGCAGTAACGCGCCCGAGTACAACTGGTGAGGTTGTGTTTTCTTTTTGCTGGATGTGGCACGGATGGTGGATGCATCGTGGGTTGGATTTTGGTTGCTTAGGTTCAGACAAGCTCACTCACGTGCAACAAGCGCGAAGCAGAATGCTTGTTGAATCTAATTTTGCTTTTCCAGTCTGTTGAATGGTAGCTTTCTGGCTTCATACGTGTAGCGTGGTAGGTCTATCATAGGATAGGTCGAGATGGTGGTGATTGTCTGTGAATGTCATGCAGCACTTACAGAGAGACGTGACATGGGGGTTGGCAGGGCTGGCAGGCCAGAAGGGAGATGCTGACCTGTGCCTTGGAAGAATCCCCTTGGAAAGAATGAGTGGATTTCCAATGGGGAAGCGGAGACTGGCTTGGTGGAAGAAATGGATTGATTGAGCGAGCGGGTGAGGGAAGGTCTTGTCAGGGGTAAAAGAAACGGGGCATCTAATCAATCCAGATGTGGCCCCTCGCACCTCTCTCCTTCTCCTCTGAGCCCCCCATCCCCCGTCCCCCCTGCGAATGGGAAAGAAAAAGAATGGAGCGACGCGTAAGGCCGGGAAAGGAAAGGGTAGGAATGGACAGGAAAGGACGGAAAAGGGCAGGATTTCCACTGGGGAACTGGATAAACTGGAATGGAAGGCTCGGGAGTCGGTCGCGGTGGAGAGCATGAACCCGGGGCCGATCGTGCCGTTCTCTGTTCTTCCTCCTCCTGGTGCTGACGGAATGTGATTGTCCATCACTCAATCAATCCACCGACACCGTCAATCATCTCCACCTTGTCATCCATCTGTAGCCTCCTGTATACTTGTTCTTCATCTCCATCTCCATCTCCATCCAGCCACTGCAGACACTGGTGGGTGTGTGTGCATACTGCACAGTTCTACTGTACATCTACAGTATTCAGCCCAAGCTCACAAGCCATCCCATCCCATCTGTGCCTGCAGCAACCGAGCGAGCGACTAGAGGCTCACAATCACCGTCACCATCAGTCAATCGCCACCCACCATTGCCGCGACAGCACAGACAGCAGCCTCTTCAACTCCGAGTTGACACATCAGACGGCCCGTCCAGTCTCGTTGCACTGCGCGCTTGTTGCAGTGACAAGGCGTGGCCACTTGCCCACTGCCTTGCTGCAGAGTGCAGAGACACACAGACTGCCCCACACCCTTTTCCCTCCAGCCATCCCGGTCATCCTCCTCCCATAAATTCATCCCATAATAGTTCCCATAACAAATCTGGCGATTCTGACGCGGCCCTGCGCTTGCACCCTCCACCCAGCCGAAACACCACCACCACCACAGCAGCAGTTGGTCACCCCCAATTGCGAAACAAGCGCGCCTGAGCAATGCCTTGGGCTTGGACCTCGTCGCCAACCGCCCTGGCCATGGCCTACTCTTCCTCTTCATCATCGCCCGTCTCGCTATCGCTCTCCTCAGTCCTCAGCTCAATATCGCCGACGAGAACAACCACCTACCTCGCTCTTGTCGCACTCTGCCTCCCGATGGCTTCCAGTCACGACCACAGCGTCGAGAACATCCCTGATGGCGATGCCACCTCTCCAGAGCCCATCGTGCGTCCAGCCATCCCCCGTCGCCTCTCGTTATTCTGCCTGTATGCTGCTGCTTCCACAGACTGCTGACCAGCCCTGTCTCACTACTGTAGGACTCGACATTATGGGCTCACATCTTCGTTAACATGCTCGCCTTTGGCGTGCTGTTCCCCCTCGGCATGGTACTGGGCGTGAGTTAGGCCCCCTTCCTGTCGCCTCGGATGCCACGGAATAGCTACTGACCAACGCCTGGACTTGAGTAGATGACCAAAAGTCGATGGCACGTCCCCGTCCAGTCCCTGTCCTCCATCCTCGCCCTCCTCGGATACGCCCTCGGCCACATGCACGGTGGCAGGGAGTTCCTCCCCTCCAACGTCCACTCCCACTTCGGCGACTGGGTCTATTTCCAGATGTTTGCCCAGATCATCGTCGGCGTCTACCTCAAACTGCACCTCGAGAAGGGCATCCACAAGCGCATACGCCCTGTCATCCGTTTCGTCCACAGCATAAACGGCAAGACCTTCCCCGTCGTCGCCTGGACCCAGATGCTCTTTGGCGGCATCACCGCCCTGGGCTTCTGCCAGGGCGACCACCTGGGCCAGTGCCTGGCCCACTTCATCATGGGCAGCGCCTTCATCGCCTACGGCATCCTCCTGACCATCGCCATGCTGGTAGGCCAGCTGTGGATCAGGCGCACTGGCCGCTCTCAGGAGTTCTTCGACAGCGTCGTCATCGCCGCCTGGGGCTGTGTCAACACCTTTACCGAGCACAGGTGGGGCACCGCCTGGGTCAAGAATGACTGGCAGCACACTACCATGGGCATCGTGTGGTGGTGTGCCGGCCTGGCCGGTGTCTGGCTGAGCAAGGACCGCCTTGGCCGCCCCAAGAGGAACTTCATTCCTGGCTTCGTCATTCTCATCACCGGCTGGGCCATGTCGGCCCATCCCCAGGATCTCAAGATCTCGGCCATGACCCACATGGCCTTTGGCTACACCCTGATGGCTGCCGGGTTCACCCGCATGGTCGAGGTCTCCTTTGTGCTCCAGGACAAGGTCGGCATCTCGGATGACGGCTACGACACGCACAGCTTCCAGTATATCCCTGTATTCGTGAGTGGCTTTTCCCCTTTTCCCAGCAGGCCTATGCGCATCCTGGTAACTAACACCGCGTCTCCCTAGCTTCTCTATGCGTCCGGTTTCTTGTTCATGGGCGCCACTGAGGAGCAGATGCTTCTTGTCAACGCCTCGGGCATCGACCATGTCGCCTACGTGCTCATCCTCTACAGCCTCGCCTTCCTCGTCTTCCTCTTCACCAATGTGCTCATTTACATCTACGACCGCAGTGTCAACCTGAACGGGCACAACAAGGGCATCAACGGGCACGCACACGGTTCCAATGGACACGCGCTGGCTCCAGCCCAGGAGCGCAGGCTGCGGGACGCCGAGGAGTTTGAGCTTGACGACATGATGAGTGACGAGGATGAGGACGAGGCACAGCGGCGGAAGCTGTTGAAGGAGGAGAAGGATGATGTCGAGGGAGACGGCGAGGGTCTGTCGAGTCCGAGCACAGTCGGCAGGAACAATGATCGGGTTGCTTAGAGGGCAAGCCGTCATCGGTCAAGACCGCAGAGGTCCTGCGGGTATACCAGCGAGCAAATATCTTACGATGCACGGAACGGCGGGAGTAATTACTCGGTGGTACCACAGCGAAAGTGTACAAGGGCACATTGGTTGCCAACCAGCATTGAAGGGCGTTACGGGGGCAAACTGCATGGCTGTCATTTATTTATTTCTGGGTCATATATCTCTACACGGGCGGGAAAAGAGCAAATATAGCTACTATCATGCAGTGAAGAATAGACATATGAGAAAGCTGCTGTCCAGGAAGAATTTTGAGGACGACGTGGCTTTCGGTCTACAGTATGAATTAATTATGGAGCTGCTCATGTAGTAGACTATATGGTACCTAGGTACCTGCTGCTTCACACGATCCACTGGGTGGGTTGAGATAAGCCCCCTTATCGCCAAGTCTCCACCAAAAAGATTCCACGCCTCCGCCTTCACCTTCACAGACTCTTAATACCAACCACTTGCGACCACTACTTTCGGTTGACAATATCTCCGTCCGCTCACACTTGGCCTCTTCAAATTTCAAGTCACAGCCTCGTTGCACAATCCAATTACACCAAAGCCCCTAGTTTCAGCCACCCAAGATGCCGTCGGTCAAGAACCCCAACTTCAAGTCGAAGAACCGCGTTCGGGCTCACCGTTCCAAAGCCCGCAAGCAGACCCTCCAGGCCGTCGCAACCGCCCGCCTGCCAGACCGCGTCGCCAAGGCTGATACGAAGCGCGGCGCACGCACCGGGCTCCTGCCCACCAGCGGGCCCAACAGGCCGCTGAGCAGCAAGAAGGCCCGCAAGCTGGAGAAGCAGATGGCCCACGCCATTAGGAGGAAGCGCGAGGAGGAGGAGCGGCAGGCCGAGGCCGAGGTGAAGGGTCAGTAGACCTTGAGTCCCTGAATCCTGGATTCTGGAAGACCGACAAAGTCCAGGAAGAACGTGTGTGCTGACAACTGGGACCGTGACAGACGCCGAGGAGAAGAGCTCCAAGAAGCAGCTCAAGACGGAGAGGAACGCCGCCATGGAGGCCCTCGAGAAGATGGACATCTCATGATCAACCGACAAGTCACTGGCGGGTGAGGCCATGGAGCACAATAAATCACCCGGTACACACAAAGCACGGGGGACGCGGGCCGTACAGGATCTCGCAACATGGGCTCAGGTGCCCGAGCAATAGCAGCAAACCCCTCAACAGCTCAAAGCCACCTCATTTCCGACATGGCCATATTCGGTATATACTCGAAGATGCGTCTAGACGCATCAAAGCTGGCGCAAGTTGCCGGGAAAATGGTTGACAACCCAAGGGACTGCTCGACTCCCCAGCACTCGATATCGCAAATGAGTCGAGGACTAGGCTGGAGAGATTGTGCGGAAGTGAGTCAAGAGCCGACTTCAAAGCAGAACTAATGATTCTGCCAGTTCATAACATAGAGCTACTGTCTTCATGAATACAGCAATGGCAATCAAATCATGGTCCATCTGTGCAGTGCGAAACCGTTTGTGCCCGTTTGTCCTACACCAAGTCATGTCACTCGAGGGTGTTCTGCAGACAGATTTGATTGAGAATCTCACATAACAGCTTTGGAGCATTTGATATTCCTACGAGTTGTAGATTTTATCATTGGAGCCACCACCGCATCGCATGTCAGGCGCCATTCCCCGGTTAGCCCTAGCGTCTAACCGCTCGCCAGACAAGCTACGGGAGGGGGGTGTGGGAGATAAAGGGAGCTTCAGTCGTTCGTATCTACACCGATGAGGCATTTCGAACCTCAAGAAAGGAGTCAGCTATCCGCATCACACTTGAGCAACCCGGCCAGGATAAAGCCTAGAATAGCCAGGAAAACAAACCGTCCAAGTACAACAATGGCCGACACCAGCAGCCTCCGCTCGACCGCCAGCCTCCTGGGCATCACGTCCACCATCCTGCTCGCAGGCTTCAACATCAGCACCTCGCACCTCTTCGTGCCGCTCATGTACAAGCTCGAGAAGCAGACCTCGGCCCGCATGTTCGACAGGCTGTACCACGACGGTCTGAAGGTCGTCGTGCCCCTGGCCGCCACCGCCATCACGTCCTTCAGCTACCTGTCCTACACATCATCCTCCTCTCCCTCCTCTAGCGCCGGCGTCCTGGGCACGAGCCTGGCCAGGGGCCCGGCCTTTGCCGTCGCCGCGGGTTTGGTAACCGCCACCCTCGCCTGGACGGCCATCGTGGTGATGCCCGTCAACCAGAAGCTCATCAGCATCGCGCGCGAGGTCGGCGCCAAGGACAAGGTGTCGGCGGGCGACGTCGAGGCCCTGCTGAGGCGGTGGTGGTGGATGAACTACGTCCGTGGGGCCGGCGCCCTGGTTGCTGGTGTGCTCGCCCTGGCTGCGAGTCTGTGAGGGTGTTGGTATGGTATGTATGGTCGATCAGGCCCGGCGATGCCTCCTATCAAGCGATGTGTATCGAGGGGCTATTTTCAAGGGCAGATGGCGGGCGGTTGTGGAATGCTTCCTCTGTATGGTACTGGCTGCCCAGCTTTTGTCGGGCTGGCTCATTAGACAACATGGACACCTGTTTCGTGAACTGAAGGCACATGCACAATTACAATCTCTCGCGGATTCATGTTTACGTGACGCCGCCCATCTCTTCGCATTGTCTGTCTATTATTCTATTGGTACACTTTCGTGACGTAGCGTGCATGAACCGCCTCGTTCGGGCCTGTCTACGTCGAATCTTCATCTAACCCCTCGCTGCGAGCCCAACCCACTCGGCCCTTTTTTGCCTCATGACTGACAATGACAATGAAAACGACCGGTGCCATCTTACCTCTCCCGAAACACGCGAAACTGCAGATGCAAAACGGCATCTGCTTTTTTCTTCTGGCAGTCGTGCCATGCCATGCGAGAAACTAATTAAACACGAAATCAGACCATGTGAGGGCGTGTATGTATGTCACATGTCTGCAACATTCCAAGTCCTCTAAACCCCCCAAGCAGCCCCAGCGGGTGAGCATGTCCCACCCACCTACACATCCACCTGCGCCTGTGTGTAGTCTGATGTGCAGCGACTCATACTCTGATTCGTCTTGATCTAGGCGTCAACCTCGCCATCAGCAATAGCAAGACGCTGCTTGGCGGTCTTGGCCTTCTTCGAGCCCTTGCCCTTCTTCTTGCCGCTTGCTGCAGGCGCCTCGATGGGGGTTGCTGTTCCTGATGCCTTGTTGTCATCAAAGTGTCCCTCACCTAAAACAGTATTGGTTAGTTTCAAGCCGTTGCTAATAATCGGCGATGGATGGCCTGGCTCACCTTCATGATACATGTCGTCCAGGGAGACAGCATCCTTCTTCTTCCTGCCGCCCTTCCTCTTCTTCTCGTACTCGCCGCTAGCCATGAGCTCCTGCTCGCGACGCTCAATCATCTTCTCGACCGCATCGTCGTCGTCGGCAAGCCACATTGCGATGTCCTTGTTGCGGTTCTCGGTCTGCCTACGACCAGAGAAGTCGACACCAGCACCAGTGCCGCCTCCCGAAATGACAACGCGCTGCACTTCTTCCTTCTGCAGAGCTCGCTTGCGAATGCGCTCCTCGATTGTGCCGCGGGTGATGAGGCGGTATACTGTGACTTGCCTGGTCTGGCCAAGACGATGAGCGCGATCCATGGCCTGCGAGTCGATTGTCGGGTTCCAATCCGAGTCGTAGAAGATGACCGTGTCCGCAGACGTGAGGTTGATACCGAGACCACCAGCACGGGTGGAGAGCAGGAAGATGAAGATATCGGGTCGGGTCTGGAAATCGTGCACCGTATCACGCCTGTCCTCGAGCTTGGTGGAGCCGTCGAGTCGGCAGAACTTGTAGTTGCGATACATCAAGTATTCCTCAATCAGATCAATCATGCGCGTCATCTGGAAGTACAGTAACACGCGGTGACCTTGCTCCTTGAGCTTGAACAGCAGCTCATCCAGCTTGGCAAGTTTGCCGGAATCCGTGACAAAGCGCCGCATGGATGGTACGGCAACATTTGTGAACCGCTTCTTCTCGTTGTCTGGAGACGGTAGTAGTCCATACACAGGCATGCTGTCGATGGGGGTCTTTTGAGTAATGAAAGCCTTCTGCTCCTCAGAGTTGGGTTCGAACAGTGCTCTGCGCACTGGCACATTGAACAGGGTCTCTTCCCGCTCAATGTTGGCCCCCCGGCTATTGCAGATCACATCGATCGGTGGCGCAGCTGCCCCTGGTCGAGCAGCCGGCTCAAGGTGACCAAATCCGGCGTCGTGATATGTCTCTCGCGCCACGTTCATGAGGCTGCTCAAAACACCTCGATCCGTTATATCGGCTAGAGGTTTGCGATCACTCCGTTGCTTGATCTGGAACAACGCATGCGCCGGGGTGTAGCCCCGGTCCTCGGGCTCGTCATAGGCGACATTCATATATCCTAGCCGGTCCTTCCGCCTCGACAGCTCCACAGCGCGGGTGAAAACGTCTTGATGGCTGGCGTTGTACACTTCCTGGGGGCTCGTATCGGCAAAGCGCAACCACGAGAAGGAGTCAGTGCCACCGAGGCCCTCGCAAACATTGTCCGGTGTCCAGATATTCATCATGTGGTCCAGGTACTTGTTGCGGAACCCGGCCTTCTCGTTGTCGCTGCCGGGCTTGTATAGTCTGCCGCCATCTCGCCAGACAAGCTTGGGCAGCTCATAGTCGATCAAGCTTCGAGTCGAGTATGCCACCGGTACATTGGTCCCCTCACGAATGAAGGACGCCGTCTCGGCAAAGTACCCAGTGAAGAATGGTGAAGTTGTTTCGGCACGTTCGAACAAGTCGGGATGGTTGCAAACCTTCCGGAACTGCATGACGAGGTTCATGAGTGTGCCTGAATCCGTGTCATCGCCAGTGGTCGCCTTCTCGATCAGGTCCATAATGCTGATCTGGTTGCGCAGGTTGCTGTAGTAAGCACGTTGACGATATGTGAGGTCACAGAAGACATCCATCTCGATCTTGTCACCAAGTTCCTTTTGGACGTGCTTCTTCACACGACGAAGCATAAATGGCTTCAGGATCATGTGCAGACGCTTGAGCTGGTCTTCGTTGAGCTTCGTGTTGCTCTGCGCGTGAGACTCAATGTCCTTGGAGAACCATTCGCTGAACTCGTCATGCGAGTCGAACAGTGACGGCATGATAAAATGCAGTAGGGCCCAGAGTTCCTGCATGTTGTTCTGGATGGGGGTACCCGTCAACAGCAGACGGTTCCGGCAGTGGAAACCAAGCAGGCACTTCCACCGGGAGCTCTGGGAGCTCTTGATGGCCTGGGCCTCGTCGAGAATCATGTACTGCCACTTCATCTTCTGGAAGTAAGCAACATCAGACACGACGAGCTGGTAAGACGTGACCATGACATGGAAACTGGCATCCTTCTTGTACGTGTTGTGCCTGCGGTCCCAGAATTTCCGGAGCGTCTTCCGGTCACCTGCGGTACCCCAGTACGGAAGGATCTTGAACTCGGGCACAAACTTGCGAATCTCCTGCTCCCAGTTGTGGAGTGTCGACGCGGGAGCGACAACGAGGTACGGACCCCAGATGTCGTACTTCTCCGCCAGATACGCCATGACCGAGATGGACTGCACAGTCTTGCCCAGGCCCATTTCGTCAGCCAGGATGCCGTTGATACCTTGCTCGTAGAGGTTGGCCAGCCAGTTGAGGCCCTTGAGCTGGTACTCCTTGAGTTGAGCATTGAGCAGCTTGGGCTGCTCAATCTCAACCTCGCCCATTCCTGTAGGATTCTGAAAGTTCATCTCCCCATCTTCGTCAGGCTCATCGTCCTTGTTGAAGTCTCTGGCCTTCTGCTGTGCTTCTGCGAGAGCGTGCGCCGCGTTGGCCTTCGCAATCTCTTGGAGCTTGTCTTCGTCCTCTTCTTCAAAGGTGAGATTCTCAAACCTAGTGACCTTGGCCCCTGAAGTGGCAGTGCCATCATCGTCAACGTCGACCGCCTTGTGATCTGGACCAGTGTCCTCCGCGGCGATATCGGGGTTGTCTGTGCTGCGCTCGACTTCGTGTGTCTTGATCTTCTTGCCGATAAAGTGAGAGTACAGTTCAGTCTGGGAGATGAGGAAATTGAGCTTCCGCTTCTGCCGAGCGGCCTCGCGGTCTGCCTCCTGTTTGCGGGCATTCTCAAGCTCCTGCTTCTCGGCAGCCTTGCGAAGATCGCGTTCCTCGCGCTCGTTGCGCTTCCAGAAGGTCATCATGTCACGCATGACACGCTTGGCGCGAGCCTGCAGGTCCTTCGTCCCCTTGTTGGTCCGCATCTGCCACCTCTTGGCCTCCTTGGAAGCAAGAATAGCCGTCTTTTTAAGGTTAGAGGCTTTGGTCCCATAAGATTCAGTTGCAAGCCTGTAGACCTTGTTAACGTCCTTGCGGGCAAGATCGCGCCAGATCTGGTCGTAGATCTGGTTGAAACCCTTAGACTGGAACTTGTTCTCGTTGGGGTCCTTGGGTTCCTCGACGACTTTCTCCTTCACCTTGGGCTCCTTGGGCTCGACAACCTCTGGGTCCTGGACGGCATCTTCCTTGGGGGCCTTGTCCTTCTTCAGCCTGATGCGGATCTTGCTTGTCTCCTCCTTGCTGGGCAGCTCCTCGCCTGCGTCCAAAGCTGCCTGGGCAGCCAGTGCACTGTCCTTCTCGGCTTGTTTCTGCTCCTTAGACTTCTTTGGTCGCGGTCCGCTTCGAGACTTGCCTTTGCCTTTGCCGGGCTCCATGTCGCTTGCTTGGAATGTCGACATGACGCCGCCTTCGAGGTTGACCTCAATGGGAGGCAGGTTCCGTGCTGGGCCCTTGATGCCCTTTTGCAGGATGAGCTTCGTCTGCTGTGCCTTCTTGTTGGCACGCTCGGCTTCACGAAGATGCTTAATTCGCTCCGCTTCGTCACCGGCCAGCTCAGCAGCTTGGGCCTTGGCGAGGGCTGTTTCCTTCTGCTCGATGGTGACCGCCATGGATTTCTCGCGTCGGCGCTTGCGTTGCATATCCTTCTTCCGCTCCTTCTCGGCGACAACCTCTTGATCGCGTACCTTCTGCAGCGCGTCGTCATAGTACATATCGTCGTACCGGCGCTTGCCCAGGTCTGTGTGCAGGCTCAGGTGCAGGATGCTGTCCCTGGCCAGGTTGGACCTGCGCGAGGAGTGAAGCTTGTCCTCCCGGCCCTCCATGGCACGTCGCCGTCTCAGTGCACGCTGACGCCAGGCGAATTGCTCCTCGTCGGCATCAAAGCCGTCGGCCTCGATGGGATCAACGTCCATCTGGTCCATCTGTTCCTTGATTTTCTTCTCCTTGCTCGCGGAGAAGCCGCCTGTCTTGGGCTGGCCATTCGCCGTGCGCTTCGCAGGAACGCGCGGCGCGGCAGCGATCTCCTTTTCCTTTTGGGAGTGGGAGGACGACCGCCTCTTGGACGTGGGCTCCGAGTTCTTGATGTCCGACACACGGGACTGCCTGGGCTTCCTGGCAGGCTTCTTCCGCTCGACCTTCTCTGGCTCGTCTGACTTCTCCTCTTTCACAGCAGGCTCCGAAATGCTCGCTGGGGGAGATGGATCCCGTGGTCTCATATCTGTTTCGGCGCTGGACAGTATATTGTCGAAGGACATGACATTCCGGCTAGGGGTCTGAAGGCGGACAAAGGTTAAACAATTAAGAGCATGGAGGGGAAGCGGGAGGGAGGTGAGTTCCAGATGCTTACACTTGTGGGGGGAGCAGGTGCTTGCAGCACCGAAGGAGCAGGTGGCGAGTGTTGCACGGCCGGAGTGCCATTTGAAGCGGTGCCGGCTGACAGCGCCGACTGTAGCACACTGGGCGAAGCCATCGCACGGGCTCCGGCGGGCGGGCTGATGGATCCGGCAGACGGGCGGGAATGAGAGATGGGGCTTCGCGGTGGGAAGGTTGCAGCGACAGGCGACGTGTAGCTGCCCTTGTAATAAGGAGAGCGATCGACGGATGGCTGCGGAGGATAGTCGTAGTCCCTGTTCAAAGGATCGCGAGGCTGTAAAGGGCAAGGTGAGATTGGTTAGCAAATGCCGATGATGCAAGCACACAAAGTAAGATGAGTGATTTGGCGTGCAGGTTGACAAAGGCGATGATGGATGGATCACGACGTCAAAGACGGGTGTTGGAGTTTGCGATTTTTTTTCTAGGGTGGCGGGAGGGATTGACGGGATGGGATGATTTGACGATGGACTTGTGACGGAGAGGATGGGCCACTTGGCCCAGTGGCATTGCTGCTGGTCAGAGTTGCCAACGCGGCGCGGTTGTGGAGGGGCGTCGGTTTGGCGTGAGAATGTCGGACGCATTGGCACCCGTCAAAAAGAAAAAGTATTGGCGGCACCAGCGTTGCAGCAGCGAGCAGGCAGGCTTGGGATCTGATTGCTTTTGGGATTTGCTTGCTTGCTTACCTTTGATGCTGACGATGACGATGAAACCTGGGTCGCGTTGTGCCAGGCGGAGCCGGTGTCGCTGACCCTCCGGTCGCTGGTGGTGGTGGTGGTGTCGGTGGTAGGGTCGTAGAAGCTGCCGGCCGTCTTCTCTCGCGGAGAATCGCGATGGTCGCGCAGGTCCTGGGGATAAAAGACGGGCGGCGCGTGCAGAGGCGATCGCGGAGGTGCGATGCTTGATGGGTGGACTGGTGGAGGAAGGGATGGCGGCGCAGCAGATGATGTCAGGAATGGGTTGTGCAGGAGCGAGCGTGTGCCCGAGCCGGTGCCATTCGTGCTGGTGCTGGAGCTGTTGTTTGCCGCGGCGCTGGTGGAGGGCGCTGACGAGGGAGAGGCAGAGCTGGAACCGGGGAAGCGAGGCGGCGCCGGTTGGTGGAAGTCGGCCTGGGTTGGAGATCGCAGACTGAATGAGTGTCGCGGTGGCGGTTGCTGCTGCTGCCCAGGTGCATGCGAGCCTTGTGCAGGTGGCGGATTGGTGTTGTTGTTGTTGCTGCTCTCACCCAGCTGAACCGGATTCAGAATGTCGCGGTGCCGCCGCTCACTGCTGCCGCGATCCCGCTCTCTTTCCCGCTCGCGGTCGCGTTGCTGGTCCTCGTAGTCGTGCAGGCTGGGCGGTCTCTGCAGCACGGTCGAGTGGAAATTTGACTCCATCCTGGCTGTGGTGGGTGCGATGATGCCCTGACTGTGATCGACCTGGCTATGTTATCGATCCGTCCCTCGCCCTGCTCTAGAGAGCCGGCCTGAGTTCTCTCCTGTCTTGTCTGATCTAGTCTTGGGGTGCCAGAGACAACCCATCCGCAACGCGTGTCAGGCAAGTCGCCGAGATGACAAGGATGCAGTCGGGGACAGGTTCGGGGTCGACTGGGTCGTGGTGTATGTGGAAGAGATGGCTGTTGGACACTGGCCACGGGCGGGCGACCTAGCCAGTCGTGATGTGTAGCCGGTGATGGACTGACAGACAGGCACAGGCACAGGAACAGGAAGCAGACCTGGCGGCAGGGAATGCAGTCCAGATCAGTGCTTGGTTGAGGCTCTGCCAAGCAGTGGGTTGATGCCGACTGAGGGTGGTCGACAGGCAGGAGGAAGGTGCTCAGCCGGCTGATTGATGGGGGGCGATGGTCGGGTGGAGAAGTATCGCGGGCGGGCGAGACTTGGTGTTGACGAGATGGTGCGGCGTGGACGAGGGCGTGGGCGGGACCGTCGGTTCGGTTCGGCGTGGAAGGAGGAATGGGTTGGGATGGGGATGGGGATGGGGATGGGTCGGGTCTGGCCTGGGTCAGCTCAGGTCGAGTGGTGTCGAGTCGAGTCGAGTCGTGTGTGCACGAGGGAGGAGGATCTCGTTGGGCTAGCGCAGATTCGACAATCGAGAATCGGAATCGATCTCGGTGTCTTGTCCTGTCCTTGTCTGGCCTTGCCCTCCAAGAACCTGGGCCCGAATTCTCGCCGGCCGAATGCCTAGGTTGGACCAAAACTGACTGATAGCTCTGCAAGAAAGAAAAACTTTGTCTTTTCCTTTTCCTCTTGTTGCTACTTGATCCTGCTATCAGACCAGCAGCACGGCCAATCGTGAAATGTCAATGTCAATTTCAATGTCAAAATGTCAACCGTCACTACCACAACTACTGCGTGCTTGAGAGCTGAGCTAAGCTGAGCTGCAGTGGAGATGCTAGTCTCGTGCCGAGTCGATCATACGGGACAGTGCGTGCTGAGGTCTTGCAGAAGTCTAGTCTCAGAAACAGACCAGGAGCAGAAATGCAGAGCAGAAATGCAGCACCGTCAGAAGCATCCAAATGAGCACCAGTAGAACGGCGAATAAGGAAGGGCCTTCTCGTGGGTGTGGTGCGCTCGCTTTGGTCGAATTTGATGAGTAATGTGATGGTTATGATGGGGGCAAGGACGATGAGGGGCCAGGACTAGAGATGCCGGTGCTGGTGCTGGTGCTGGTGCTGAGCTGACAGGTGTGGTGGGTGGCGACGATGCTGTCGGCGGCTGTGGGTTGGTGTTGATTGCTTGTGGGGATCGACCTTGGACGGGTGGCGATGCATTCATCCATTCATTTCATCACAGCTACAGCTACAGCTTACAGGACAGGACAGGACATGACATGATAGAGAGAGTGCATTCGATATGCTTGGACGGGGTGGGAAGGGAAATGGGAGATGGGAATGAGAGAAGGACGGATCCACTGATTGTTGGGATTGACTGATTGAGCCGTCGTCCACACCATATCAGAGCCTCTCTCTCCTCTCTGTCCTCTGCCCTCTGCCCTTTACTCCGTGACGGGCTGGCTGACTGAGTGACTGAGTCCTTCGCCGTGTCTTGCCTTTCTGCTGCCATACGTACCTACTTACGTACCTGGTCTAGGTACCAGAATGGCCAGAACGCCCGACCCAGTCGTGCCAGCATCTGATCGGATGCCAGAGGCTCGTGTGGGGGACGGAGAACGGTGCCGGTGCGCTAAGCCCAGACTGGAACTAGACCCTTGGCCCGAGCTGAGGCTCACCCCCAAGTGGCCAGGCTAGGACAGGACTAGGGGTTACTGGGGAGCACCCAGGGGCACACAGGCGACAGGCAACTCTGACCCTCGACAGCCTTACAAGGCCTGGTCTGGCTGTCTGCAAATTGACAGGCCTGCCAGCTGCACACACCCGTTTGCGACCCGACTGGACCCGACTCGACTGGGCTGGACGTCCAAGGTTGGCTCAGCCGCAATGCCTCTCTCTACTCATGTTGCTTGCTGCAGATTCAACAGCATTCACTGCATTGGAAGGAAGACGTGCATGCAAAGAAACAAGACATTTTCCGTGCTTGAGAACTTCTATTTCAATTGAAAACGCCTGCCAATCCCGCACCTGGAGGCCATCTCGGGCTGCCCACCCGCTGCTCTTCTCTTTTTGGGCAGCGGGACGCCCCTCGGCCTCCCTGCCCCTCGCAGGCATCCCTACGCCTCTTTGGGGGAGCCTCCTGCTCTGGAGACGACACCCACTGCATGCCATTCTATAGAGAGGCCGCTGGGATGCTTGCCTATGCATGCGCACGTCTATACCCGCCAGAATTGCAAAACTTGGCGTCTTTGGTACCCTATACGACACCCCTTTTTTCTTGCGTCTCCTGGCCCATGCCGCCACCTTATCATGCTCAGACTGCACCAGCCGCAAGCATCTTCTTGCGCAGGTAGTTCTTGTATTCCGTGATTGAGCCGTCCCATGGCTTGATGGTCTTGTTCTCGCACACCAGGATCTGCTTCGCGATCTTGTCCAGTAATCTGTCACCAATGGTCAGCTCACAAAGTTCCGAAGAGTTTAATTCATTAAAGGCCGGCGTGGCTGGCTTACCTGAAATCGTGACTGACGACAATGACACCACCGGTGAATGCGTTGATCGCCTCCGCCAGACTGTCAATGGTCGGGATATCCAGACCGTTGGTCGGCTCGTCAAGCAGAATCATGTTCGGGCTCTCGATGGCCAGCAGCGCGAACACGATACGGCTCTTCTGCCCCTCGGAGAGGGTGCCGATCAGCGCCGTCTGGGACTCCCCAGACAGGCCGTACTTGCCAAGTTGCTGACGCCAGTACTGGTAGTCCTGAGACCGATCCGGGTACTTGTCTCGCACAAAGTCAAGCGAAGACTTGGTCAGGTCGAGCTGCTCGGCCGAGTGCTGCGAATACATGCCCAGCTTCAGATGCGTATGCCTGCTCACGTTGCCTGATGTTGGGGAGAGCTTGCCGGTCATGAGTCGGAGCAGTGTGGACTTGCCCACACCGTTGGGGCCGACCAGCGCTGTTCGGGAGTCCATGTCGAAACCGAGGTCGATGTTCCGGTACAGGTCGTCCTTGGGATCCCCCGAGTACGAAAAGGTGACGTCGTCAAAGGACAAGACAGGTGGGGGCAACTTTTCCACATCGGCGAAGCGGAAGCTGAAGACACGGTCTGAGACGACGGGCTGGATGAAGCCATCGGCCTCCATCTTGTCCAGGATCTTCTGCCGGGACTTGGCCTGCCTCACCAGGTTGGCATAGGTACCAGCACTGGCAATGAACTTCTTGATGTGGGTAATCTCGTCCTGCTGCTTCTGGTAGGCCTTCATTTGGTTCGTGTCCTGCTCACTCTTGGTCTTGGAGTACGAGTCGTAATTACCACCATAGTAGAAGAGGTTCTTCGATCGCATGTCGATCATGTTGGAACAGACACCGTTGAGGAAGTCCATCGAGTGGGAGACGAGCACCAGTGTGCGTTCCCACTTCTTGAGGTACTCCTCAAGCCACACACAGGCCTCGAGATCCAAGTGGGCTGTAGGGTCGTCGAGAAGCAGGAGGGTGGGCTTGACAAACAGGGCCTTGGCAAGAGCGACACGCATTCTCCAGCCACCAGACATGTCCTTTGTCTTCTTGTGGATGGTGACCTTGTTGAAACCCAGACCGGTCAGGATGAGCGAGGCACGGGTGGCGAAGGTAGAGGGGTCCATCTTGTCCATGTGCTACAAAAACACGCAAGTCAGTCAAATGCTGAGCATTTCAGGGAAGAAAAGGTGAGGTTTGGGGTGGCAACGCACATCGTAGAGGTCCATCAAGACCTGGCTGTCGGGGCCCTCGGTCTCGAGAAGCTCCTCGGCGACGTTCTCCAGACGAGCCATCTCGTTCTCGGCCTCCTTGACAACCCACTCGAGGGCACCCAATTCGGAGGGCGGTGCACCCTCGTTGAGCAGGTAGATGTCGACGTGGGGTGGGATGGGAAACTCCCGGGCGGCAATGGCCTTCAGCAGGGTACTCTTGCCGCAGCCGTTCTCGCCCAGCAGGCCGTAGCGGCGGCCAAAGTTAAGCTCGAGGGTGCTGTCGGTGATGAGGACGCGGCCGTGAAAGACCAAGCTGACCGAAGTGATCTTGACGTCGCGGCTAGAGGCGACGGAGGACAGGACACCAGTAGTAACACGGTCAGAAATGCCGTGCTTGTCCATTTGTTCGGCGAGGCGCGCAACCTCGTTCATCTTGGAAGAGGAGGTGGCGGGCTCGTCAGACTCGATGGGGTTGCCGTTGGCGTCGAACTGCAGCGGAGGGGTGGCATCGCCGTTGACAGAGCCGGCGGCGCTGGCATTCTTGGAGCCAGCCTTGGACCTGGAGGCGACGGTCTTCTTGCCCTTGCCCTCGGCGGCCTTCTTGGCCAGTCTCTTCTCCTTGGATGACGATATCATCTTGAATAGGGAGTACCGTTGCCTGGGTACTCGCGGGTATCAAATAAGAAGGGGTATTGTAGGAGAGGAGGGGCGTGGGAGGAAAGGGAAAGGCTGTGGTTTGTGCCCTTTGGAAAACAAAAACAAGTGCAAGCAGCCTGGGCCGGAAAGAAAAACCGATGGCAGCGGTGATGGTGGTGGTGGGAACGGGGTGAGGGACAGGAAGCAAATCAAAACCGAGTCCAAAACCAGAGCCAAAAGCCAGACAGAGGTGGGGTGGCGGTGGAGGGGAGGTGAGGGCCAGAGGATGAGCAGGCCTGCCTAAGGATTCACACAGGTCTATCCAAGGCACACGGGAGTTTGTTGGTGGGGTCTGGCTTCTGAAATTTCTGACTAGGCTGAGTGTGAAAATGTGCAGCCCGCCACGGCTCTTGGGGGGGAACGGATGGATGACCTTGGGCCGATAAGCGATAGCGGCCTAAGGCAACCGCAACAGTCCTCCGCCACATCAGTACGTTAGCTGGATACATGTTCTGGTGTGTGTTCTCTGCACAGATATATGTACCCAGATGACACCCGTATATAGAACAGTACAACACCTGGACTATTTCAAGGAACCTGGGTGTCTGTCTGCCCGTTCACTTTCTTCAATCGGGCAGGGCATTGAATTCTCAATTCCTAATTTCTTGTCATCTCGTCCAATAGCTGAGCCCATTAGTCGTTCAGCCGGCCAGTCTGTTAGCTGAAAACAGAGAGCCAGTGAGGCAGAGAGCCAGAGAGCCAGAGACGGAGTAAGTATTCTTCACTTTTGCACAGACGCATGCAGGAATCTGACGTCACCCCAATGTCAGATAATCTTGCTCCAGCTCCATTGGCTGCTGACCGTCCTCCTTTAGACTACCACTACCACACCAACATTTAACGACTCAGGGCCTGCCTACTGCAACTCCGCACATGACTGCCTCTCCATCTGGGCCGTGCCTGTGCACGTTGGATGGCCTCACAGTACAGTATGTCAAGAAACCTTTGGAAGCAGGCAGAGGCACAACGACAGCAGTCTCATATTAGCAGCAGCTATCTCATGGATGCCGCAGATTGATTCAGACGCAGACTCCAAAAACTCCAAACATATGCATATGCATCCCTTGTCCTTTCTTCCCAAAATCCAAAACAACGCCCATGCCTCGCAGCCACCGTCCCGTCAAAAATGCATTGCTTTAACCGTGACACCCCTTTGCGCCCCTCCCCCCAAACGATTCCGACGACGCATCGAAACCACCGCATTTCCGGATGTCCCACGAGCGTATGAAATATTTGAGGCAGGCCATACATCCAGATCCCCATAGTCTCACTGCTGTTGTGCTTCTGGGTGGCTCAGATGCGATATCCAAGGCTCGAGCTGTCCACGTACTCATGCAGCTAGAGCTATCGAGCCGCTGTTGAACCCGACGATACCCTCGGCCATACACATCTTTGAGGACGCTGGCGAGGATATCGCTATCCGCCTTCCTATCACTCCATCGCCACCGACCTCAAGCAGTAGCTGCTGCCCTAATCTCGTCTCCGACGAGCTATGGTCACTGAGATCGGTGCCGAGGGTCATTGGTAGGGTGAAACTTCCGACTTGCTTGCATTCCGAGGTAGGCACTGTCAAGTCCCCAGTAGAGCTGTATGGCTACAATTAGCACTAAGTGTAGAGGGAAACGGGTTGCTCGCTCACAATATCGTCAACGTCAGGTCCTGGAGGATCTGCTGGCCATGCACCGGTATGAATCTCACATGAGTGGCTGTTGTGCTCTTGGAGTCCACGTCGTTGTAGAACATGATCCGGCCAGAGAGGTCTTGCTCGAGTCCGGACCGGTCGCTCACCACTGCGAGGGCCCCGAAGCGCCTCGGGTCGTGAAGATCTTTCTCGCTTCCTCCACACATGTCAACGACTTTGGTTTCAAGAGTTCACGTTTCTTCAAATATATTTGTCTGCTTCGTGCCGAGGCGGTTTCGATCGTGTCGAGAGGCAGTCTGTCTTAACAGAGAACAGGAGGGAAGACTACCTCAAGGGGCATGTTGCTGGTTTATATCAACACGCGCGGTTCATTTGAATGGGGTTGGAGAGGGACTTGGCCGCGTTTACAAGACGCGGCATGTGGAAACTGCCTCATTGATAGCCATCGCAGGGCGGGTGGCCATGACTGAAGCGGTCAGGAGTCGCCCAGGCCATCAGGGCTTCCAATGCCGCCTACCTCTATTCATTTGACTCGGCCTCAACGCCAGGCACGGCCCAATCAAGAACAGTAAAACATGCGCAGTCACAACAGCTGCAGACGAGGCCCATTTGACCATCTGGTCAGTCCTGAAATCTGACCCTCTTGGTGGAAGCCAAGATGCGGGCCGCAGCCGTAGGGGTGAGCAGGTTTTTGAGCAAGTTTCGAGAGGGTTTAGTGGACAACGGCGCCGATGGAGCATCTGATAGTGGCTACTTCATACAATCACTGCCATAAGGCAATTATTATGTACTCCTTTAGCACTTACACAATCTTCGGTCACGCAGTACCAACACTCCACGGCACCTCTTCCAGTTGGGTTGAAAACTATAACAACGACACGAGCTTGTCTTTACGATACAATGTGCAGTAGAAATATCTCCCAATACCGACTGCCGGCTCGATTTTCATGACTACATCTTTTAGAGCTCGAACCAGGGGGCTGAAGACGCTGAACAAACTTGTGATTCACTGCACTCCGACGAGGTCATCCTACAGATGAAGTACGACCTGGTCATGAGGTTTCACTCGGATTCTCAAGACCTGAGTCATCTGCAGCGGAACATTCCTTCTTAATAACTTCACTCTGAGTCGACAATCAGGCTCATCACATCGAGTTCAAGCGTTGCGAGCACATCAACGCCCCGGACTAGCCGAACCCATGACCTACTTCATTTCATTGCGAGGCATTAACGGAGGCAGCCTCCAAGTCATAGGATGGGCATACGCCCCTCTCGTGTCCCATGTGGCAGGGCTCCCTCAGCAGAGCTACGATGGTCAGTACATGAAGACGCAGTACAATGTGAGTGAGTCTCAGACAGACCCACACTCGTACTTTGCTGTGATACGATACACCGTTCTGTGCTAATGGCAGCTGAAGCTCGTGAAGAGCATCGCAGGCGTTTGAGCTGAGTGTCCGAAGACAGATCTTGGCGTTGACCACCGCCACAAACCTCGGCGACGTCCTCTACGATCTGACGGCTGCAGTGTAAGCCAGACAGATCGCATTACATCACCCCAGGCGTTCGAGTTGAACACGGAATGTCAATTATCCAATGACAGAGCCAATGCTGTGTTGAGCATTCCGAGTCCCTCATCAAGTCCTATATCTGGCCCAAACAATCTGGGCTCTCATCCGTGTACTAGAAATCCGGCAGCCTTAAATAACTATACACCACAAAGCTTTTCCACAAGACCACTCTGGAGCCCGGACGGTTTGTATGACTTGCTAGCCTGCAATTTCCGGCCATCCGGGTTGGGACTTCAAGGCAGGTATATTACCCGCCGGAAGACAATGGCCTATGTCCTTGATTAGAATTTCAGGATGGCTGACGGGTGGCCATCTCGTGCATGGCATTCCAACGGCAAAGCGGCATATGTGGAAAACGTCTGGAAGCATGCGAAGTGATAGGTCGGGGAATAAATGGCCGTCGCGACACAGATTGCTTTGTAATTGCTCGGGGCGTCACTTTCATTCCCGATCGCTTATTAGGTGTGTGGCGTATGGAGCTGAGCGTCATTGTGGGACTGGGCTTCCATTATCGCGGTGAAACCTCTCGGTCAGTCCAGCGGTAGTCAGCGCGGCGACTTTCTGGCTCGGTGCCAGGATATTGGCCTGTAGGTAGGCGCATGGGGGGGATTTTGTTTTCTACACGTCGCCTGCTCATGTCACAGTTTTACCACACCGAATCAAACAAACCCCGTGAGGGGGACGTCAAAGAACAGGAGGTAGTTTTTCTATCGCTCTCGGGGGCTGGTAGGAGAGCCTTCGTGTGGTTTAGGAATTACCCAGGTACTACGTTGGGTTCGCTCTCCCATACAAATTATTTGGGGTGTTTTTTTTTCCCCCATTCGAAATTCCCGCCTAATCGCCCTAATTTACCTAGGTACTGGTTGGGCACAAGAGGTCCGATGGACTAATCTTCGGAAAACGGACACTAGACTCTTCTTCTAGCTGAGGGAGAGAGATATCCGAGATGTTGCTTCCATGCCGGTTCTTGATTGGTGGGCAAGGAAAAGACTGCTTTTGTTGCTTGTGTGACGAGTCGACAATTTGCAGTCCTGTGTTCCTCCTGGATTCTGCTAGTAGACCATGTTCCTGCATTTGACATCGACCCACCACTTTTGATAGCTGCATGTTTTTGCCTCTCGGCGTGAACCGGATTAGGCTCATGTCTCAACTGAATCTCACCTATGAGACATGTTTGTTTGACATGCACGCTTGCGAGGCGTTCGAGAACGGTTTCTTAAAAACGCCTAAAGCATGTTGTCTCTCCCCCGCTTCACGAACATTCACCCCAATGCTTATCATCCCTCGTCACCCTTTGTTTGCTTCGAGAACTATATCCCATCAGTCTTGACTCTTACCCATAATTGCTTGCCCGCCAGGAGGTGCCTTCAGTCTATCAAGCGATACTGCGGCTTTCTGTGTCTGGTCCACTGATTGCGAACCACGTGTATCAATGAGAAACATTCAACAAGCCACAGTTGCGGTTGAGCGAGACACAGGAGGATCAATAAGACTGAACATCGTGTGGAGGAAGTAAGCAGCCATTGATGTGCGTTCGGTCTAGCCTACAACCTGGAATCACGCCGCCCGTCATTCGAATCAACCATTGCTTTGGCAAGACTAGAGACAGGGCTCCGTGCGATGTAACATGCATATTAGCGACAATTTTCTGTCGCTAAGATGGCCGGTAATACAACACTAAGGCATGCGGCAGCCCGCATACATTAGCTCCCAAAGGCACATTGCATCTGCATCTGCAAGGCACGTCAGTCACCCATCTCTTGTGAGCGATCCATCATCTGGGCCCTGATACCTTCCTAGCGGCAGTCTATCCGGAAGCAAGCTGCATAGCTTCTAATTATTGACTGTCTCGCTAGCAGGCCGCGGTGCAACGGCACCCAGGACTGCGGGCGCAAACAACAAGACAAGGTTCTCGACCGAGGATCTCCCTTGTCCACAGAAAATCTAACTTGAGAGAATATGCAGTGATCCATGAGGGTATTCCAGGTAAAGATTGACGGGAAACCGCATGCCGACGCCTTCAACCCAAGGCATGTCATCACGCGTATCAACGGCCCGCAGCCGACAACCGGCTGGACAAACGATGAAGCAGGCTTCTGAAAGGCCTGGACGAAGATTCGTTTGCTAAATCATCTTTAGCCCTCCCAATTTCGTCATTGTATTGGCCAATCCAACTCGCATGCGCATCGCAGGCAGCCGCCACATTCTTACTTCTGACGTCCCTTGCCGTCCTCGGCGAGCTACTGATGCAACTCGCAGTCCGTCCGGGCGGGGTGTTTCTAGCTTTGCAAATAGTGAGCAACATAATCAAGTTCTGATCCGTGTGTTGTCAACATCGGCGTTGTTGGGCCATGTGTGACTCCCGTGATAGCTCGAGGCTGTTGTGATATGCTGGGGCTTGAAAGCACGGGGAAGCTGAACATCTGATATCTCACAGAAAAGCCTCTTGAAAGTTCTGCGATCAAATATTGGCTATTCGTTGCGCATGTGGCTCAATCGGCTTCACCAAGGGTCTCCTGGTGGCTGGATTTGGTCTTACTTCTGCATGTGGCCTCGCCCAGCGATGACTTCCGAGGACCGAAACAGTGACAGGGGAAAAGTATTAGCCCCCTTCCCTTCGACATTGAGATCCGCCACCGAGCGGATGGTTACATACAGCCCAATCTGATCAACCTGCGGAGAAATCTGTGCAGACATGGATCGCCGCAGCAGACAGCTAGCCAAGCATGTCGCCATCCAAGGGCCGGGGCATCGTATGGTAGTCGCGGATCTATCTTTCTTGGGCTTCGAGATGTCTGTGCTTGCCTCGATGGAATACGAGGGAAGCAAGGCGTGCTGCATCGTGCACTGCTTTTGATATTCCGTAGATATAAAGTCCACTTGGTCACATTTGGTGGAGGCCAGTTTTCCTCGGATCTTCAGGCTTCCAGCACTTCTGAGCTCCAGTCAGCCCTTATTGAGGCTTCACACTCGTTTTTTCTTTTTACTTCTATCCTGTCTTTCACACTAGAACGACGACGAGCTACGGTCGAAAATGGGTGCGATACTTCGTCTTGCTCTTATGAGCATATGGTGAGGACTCCAATCCCTCCTGGACACCCGGGATCTTGGTCCCGTCAAGACATGACTGACACATGGAATCAGGGCAGTTCAGGTTCTCGGCTATGAGGGCAGAGACTCTCAGCCCAAAAACATCAAGCACAGGCAGTACCAGTACATCACGACTGTCACAGAGACACTGGTGGTGAACGAACCTACCACCACGGTGACGGTCTCTATCGAGGCTTCCTGTGCCTCGTCGTCCAGGCCATGGAGCTTATCCTCGTATCTGACCGGCACTGGTCCGGGTGGCCTCTCTTCGTCGACCTCTGCACCATACGGTAATGGTACTTCCTCGGCCACGTCCGCTCCAGGCACGGGATCAGTTTCACTGTCAACCGGTGTCTCGTCGACAGCTCCGATCTCAGCCTCCTCATCTCAACCTACTGGTACCGGAGGTACTGGGTTACCCCCTTCCCCGTCTACCTCTGGTATTTATACCAACGCATCGTCTGCCGCACCCACATGGTCATCAGCAACATCCGGGGGCTACGGCACGGGCACATCACCATCGCTGCCGGCCTCCTCCTCTGGAGTCCCCACCAATTCGTCAGCCACTGCTCCGGTCACGTCCTCAGGTACAGGCTCCAGCGGCACTGGCACTGGCTACCCAGGCGTTCCAAGCTCATCCGGTGGAGTCTATCCTAATACCACAACGCCGCTGACATGGCTCACGACCGGGTGGTCTGCCACTGGCTCAGCGTCTTCCGCCTCGCCCACGTCTAACACCACAAGTGCTTCTTGTGGATACGGCGAGGACTGTGCCTCAACCATAACGTCAACCTTGACACTGAGCTCAACAGTCACGGTCAGCCCCAACTCCACCGTCACATCCGTTGGACCGATTGTAGGCTCAAGTACCGGAATCGTGTCTACTTCCAACGGCACTTATACGTATAGTACTACATCTGCTCCTCTGTCGACAGGAGATAGCACCAGTGGTATCTCGTCCTCGGCCAGCACTAGCGGGATTTACGGCAACTCGTCAAGCAGCACGTCAAGTGAAGTCATCACGAGTACGGTGACCTACACGGAGACCATCTCCACATCATCCAGCACGGGAGGCTACTCTTCAAGCGCCGTCACCAGTGCTGTCAGCGGTTCGAGCAGCCTCAGCTCATCTGCGGTGAGCAACAGCACGTCAAGTGAAGTAATTACGAGTACGGTGACCTATACCGAGACCATCTCCACATCATCTAGTTCGGGAAGCTACTCTTCAAGCGCCCTCACCAGTGCTGTCAGCGGCTCAAGCACCCTCAGCTCATCTGGGGTGAGCAACAGCACAGCCGCGGCGACTGCGTCATCTTCTGGTTTACCATCGCTCAGCAGCTCGTCGTCCAGCGATCTTACCACCCCGCCTGGATACTCCTGGCCCACCGTGGTGCCGTCGCTCTCGACAACCCTACAGACCAAGACATCCTTGACGTCCTCAGAATCTAGTGCTCCGACGTGGACACCACCCACTTATGGCGGCGGAGATGATTCTGACGACGACGATGACTCAGATGAGGGAGGCTACTCCTGGCCCTGGCCTTGGGGATCCGGAAAGGGGAACCATTGGAAGAAGACTAAGGCACGATCTGTCGGGGATCACCAAGAGCAGGAGAATGGAAAGAGATGGTACATGAATTTGTAAAGGCAGTGGAGTATCCTCGGCTGTCTTCTTCCGCTGTTGTGGGCTTTCGACTGCCCCGCGAAGACCTGGATGGGACGGACAAAGGGGACGGTTTCATTTCTTGACATTCCTTTGCCCTCTTTGATTGCTGCACATCTGTATCGGGCTTACATGTGTCCACCATGCGATTGTTTAGATTCATATTGTAACAGACACCGCTTGTTCGAGTTAATCATTGCCCACTATGTCAGTCAATATAATTCATCTCAGCGCCATGCCACTGCTTCACTGTCCTGAACTGAGCCAGAATATTGCTGATCATGCAAATTACGGCTATGCGACCGTCTAAATCACAAGATTCGCTTAATAACAGGAAACGCCCAAAGTAGACACCTTCCCACAGCAAAGGCCGCGGCGGCGTTCACAAGGCCAACGAAGCCTGTTAACATAGCTGGCCCGAGTAGGCTTCCAAATGAGGTTGCAAGAAAGAGAGACATTGCGGCCTTGTCCGCAATCACCTTGTCTAATAAGACTTCTATAGCGACGCTCAGCGGAGGGTGAACAATGAAGGCAACATAAGAGTATCTAGGCTGCCATAACCAAGACATAGTCGGTGTATTGTGATATGCTTGGAAGTAATCCATCAAGGCCGGCCCGACCAGCATGAACGACCATTCATTCCATACGGCGTAAGCGGCGGCATTCAGGTTCCAGCCCCCAGCCCATGCAAAGCTTCCGTCGGATGTAAGAAAGCAAAATGGCAGGGTCAGTGCTGACATCGTGACGGCAAGTCGAAGAGACCGCTTCACTACTCTTCCGAGATTCTCTTTTCCAACCGGCACACGTTCTGCTGACTTCTCTGTGTGCCGCATCTCGAAGGGCCCCATCATCCGCAGATCTCCTTGCGGTAAGGACATGTAACCAAGTGTGTAAGCCATTATGTACTGTGCCAAGTAAGCAGGCTGGACTCCCAACGGGGCGAGTGGCGTCCCGACTGGAAAACGGAGCCTAATCACAAAGCTTATGACAGCCGTCAAGAGCCAACCGTGCCTGTTGATGGTGCTGTAGATATAAGGCGAGACATTCTCCAGGCCGCCTCTGATACCATCGGAGTTTTTCTGCCCCAGGTGCTGAAGGGACGCGGCCACAAAATCAAAAGTAAGTAATGTGGCCGTGTACCATGTCACGCCCTTCACACCGCGCAGCTGCCTCCAGTATTCTTGGTATATGTCGCCCACACGACCTTGTGCCAAGCATGCCACCAAGGGTGGGCCAAATATCGTGTTGAGTATTGTCGGTATTCCCAAGCGCACGAGTCTGCCCCCGAGGAAGCCAGCCGTGGACGCCTTCGGCTTACTCAATGCCTGTGCAGACATACGCCCCGAGATCCAGAAAAACAAGCCCATGAAAAAGGACTGGTTGAAACCGTTGAAAAGGATTAGAGGCTGAGACAGAAAGTCCTTGCCAATCAGCTGGGATCGAAATTGCCAGTTGCCAGCGCCACTTTCTACGACGTCAGTAAGTTGATTCATCTCGGGGAAGCGACACACTAGGGGCCTCATGCATGTCAAATTGCTTAGCGGAAATGCATGCTTTGTTCTTTGAAGCCACGTCTGCGCCGTGAGGGCTTTAGAGAAGAAAAAAAAGGCCAGGAAATATTACCCATAAGGAATGGCAGTGTGGTGCACAATGACCAGTCCGGTGAGGAAAGTCTTGAGTTGATCCAGGTCGTAGCGCCGGGTGGCAGTGCTTGAGTTTACAGCCATGATGGGCGGCTTGGAGATATACCGGCCTTGCATGAATTGAAAGTATTGTGCCGGATCACATGTACTGGTTGTAGCCTTCCGAGCAGATGAGTGAGACCTTTTTAACATGTTTGGTAGGGGTCTTCCTTTTGCCGCCAGTCGTAAGCATATACGCAAGCATGGATCAAGAATCGCCCTAATCCACATTGCGAGGGCCAGCACAGCGTAGGCTGCAGTCGGGGAGAGCTTTAGATAAGCCTTGTGTTTTGCGGATGAACAACACTCCGCTTAGTTTGATCAACTTGTCTACTTCTGTCCAATTGCCTCATTCATGTAAAAACGCTTCATTCGTCTGGTCATGCCTAGACCTGCCCAACTAACGAGTAGCTGTCATAGGTAGGCATGAGTTTAGAGCTCTAGCAGTCAGCTTCTCTCCTGTGGCCTGGGCCATCTAAACTATCCGCGCCGTGCCGTCTTTTCTGTCTTCTCTCCTCACAGACTCAATGTGTGGAGGAGACAGGAGAGGTCTCGGAAGCGTTGGCAATCCCATCTTGGTCTGAATAGTCCCGCTCCTACAGCCAAAGAGCACCTGTTGCGGTGACCTGCATTTGGTCGGCTCAGGTGGGCTGTCCCGTTGTGATCCTCATGTTACCGCCTTGGCATGCTATATATATAAAACATGCTCGACACTTTTCTCTTCGCTGAGCATGCTGCCCTATCATCTGACCGATTTGAGTAGGTTGTTGGAAGACCAAGCTAGCATCAACCGTCTGGATTGCCAAACGGATAATTGAACTTCAGCAGGCCATTCAAACCACCGACCCAACCGTCGTCATCATCGTCGCCGTCTAATGACGGCTGGCCTTTGTGCAGGTCTCTGATTACACAGGGTACGCCGCCCAACCAGTTGCCGTCCTCTCCCTTTGTGATGGTCTCGCCCTGGACCCGTATCTCCATGCCCGGGCTAGCACCGGCCCGTCTCTTGCCATCGATGCTGACCTCGAGCTCACGGCCTCGATTCCGCTCACTAAGCCGAAGGACGACCTTGGTGTCCAGTGGAAGAACCAGCGGCCTGAAGCTCAGGCTCCGGGGGCAGATCGGGGTGATGAGGAGCGAGCCCACCAGGGGGTGGACAATGGCGCCTCCGGCGCTGAGAGAGTAGGCGGTGGACCCCGTGGGCGTGCTGACGAGGATGCCGTCACAGATGGCTTCAGTGAGGAAGTGATTGTTGACATAAACATCGATCATGGCAAGGTGGGGCTGGCCGCCGCGGTGAAGCAGCAGCTCGTTGACAGCATGGAAGGTGGGGGGCACCTTGACGGGCGGGACCCAGTTAGGATTGTTCAGAGCAGCCTCCTGCTCGGCACTCAAGGGCATGAGACGCAGCCTCTGATGGGCCTCGGCAGTGGAGGTGGGCATCAGCAGGCCGTTGATGTTCTTGCCCTCGTCGTCGTAGACGCCAACCTTGAGGCGGTGGCGTAGGAGGATCTTTGGGCGGGCGGCGCCTGAGTCGATGCCGCTGGTGTAGACCCTGGTCCAGGCGTCCTTGTACTCGGCAAACTTCCACTCGCCCAGGAAGCCAAGGGTGCCCATGCTGAAGGACAGGATTGGGGGTACGGTCGGGTTGAGGGAGAAGAGGCTGGCGGCGCGCAGGATGGTGCCATCGCCGCCGAGGGTGGTGACCAAGTCGATCTTGTTGGGGAAATGGGTGGCGGGGTCGCTGCGCGATGGGGTATATATGGGGAAGGGAAGGTGGTTGTGGACGCGGGCGGCGATGCGACTCTCGAAGACGATGTTGATGTCGGGGTAGTTGTCGTGCAAGTGCTGGGCGAAGCGGACGGCATCCTGGACGACCTTTGGGGCGTGAAGCTTGGGGATGAGGAGGATGTTCCGCGGGGGCTGCTGCCAGTGGAGAGTGAGCAGGCCTACGGAAGTCTCATGGTACAGCGGGCTGACCCTGTCGGGAAGGGCGGCGACATCTCGAATCTCGCGCAACGGGGCAGAGGCGGAGAAGGGTCGCGCAAGCGCAGGGAGGAGGAGGCGGCGGGATATGGGCCCGCGTGCGAGTGGCCTCGTAGGTAATAATCTTAGCGATGATAGACTGCTCATTATGTGGCTGTGGCCGTGGCCGTGGGCTTGGCTATGGCTATGGATAGCCAGGAAGCCCAGGAACAGGCAGAGGCACGAGGGCGAGAACGAGGGTGGCTCTCGTGGCGGTTGGTGTTGCAGCAGGGAGGAGAGGCGAAGGAGGAGGACCCGACATTTCGAGCAGCAGCGACCTCAACTGCGTGTTTGTGTGCGTATATCTTCCAGTGTGGGTGGCACCAGCTAGCAGGTGGAAGAGGGCAGGTAGCCCATGGCGATGAAGTCGTCGAGAATGGGCATGGTGGCGGCAATGCGTGAGGGGGTCGACGTCGCGGGCGGGAGGAGTCGATCTCGTGCCTTGTCCCAAGGAGGAGAAGAGCTTGGAGAAAGCTTGGAGTAAGTTTTTGGGCCTGTCCCACCTGCCGAGCACGGGGCCGGTACGTTATACATGTACATGTACCCAAGTACCTGGGCACGAGGGCAGTGTGGAGGAGGAGTGCTGTTAAGCAGAGACGGGAAACGACTGGCTGGGCAGCAGTGACATGGAAGTACTCAGGTAACGGAACCACCTCATGTTCGTTCTTCTGCAGGTCGGCCCAAGCTTCAGGTAGGTAGGAGGGGTGGAGGGGTCCTGCTCTCTCACCGTCCCACTGTCCCACTGTCCCACTGCTCTCTCCAGAGCGCTGGGAGGCTGGGGCGAGCAGGCGGGCCCTTGGAGGGTCCCTTGGCGCCTCTGGCCGGAGCTCACGGAGCTTGAGCCTCTGACATCAACCCATAACGCAGGCCACACACCACACCAGACCATACAATAGCCCATGTAGACTGGTAGAATAGCAACTATAGTCTACGTAAGTCTGCCCGTGTGTCTCGCGCGGCCATGTGATGTGGTCACCCACGGGTTCAGCATCAGAATCAGGATCGGTAGCCCTCTCTCTCTCTCTGCCTCTTCTGAATCTTCTGCCTGACTGCTCACCCTCGTCACATCTCTCCCTCCCCCTGCTCTTCTCTTTTCTATTCTCTTCTTTCTTTTCTTCGTTGTTCACCCTGCAGCCGGGAGGCAGAAATGCCCCCTCACAAGATGAAGACGAGCCTGTGATTCTTTCACTCTTAAATATACTCGCATCCAAACCATCATACAGACATCATCGCCAGCCATCCCGCCGTCCCACCGACCCCTCCTCCTCCTCTGAGCACGCGACCACACGACCACCACCCCTCCTGTGCAGCTAGATAGCTTGCCCTTGCATCGCATCGCATCGCATCACGGCCTGCGCTGGCCTCGTAGCTGTCGCGAGCTGGGCCCTTCCCACCCGCCCGTGCTCCCATCATGGCAGCCCAGCTGCGCCAGAGGCCCGTCGTCCCGACAGATGACCTGCCCGCCCCCGAGCTCGCACCACCCTTGGCCGACAAGCACCGGAAGAACGCCCCAGATGTCGCACATCCTTCTGGCAAGCAAAAGAAGAGCCAGGCCACCCAGTGGCTGAGAGGCTTCAGCTTCGTCGCCTACTTCCTTACTTGCTGCGTTGCGTATGCCCATGCCCCTCTTCCTGATCCTCCTGCTACTGCCTCTCCTGTGTCTTGTCTTGCCCGTCTGCACCGTGGCTAATCAGTCTCTTACGCCAGTATCAACATCACCCAGTTTATCGGCGCCCCGCTCTACATCATCAGCCGCGATGTCTACTACGCATATATGGCCCTGACCAAGGAGTCCTTCGGCCTCTTGATAACCACCATGACAAAGATCTGGGGCCCAACCACTATACGCATAAGCGGCGATCACTCTGTCTCCGGCCAGATCAAGCGCACCCCCGACGGCCGCGTTCAGTTCTCCTTCCCCGAGCGCATCGTCATGATTGCGAACCACCAGATCTATACCGACTGGCTGTATCTGTGGTGGGTTGGCTACGCAAACATGCCACAGATGCACGGTTACATCTACATCATCCTCAAGGAGTCCCTCAAGTATATCCCCGTCATCGGCACCGGCATGATGTTCTACGGCTTCATCTTCATGTCCCGCAAGATGTCCGTCGACCAGCCCAGGATGGCCTACCGCCTCAAAAAGCTCAGGATGGCCCACACTGCCCCCAACGGCACCAGCTTCCTCAACCCCATGTGGCTCCTACTGTTCCCCGAGGGCACCAACCTGTCCGGTAATGGCCGGGACAAGTCGGCCAGGTGGGCAGAAAAGAGCGGCATCAAGGACTGCAAGCACCTGCTCCTCCCTCGGAGCACAGGCATGTATTTCGTCTTGAAGGAGCTAGAGGGATCTGTGGAATATGTCTACGACTGTACTGTTGCGTACGAGGGCATTCCGTAAGTACTGCTCCTTACCAACCTCCATGAAAGTGTCTTGCGGGATCCTCTTAACTCTAACTTAATGATTTCTCTCACCCTTACAGTCACGGAAGGTACGGCGAAGAGTTCTTCAGCCTATCCAGCACTTATTTCCAAGGCCAGGCGCCCAAGTCCGTCAACTTCTACTGGCGCCGTTTCCGCGTCGATGAAATGCCACTGCAAGATCCGGAGAGCTTCGAAACCTGGCTGCGGGAAAGATGGTACGAGAAGGACGCGCTCATGGAAACTTACACGAGCACCGGCCGCTTCCCACGGCTGCCCACAGAACCTGGGAAGGCCGACACCGACGTGCCCGACTTCATCGAGACTGAAGTGAGAACGCAATACTGGTGGGAGTTCCTCAGGATTTTCGTCGTTCTCGGTATCTTCGGTCTCCTCGGGAACCTGGTTGTAAAGTTCTGGTACCGGATGGCTCGTGTTGTTTCCTTATAAGTCTCGTTATAGCATCCGTGTGCGCGGCCACGATAGTCAAGCATCCTTCGCATGTGATCATGCACTTTCCCGGAGTCGACGGAGGAAGCATCGCAAGGTGACTGGAGTTTTCAGGCAGCTGGAAGGCAAGAGGCTACAGGAGGCATACACTGCTGAATTAGGTCAGGTGTTGTTGGAATACCACTTTTTTATCTCGTTTGGGTCATGGTTTAAATGTGCTGCTTCGTAGGGACGTCGCACGTCCCCATCTATTTCTCATTAATCAGAGCATGAATACCCTCGCAGTATAACACAGAGCACAGGAAAATGTGTGTCACGGCTGTTTGCTCAGAAGTGAAGCTCGATTGGACTGTAGATTGTATGATTCCATTCTAAACCCATTTGGTCGAAAATCAAGGACCGGCGGAAAAGATTTCAGAAACCCAGGGCATACGCCACGGCCAATTGACACGCTTGCTGGTATTAGATCAGAGTCTGGTCGGGATATGTTCACCTCAGCACCCAGCTCTGCCTGCATGATCCGTCCGCCCCGTTCCCAATAGTCGCAAGAAGAAGAAGAGTCATTGACCACATTATATAGTAAACCCAGAATGAAAACCTATCCAAGGGCTTTTGGCCACCTGCTGTTCGAAAAAGCCGACGGCGGCTGCAGAAAGCCGTCGTGTAATGATTTGACAAGAAGTTCAAGGACCAAGCGAGGCTTGATCTGAGACATGTACGGTTGGGCCCACATGAGCGAAGAGTCGATGGTAGACCACACCGAACACGATAAAGTTAGATGAGCTCTGGGGGTCTCGTCGCCGTCTCCTAAGCCATTAGAGGAGCAACAGTGACAACCACATAGTGCACGGCAGCCTTTTCGTCCTTCAATGGAGTCCAGTGCGCGACGAATTTCTCGTCGCCCCTGAAGACAGCCGACCGCCGCGTCTGGAGGCGCAGCTCCGTGCTGATGGGCATGCCGACCCGGATGGCATTGCGCACGCGGGCCTTGTACTCGGATTGTTTCGCCATCATGTTGAGGCCGAAGAACCTGAATACCTCGCTGCCGGCGACCATGGTGCCGGCCATATTGGCCGGGTTCAGCATCTCGACGATCCCTTCCGAATAGAACTCAATCACATAAGTGTTGGCGCGCACCACAAGATACTGGCTGAAGTTAGCTTGCGCGAACCGGATGAGAGCAAGATGCCGTGCTACTGATGGCAGACTGACCTTGGAGTACGCCGTATAAAACTCCTTCATCTGCGAGCTGAGATCCTGCCCCTCCATGCGGCCCAGCACACCATTTTCCATCCCAGCATCCATCTGCGGTATGTGGACATTGTTTCCGTTTTGGCGCACGCCCAGTGCCTTGAGTATGGTCTTGCGTGCAGAAGTCTTGTTGCTTTGCTGGGGTCCGGGCAGTGGCTTGTTGAATTCAGCATGTTCGGCGTCGGATGTGGCGGACGTTGACAGCACTTTCAGCACGTCTACATTGCTGTGAATAGTTGTCGAGCAGTTCACCTGGCCGCCTAGGAAGAATTCCGTCTTGCCTCGTTGGTTATAGAGTGGTGCTGCGGCGGTCTCGACGTTAGACAAGGGAGCAGTCCCCTTACAGCTCGCTCGGGATGTACCGCCCACTACTTACCGACGTAGAGCAGGTTCCAGAAAGGATCTCCATTCTTTTTGTAGTTCAACAATAATTCTACCGATTCCTTCTCCTCGTTGATTGCGGTCTTGAGGCGTTGGACAGGTTGCCTGTCCGTATGAGCCCCTTGGAGGAAGCGGCAGTTGCGGGGCACACTGACGCATTCGAAGTCAGCACCGAGGGCTATGAGGAAGAGGGTATGTTTGCAATCTTCGGGGACAGAGAATACAGTATCTGGGAGTTACTTACATCTCATTGCGCGAATAGCCAGTGGTCTTCACGAAGCCGTCAGAGGCGAAGACGATCGGGCTATCGCAGGTCAGTCTCATGTCATACATCCCGTAGTGAAAGGGGCATTGTAATTACTTGTCTGCGACGCGCGGGTTGGTCAAACAGAAGCAGTCTCCAAGCCCCTGGTACTTGAACCTGTCGGTCGCGAGCGCCCTGGTTGCGCTCAGGGCCATCTGATGCCTCACAAAGCGTGGGTAGATGTCCTGGAAGACTAGGGTCTCAATCTGGTCTTGCAGGTCGGTGAAGACGGTCTCCATCGAGGGAAAAGCGTTCGAGATGAGCGTTTTCATCTCCTTATGGGCCTTCTTGAGCAGAGTGCCGTTGACGTTGATCTGGTAGGCCGAGCCGGGGCTGATGAATTGTTTATGGATAAAAGCCATCTGGCCGGCGAGGTTGTTCAAGGTGGTTCTGTACTCATCCACCTTGGACAGAAACTCGACGTTTTCAGCGCATAGGCGGCTCTCGCTGAACTTGAGCAGCTGGTAGCTGGTCGTAGGGTTGTGCAAGACCACCTGGAAGATCTCGGAGCTGAAGAAGTCGGGCATGTTTTGTGATGCAGAGCTCTTGGCGGTCCTGCCCGAGATGGAGTTGCGGACTGAGCGGACCGAGACGTCATCATCGCTATATCTCCTCCGGATGGGGCCTCCTGGGACGGCCTCATGGGCAGACGACCCGATGCCGTTGCCGCGCATGGAGAAATCGTTGTACATGCCATCATCGACGCTCCTGTACGTCTTCTGGTGAGTCTGGCGCTGCGGGATGGGCGGCATGATTCTGTCGGCCAGAGGCTTCTTGGACTCGGCATCCTGGTACATCTGAAGATGGTCGAGAATGGGTGTCCTCAGGCCCTTGTAGTCGCGGGCGAGAGCTGCCGTCCTGGAGCGTGCCGCACGAGAGCCCCGCGACGTGTTGCTGGCGATACTGTTGGCTCTGCCTTCCTTTTTGCGCGAGCTCGGGTTGTTGGTATGGGCCGAAGGTGGTCCCCGCCTAGTCTCGTAGGCTTGGGCCACCCGCGGTTGTTGGACGAACCGATCGTCGTAGTCCTCGTCGTCCTCCTGTTCAATGTCTTCGTGGTCGTCATCCATGTCATCGTCATCCTCGTCCGCGAAGTCGTCGTACACGACCCTCCGAGCGTGCGGCGGCGGCTTGTGTGCTATCGGGGGTGGTGTCGCGGACGGCGCAGGCGGCGGAAGCGGTGACCTTGACCGTCGGGAGTTGGAGCCTCGGTGTGCTTGTTCGTCGCCATTCTCTATGGAGTCGTGAGCCGTCTGCTCGACGCCCTCCACGATGATGGGGTGCTGCGGCCGCGGCTCCTTCAGCTCCGGCAGAGGCTTGTCAACGACCGACGGGACGCCCACGCTGCCACTGCCGGGCCTTGACGAGTGCCTGAGAGGGACGTCGACCGACCCAAAGGTCTCGGATGTGTCTCTGGTATGGTGAGGTGAAGACTTTCCAGAGGCGACTTGTCCAGCACGAGAGCCGGCCTTGCTGCGCGGGGGATCGGCAGGCTCGGCGTCGCCCCGGGACCGCACCACGGAGGCCGCCGCCGAAGCGGCGGCACCATTAGTCTGGCCGTGGCCTTCGGTCTCCCGGATGTCAGCCATCTGTTCTAGGGCGCTGGCTTCAAAGTCCTTGGATCTGAGGGGTCTGGACGGAGAAAGCCCTCCGTTCAAGACGCCGTAGCTCGCGTCGCTGTTGGTCCTCGTCAGCACGGAGCGGGTGGTCGCCAAGGAGTAAGGCTCCTCGAAGTCGGCGCTGTCGGACTCGTCGTCCCACTCAAAGTCGGTTATAGTGTTCTTTGCAGCGCTGATGGCACCGCGGTCCACATGGGGTAGAATTCGGTCGAGCAGCTGGTCATGATCGCTGGCCATCATGGTGCCGTGACGGTGGCGGGAGGGAAGGGGGAGTTATCAGACACAGGAACCTTGGAAACAGCGTCTGCCTAGGTAGGTTTCTGGGTGGTAGCGTCCCGTCCCAGCAGTCGAAACCTGTTGTCTGTCCTGCGCTGCGCTGTGCTTTGCTGTGCTGTGCTTTTCCTCGGCAAGCCTGTCAAACTCAATGCTCGGGTTGCATCAAGATCAGGGGCATTGGACTGAACAAATGGGCGAGCACCAGGTGGAAAATTCTCCCCCGTCACGGTCACTGCCACGGCCGTGGCTCGACGCTCGCAAGCATCTCCATGAGCTTTTGGAAATTCAAACATTGAACCCTTCCAAAGCGACCGTCCCATAGCATCAGCCTCCGTGCCCTGTCCCTGTCGCGGTCCCCGTCCTCGTCCCGTCCTTGTCCCTGTCCCTGGCGACGCTGCCCCGGGAGGAACCCCGTCCAAAGAATCCGACTCTCATCTCGCAGCGGTCCATCCTGCAAGCGGAGCAAGGCACAGAGGTCAAGTCATGTCGAGACAAGTCCTCCAAGGTTTGGAAACTTGGGCGGGGCCAAGGGCGATGCGAGTAGGTGGAGCGAGCGTGATCCACCGCGGCCAGTGATGGGAATTAGGTGCAGGAGCTACTGCAGGCGGCATCTTGTTGGAGCTGGAGTCTTGACCTCATCATCCTTGGCCTCGGCCGATGAGCTATGAGTTGAACACTCCATCGGGCATGGTGCGTATGGTGAGTGTGGTAGGAGTGGTGTGTGTAAGGTAGCTGCTGGTGTGGTTGCTGCGCGGTCTGGCGGTGCAGAAAGCAGCCCGACCCACAAGTCCCGTGGGGTCCGTGAGCGGACTTACCTCTCCTCTATCTCTTTTTCTCACTCTGTTGGTCGTCCCCCTGCCCTTGGTCCGGAGGCTAATCTTCCAATGCAGCGCAGGAGTCCAGGAACGACATCCGACGGGCTCATCTCCCGCAACGGGGAAGCGTAGATGCAACGGGGAGCATTCGAAAGTCTGGGTGGACAGTTCGCAGGGACACCGTACATTAGCTAGCGCGTGACTCGGCCAAGTCCTCGTTCTACCTTGGGATATAGTCTACACGTACTCGTATGGACGAATTCGTACTGCCAACTCCTGTGGGATGGGTTCATATCCGGTGGATGTCCTCCTACCTCATATGGGATAAGTCACTGTGCTATGGTAACATACCTCGTGTGATTATTATATAGCCTTGTTTCATGCTGCAAGCCACTCTCGACAGTATAAGCCAGAAGTGTGACGGGACCCATTTTGCAAATTCCTGTACCTGGACACTACTATATACATGCACGTACCATGTGCCCGGGATCTGTCTTCGTCTTTCTCCACACCACTACGAATGCATCGTGCGCAGGGCCCCACGCAGGGTTCGTTGAGGACGAGCCCCTCACCTCGGTATTACACTTCGCCAACAAAGTCCTGCAGGCACAAAGACACTTGTACGCAGCCCACTCTCATGAGAATGTCCAAATCCACCGGCCATGCGGTGTTGTCTTGAGTCGTACCAGTAGCTTTACACCAGGCACTGACACACACAGTACTGTTTCTACAGTACGCTCATTCCGGTGGTAAATGAATCGGCGGCCGATGCCCAAAAGCTAAATATGGCGCGTCTGGCGCGTCTGCTCATTTCACCAAATCGTCACCAAATCCGCCGTACGAACGAGTTAGCGGCGACAGTCACTACGCATCACCCGATGCCGCGTCGTGCCACTTCCCTCGCCTTGCGGTGGCCTGTAGAGATGTTCTCCCCTCCCAAGACTTGCGGCGGTCTAGGGCGCTTGGGACGATCCTGCCGATCTGCAACAGTAGATCCGGTCCACAGGCCGGGGAGCGGCACAGCAGATCGAGTCCGATGTTGCGACATATACTACGGCATTCTGTTCTATATGGTAGACAATAATCGTCCCACTCACACATGCACAGTATCCACCAATATTATATGCATATTTAACCTTGGCTATGCCCAAGCACGCTGCAGCTATCCACACACTCTCTCACATCGATACCTACCTACCTACTAACCCAGGTACATATAGCACCGTACTCATGGGCGAGAAGCTGCCATTCCGCATGCCTGATGAGTAATGGATCATTCGGTGGAAACAAGACTGTCCTTCACACTATACAAGAAATGAGTAACTTTGTGTGTGTCTATGTGTGGATCGCAGGCCTTGACTGATCTTAGGCAATCTCCCCATACATTATTACAGTACACTAGATGCCCACCCGTCCCCTCAAACTTCCCCACGCATTCTATAATGGCATCGCAGGAATAGGCCGCGGAAATATGTGTGGCACGGAGCCCAGACCTTGCAGACCGGGGCAAACACGTAACATCAGCTCCTCCCTGGCCTCTTAGCAGGGGCTGCACTCCAGATATGGACAGTGGTCGCGATGTTGAGAAAAACAAAAATCCATTGCCACGACCTGTCCCACCCACGGAGTCACCTCGGCTATCGAAGCCCGAAAAGGTGTCCCTCTTGCGAAGCTCCCTGTATCCTTGCTGCACACGAGACGCAAGGTCCTGCGTATTCCTCATATCAGTCCTGGGCTGTTGCTCGTCCTCAGTCTGTGCGCCGGGGATGAGCCAGCCTCACGGGCCACAGACCTCAGGCTCCCATCCGTGTCATTGCGCAACTTGCTGCACGACACAAGGCGATCATTCAATTAATGAATAGGAGAAAATGACGTGTCTTCTCTGAGGCAATCACCACGGGAGAGGGGCAGCCCGGTTCGAGAGCCCTTGTCTCTCTCACCAGAACAAGGGGGGGCCCATCGCAGGTCTCGTCCCACACGCGGTACCACCCTGCATGTTGATCGAGATGAGCAGCCAAGTCGACAAGGGACCACTTCTGCATGTCCCGCATCTGTCACAATATAAACGGCTAGGCTATATCCCATGTTTCTGCAGCACAAGGGCATATACGATCTCTGTGACATGTGAGATCTGAGAGAGTAGTAGATTAGATTTGTGACTGTTTTCGAACGAGATCCGTGTATTGCGTCCGCATCTGTAACTCGATGACCATTTTGAGCCTGTCCGACCTAGGAGGATGCTGGGCACACCAGGCACCTGGGAGCGTTGAACGCGGCCCCCACCCCCCATCACGAGATCCTGGCTGAGAAAGACTTCGATTGAAACATATTGGCCCAATATGTGAATACACGTGCCAGGTACCAGGCGTTGGCGCCGACTATTCTCACCTTTATCAAACACTTTTGCTATCTATCTGGAAATAACTCTTCATTTGGCAGCAGCGTGCCTGTGATGGTGTCAGTGATTGGTGTTGTGATGCAAAATGGGTGAAATGTCTGGTCTCGTCAGCCCCTTGAAATGCAAATGTCAAGTATGTGTTAGCGAATTTAACCTTTTCGGTTGGCTGATGTCCTGCCATGTTTGGATTGTGTCCCGAGCACCTCAAGTTGCAATCGGTAGTTGCGAATTGCCCTTGCATGAAAACCCTGACCGCTTCGAGGCCCAATGAGACGTGCTCCAGCAGGCGTACTACTGCGTGCTTCTTTCAAAGGGAATACGCGTATCAAGCCATCGCTTCAAATCCAGTAAATACTAACATGATTTTCGTCCATATGAACTACTGTCAGTGCATTTTCTCGTCCTGCGTCAGAAACAACGGGGTATGCGTAGGAGACAGAGCCTTAACAACGAGCTCAACGTCAATTTCAGTGAAGAAAACTTAGTCTGCTCTGTATAAGAAACAGGAAGCCATCAGAGTTCTTGGCAATCTCGTACTCGGCCCGACAATCTCGTACTTGACCCGACAAAGACAGCATAGCAATTGAGAGCTTCAGAAGAGTCAGTGAATTCGTCTCGGGCCTACATTGGTCAGAAAGCGCTTAGGTCCTTGAATTGGAGACCGGCTTACCCCGTCCAGAAGCATAGAGTGTCGGATCTACCGTGTGGCCGATGGGCAAAGATGCTCCCACTACATGCACATTGATCTCGCTGTGGAACCATTTATTCGTTCACTCGCCAGCTCGAATTCAACCACGATGTGAGATGGCACCTCAGGGCGGGAGATTAAGTCGAATTGGAGATTTTGAAAGACATTTCACACGTTTGATCTCTTGACTAACCTCCAATGCTATGGCCTCCCAATAGTAACTCTTCTCGGGGCTATTCAACCTTGCCCCGTTTCGCATGCTATAGCTTGTAATTGAATATGGGTTCCTCTGCCTGAGATATATAGCTAAGGATGCTTTCAACTCAGACCTGAGTGGCCTTTTCGTAGCGCTCCCTCTTCAGGGGCGGAAAGGCAATATTCGCGAGGGGTCAAGAGGCATTACCCACTCATAATTTCCAATCGTCAATTATTTCAGTCCAGGCGGGCCGCCGAAAACGCAGGCGCGTGCAAGAGATGTCAGTATTAGCACCAATAAATTGTCTCCATACATGCAGTCATTGTCCTGAACCTTGGTCACAATACCTACGAATGGCTAACCCAAACCCAAGCGAAATCTCAACCCCATGGCCTAGAATACACAAGTGGCGTTCCTCTTGCGGAACAGGTGACTGAACTTCCATCGATAGACTCCGATACGCAAAGCTGTGTGATTTGAAAATTGTTGTCACCAGCGATCTTGGCGATCTGTTGAGGCCAAGAAGTCTAACGTAATTGATGAGTACGAAAATCTTTTTCCTGTCGAGTTCATGGGGAACTGAGACGCCTATGTGCACCTAGCTCTATGAATCTCACAGAGCTTGCTATCCGAGATTGGAATCCGTCATCTCGCTTTGGACATCATTTGAGGAGATGCTGTACTGTCATGGGATTGAATGTCCTTGTAGGACAGGCTCACAGTTCTGGCCCACAAAGAGAGCCAGACAGCTACAATTCCTTTGTGGAACCGCGACCATCACCCAGATAATCGCCGCAGATGGTATAATACACAAATCCAACAGCAGGATGTAACTCATCTATGGTATCGGTCAAGAAAATACGACCTTGACAAGATCGTCAGCCTTGTTGGGCTAGCCTCGATGGAGATCGCCATAGATCGGGAAATAGTATCTGATTAGACTGGTTGATGATTGATTGCATAGTCGATCTCTGAGTCTTCTAGTCTATGCTTTAATGTACAGCTGTGATGGCACTCTATTGGTACTGATATACTGTACTTTGCAATTGCACAGAATAGTAATCACTTGGGAGTGTAGAGTTGGCGGCACAGGATATGACGTAATGGTTAATTGGATAATATTGTCGCTCCGTTCTAGGACTGAAAATCATCACTTGGGAAGTGCTCATGCAGTCGTTGCTCTCAACACCATGCTCTGAAGCCGACCACTTGCCATCAAGATGCCCTCGATCGCAGCACCTGCCGCGCTTTCCACGCTGCGTGTTAGCAAGCACTTTATACCTTCGCATGACCGCCTGCCAAACAGTTCCATCCTGCAGAAGCCACTCCTCATCTACCATTCTGTGTTCGCCAATGCCTCCGCCTCAGCGATAGAATCTCACCTGACTTCTGTCGGCGTCGTTGACCCCCAGTGGCGGTACTCCATGTACGCCACGACCCACTTCCACAGCAACACCCACGAAGTCCTTTGCATCTGCTCCGGCAGCGCGAGGCTGTGTTTTGGGGGAGAAGAGAACCCACAGAGAGTCGAGCCTGCAGTCCAGGCGGGTGACGTCCTCGTCTTGCCAGCTGGTATGGCACATCGGCTGCTAGATGATACGAGTGCTGGCACGAAGTTCGAGATGGTCGGCTCCTATCCGAAACGATACGACTGGGACATGTGCTATGGGAGGGAAGGGGAAGAGACACAGGTGAAGGGTATAGCAAAGGTGCCGTGGTTCGAGAAAGACCCAATCTATGGCGACCAAGGCCCGGTGCTTGACGTCTAGGTTGATAATGTGATCATTATGGGGACTGCGGGTGTTACTACATGCTGTTCCAGCTCGGCGATGGTTGCACGGCAAAAGACTCTTGCCCTCCCTGTGTGCGAATACAGTTCAAATTCATCAAACGTGAAGCGATTCTATCAGACGTTCCCTGACTGAAACCGCATATATCAGTTCGTGGCCGCACTCCACGAGCAACAACCAAAGAGACTAGCATGCAATTTCAAATAATCATCGTGTATTTGGGGAGGTCATAACTAGCCGTCTCCTCTCAAACGGTCCTGCTCTCTCGAGGAAGAAAAGGTCAAATAGACCTCAGCGAGTCAACTTGCCTTAGAGGCACCCACCCGAAATCTGCACGCTCAGCCTGGACGAGTTGCGATCAACTCATAAACCCGAGTCCTCCCGTGAAGTATTGAGGCATCAGCCTCGAACGCGAGCAAGAGAAGCAAAGTAAAGTCTTGTACAATAGGCCAACAGAGCATACGATCTTGCCGAAATTCAATGAGTGCCCAGATGGATGCAATCGCTCCCCGGTCTGGGCTCGCCCGCCTACCCAGTTTCGTCAACCACTGCAATTCATGTCCAAATCACTAGTCTTCCAGATTGCCGTCCACTCCGGGTCGCCATTTCTGGGCCACTTCCATCCACTCTTTGTCCCATCTGATGCATCAGTGGCGAGGCTCTCCAGTATCAGAAGAGCGACTACAGCTCCCGATGGCCCTTCATCCACTCATACTGGTTCTCGCGCGGCAGTCCTTCGGTGGCGACTGGCTCAGCATGCACCTGGCCAACCTCATCCTCGTAGACATGGGTCATCTGGAAGTGAGTTTCGAAGTACTCCCGGCAGGCCTCCTCAGGTCTGTGTAGCTTGGTCTGCTCGGGCAGCATGGTGAGATTGCGACGAAAGCGTACGCCACGCTTTGGGTCTCCTCTCTCCTGCTCTCGCTGCTTCTGTCTCCTCTGGCGGACAGGTCCGTATCTCTGGCGCTCGGCTGCCTTCTCCGCCTCCTTCTCGGACTTGCTCATGCAGTAATCCTTAATCCGCCTCGCAATCCCGTCGAGGAAGGTCTCCATGATCTTTCTATCGTTGAGCACCTGGGTAAGCTCTTCTATGGCGGTGATGTCTGATCCCTCCGAGGCCGAGTCGGCGGATTCGTTGGCGTCGATGGTAGCAGTCTCGGGTGTCATCTGGCTTTTCGAGAGCACAGGTGAGGACGGAAGACTGGACGAGTCCGAGGGAGGGGGTGTTGGAAGTCCAGAAGTCCAGTGGTCATGTTCAGATAAGGCTGGGACCTGGTCACGGACCTGGTCAGAACGTTCCTCGGCATGAGAGTTTGTATCTCCTTCATCTGACCAGTTGCTGCCCTGAAGATCCCACTGAACATCATCGTCGCACCATTCGGAGCCAGAGCCAGAGCCAGAGGCGGAGGCGCAGGAACCGGCTGACCATTCACTGTCAGGAGCCTCGTGGGTAGACCAAGATCCAGTCTCTGAAAAGGCATCGTCGGTTTGCACGACCCAGCTCGACACATTCGCAGTTGCCGCCTGTTGCTGGTCCGCGTAGTATTGATCCCTCATACTCAACCAGGTTGAGAATGACTGTGCCTGGACCTCAGCGACCGGGTGATGATGGCTGCGAAGGCCGACCACTGTGATGGGTTCAAGGTCGCCACGACGGTACGGCTCAGGGTCCTTGTTGCTGAACTCGGAGCAGGGATCTTCGCCTGGCTCAGGTCGCTTGAGGCCGAGCTGCATGTAAATATGGTTGGCATCTTCGGGATCGATTCGCCGCAGCAGTTCTTGCTCGTGCTGGGCAAGGAATCTGAGGTGTTTCTTGTTCGTCTCGCGGACGACCTTGAGGGCTTGGAGGGAGGGAGAGGGACCAAGCCTACTGTCCAGTTCCACACGAGGCCGGAACCAGAATTGAGCCTGGACACCCAGAGGGACATACATCCTGTGAACACTGAGTTGAGGGTAGGAATGATGGGTCAGGTGGGGAAGGAGAGGGAAACGGAGAAGAAGTCGACAACAACACAGATGACTGGCTGACGGCCGGGTCAGGCAAACAGGTAGGCTACTCTGCCTGGAGTTTCCGTGAGTATTGTGTGACCTGTCGTGATTTCTTGATATGTGCTTATGTTGATGATGGTGTTGATGTTGGATGTTGGTGACTGAGCAATGCTCCTTTGACTTGCAAGCCCGGGAAAGTGGCGAGTGAAAGAAGCTACCCGCTGCGTGTTGATGGAAGGTACCGCAGGTTAGATAGCAGCTGGCACTGGTGTTTCGGAAGTGATTGGTTGTTTTCAGCAGACCACTGATGTCGTGGCGAGTACTTGGGGATGTAACTGAGGATAGTTTTGAAAGAGGGAGAAGGGAAAAGGTAGGAGGAATACTGAAGAGGACTGAAGAAGACTGAAGATGCCGAGGGGTGGAAGGTTCCAAGAGAGTGAAGCCCAGGAACAATGTGCCTGTTTGTCGAGTGACTGGGTGATTCAGTGATTCAGTGATTCAGCGATCCAGTGATTCAAAGGAGCTCAGGTCTTGTGTTCACTGGTGTCCCAAAAGTCCGCGATCCCAGCTCCTGGTTTTCCAGCCGGCAGGAAGGTGCTGTATGCGTGCCTTCCCATTCATGTTGGGTCTTCGATGTTGCTGCCTGTGTTGCTCTTATTGTTGCGTCACGAGAATGCAAAGACAAACCCGCGATGTGCTGATCGTGCATCTCCATCTCCCCTACTGAGAGACCTGGGCGATGGACAATGGTCAGGGGTCAATCATCAATCATCTATCATCAATGATTAATATCTGCCATTTCACAAGCAAGGGCAGAAGGTGGTAACGCGATGTTGTGCGAGGCAGAAAACCAACAAACCTCAAGACAAGAACACCCAGACATGCCCTGGCCCTACTCAGTGGCAGCCACACGATGGCCTCACGCACAGTCACCACAGTAAATGACCTCATCAGACCCGGAAAAAGCATACATCCTCTTAGCGAAAAGGCTCGGGAATGTCTAGTCTACCCTGGCACAGTGCTGCATAACATCCATGATAGCAGGTTCCCTGTAGGACTCAAAATGCCAACCCACACGAGGCTGTGAGGCCTTGCCTGGGACCCGACGAGGCAGCGCAGTTGTCGGTGCTGTGTTGCATGACCACACCACACGGACAGAAGATATGGGAGCCATAGACTGGAATAGCAGCAAGATCACTTGAGCAGTTCCGAGTTGGCTTAGTCAAGGGGTATCAACTTGCATTCATTCGTGTTTTTATATAGATATATATCCATGCAGCTTCACCATTCCCATGCCAGCAGGTCTATGCATCCAGACGCCCAAACTTCCACCCAACTTAGCGGCCCTCCCTCCTGCGCAGGAACAGTTCCACAACCATCTTTTGTTTATCCTCCAACATCCTGCGCTCCTTGTCCCTTGCTGGCGTCGCCGTCCGACAGACCACAGTTCCAAAGATCTGTGCCACCCTACGCTCCCTGGCCTTCCGTTTCTCGAGCGACGCAATCGCCTCCACCACTGGCGTTGTCGCTCCAGACGAGGCACCACCGGTCAAACTACGCCGGATGCTCAATGACCTGCGGCCCAGCGCTCCGATGGCGCCTATGCCGCCGCCGCCGCCCTGTTGGCTGGGTGAAGCAGCACTTAGTGCATCCACCTCGCTCCTCTTCAGTGGCGCTAGTTCACCAATGACCTTTGCGAGAGTGGTGGTCAAGAAGACGAAGCAGATATTGTGGTTCGGCGCGGTCATCAGGATGTCGAGAATCACAGACTTGTCGTCTTCTGTGTCGTCACTGGATGAGCCTCTTGCAGCCGGTGGTGCCTGGCCAAGGGCCCGGATGGGCGCCTGTTCGATTCTGGACCACAGAGACGTGTTGATGATGCCGTCCGTCAGACCCTGCAGGAACAGGAGCAGGGCTCCCGCCACTGCTTCGAGCCGCTGGCATGGGTCTGCTTCGGGAGGGAATGCGTCAGCGATCGGCTGGTCTGTGTCCAGGGCCTCGATGACACCGGGGAGCAGGCCAGCACCAGGCTGCGACACAAAGCCCTCGAACGGCCACCCTGGCTGGTCCCTAGGCACTTTGTACGAGTCAAGCATCTCTTCCTCTGCCAGTGTCCTGTCAGTAAGTGCCTCGACTGCTTCGACCAGTTTGAACAGCTCCTTCGGTGCAGACCGATGGACATCGAAAGCGGAAGGAATGGCGCCTAAGCTTTCGCCCGCCTTCTTGTGTGGCGAAGATGTAACAAATGCCCGGATCCCACCATCAGGGACCCGTATGAGCTCGTCGATCGACCTGCCAACGCAGGTAGGGGCCCAGCTCGCCCGAATTGGTAAAAAGTGGTCTCTGCCTTCGGCGACCCGAAGAACCACGACCTCCTCCAGCTTCTCCCGGCCCTCGTTCAACGCCCTGGCCTGCGACACCTGGTCGATACACATCTCCAGCGTGGCATTCACCGTCTCACCTGGCTCCAGGATCACATCCTTTCCAAGATCCTCAGGCACGCCCTCGTTGATATCGTCACCCGGGACAATGCGGTCCAGCGAGGTCGTGAGCCAATGGGACAGACCTGAGCCACCGTCCTGTGTGTCTCCGGCCCTTGGCCGCTCAATGAAGCTGATTGTGGCTGGAACCCCTCCGGTATTTGCTATCGTGAAGTAGGCAGCCTGCCTCTGCATAAAGCTGACTTGACCAAAATCTACCAAGTCATGGCCCGATTCTTGTCCTTCCCTAACGATAGTGATAGATGGCCGGCCTTCGTTCTCGGCGCGGTCCAGCTCTCGGGCCACTTGAGCGTAAATGTCAGCTTTGAGCTCCGGAACCACTGCATCAAAGTCGAGTTCAAAGACAGCCACAAGAGGCTTGTGGTCCGAGGATGTTATTCGTTGGTGGGAGGTATAGAGGTCCAGATTGATGCGGTCTACGGCCTGCACTTCAACAGCGTCCGCGGTTGCATCCTCGCCATTATCATCATATTCATCATAGTCCAGACCTGGCTTTCCAACAGGTGCCGTATCACCGTCGCTTTCGGGGTCGTAGTCAAACAAAACCTCATCATCATCCCCGGCTTGGTCGATACCGCGAGACCTCATTTCTTCATCTCTCTTCCGCGCTTCCTCCTCCTCCTTGAGCTTGCGCTCGTGTTGCTGTGTGTCTTTCTTGGTCCGGTACAGGATCCGATCGCACCAGCTGGGGGCCCTTTTCTTCTCACTGGAATCATACAGACCGACTGTGCCCACGTCGTACTTGTAAGATGGCAAGAAGGTGATTGGGCCTTCGTGCCAGCCGTCATGAAAAATCTTACCTTCCTTCCTGACCCGAAGGAGCTGGTCGTGTGGGAGTAACGAGTCTAAAGTTGCCTGAAGAGATGCAGGGTCCTCGTGAGGATCCGGATCGAAGTCGTCTGGGTCAGGCAGGGACATGGACTCATCATCACTGCTCTGCTCGGTGGAGCGGGTCCGCCCGGAAGCATCATCCGTCTGCTCATCGCTACTCTCGGAAGTTCTCATGACTACGATTCCCTCCTCCCCGTCCAGATCCTGTGACTTGGCTCTGCCCACATCATACTCGCCCTTCGAGTGGAGTGTCAGTAAGTGGCGAATGTCGTCGCCCGGTATGCCATCCAACCTGAAGTTCAAATCGCCGAACCAGAAAGCGAAGTCCTCGCTGCCGATCTTGCCGTCGTCGTCTTCCTCGTCGTTTCCGGCGATGACCACAGGGTCAAAACGCGTCCTGTCGAGGATGGTCCTAGCATCCCAACAACGGCGGTCAACGGTGGCAGGATCGTTGCCGCTGGATAGATGTGAATTGACAAAGACCATCGTGGTGGCCTCCCCTAGGACGATGCGAGCTGCTGTTGCGCCCTTGTTCCCGAACCATCCGCCAACGCCCGTGCCTACAGCCTTGGTGCTGACATTTGCAATGCAAGGTGCGAGCCCGGGGGAGGCGTACATCAGCAGGAGAAGGCCAGACATTTGCTCGGAGCCAACGAACTGGTAGCCATCGGGGAGGGCAGCCTCAAGGGCCAGCCGCCACTTGTCAGTGGGGTTGGTGTCCGAGTAGACATACTGGGTGACGGGGTTGAGATTAACCACCTCCTGCAGGCCTAGGATGTAAAGGTCGATCTTGTCGCCCCCCAGCACTCGGGCGGAGGCTGGGGACTGTTGACGTGGGGTGGTGTCTTTTGGGTCGTCTACTTGGACGGCGGGGTTGCGAGAGAAGCCCGTAGCGGTCAGGTTGGTGTCGATGCCCTTGCCATCGACGAACCAAGTTGCGAGGTCTTTGTCGGTGCCAGGGCAGGCGGCGACGTTCCACGAGCCGACCTTGAGCCGTATGCGACGAGGCCTGGTGTACTCGGCGCGGCGGGCGTAGACGGCACGGCTCAAGGACTGGGGAGTCGATAGGGCGAGGTCGACGGGGTCGGTGGTTTCGGACATTGAGTGCTCATTCGCTGCTGAGGATGGCATGTTGCGGGACTGGAGAAGGGACGTGGCCGTAGCGTGTGCCTGTGGCAATGCCGGGTGAGCAAGACGTAGCGAACATTGGTGGCTGGTCAAGGTGGAGAGCCAGGAGAGGTGGGAGGGGACAGGGCTGACATGGAACAAAGCATCGAGAAGCTCTCGGGCGCTTGTATACTACTAAGAAAAAGGAGGTGAGGAGGAGAAAGCCTGGGCAAGACTAGCACATGCTTGAAGAGGGAGGCGAGAGATCAGGGCGAAGTCGCGATATCCCTTGGCCGAGCGCGTGCAACCCAGGCCAGGCTTAGTCGTGCGGTGTTGCTGAAATTCGACAAATGACCAACCCAGAAAAAACTGATGTAAATAATCCCAGGCCAGGTCTTTGCTGTGAACGTTGTGGAGGCTCGCGATATGGTGCAGGTGGGTAGGTGGGCAGGTGGTTTGGAGCTGGCCACCAGGCGAGAAAGAAGCACGAGGACGGAGACGTCACAGGGACGGCCTTGACGGCCTCGACGGAATGGCCTCGATGACAGCTCCTCTGCCTGCCCCACGGTGCTATACCTACAGTAGGCTGCTAGCCACTGCAACCGACCAGACCCCTGCCCACTGGCCCCTGGCCCCTGCTCTGCAGCCCCTCCATATAACTTTATTTTGTTTACTGTGTGTGTGTGTGTGTCTTGGGCCGACAGACACTCAAACGTCATCCGTCGGCCACCAACACCACCCACCGTCTTGTCAGCATCAAGTCGACGAGGTCGAGGCGACCAAGACAGTCGGCGCAGCTGGCCACAGTTCCATATTCTGACGAGCACCTACAGCCATCTCACATCGGGCCAGTCTCGAAAGCCGCCTCGATCCGCCCCGGACGGCTATCAACTCGGAGCATAACTTCGCAGCATCACGTAGCTCACTTAGCATTTTATTGCATCACATCACATCGCATCCCATCACGTACTTTCATGACCTGCGCCTATAAGGTCAACCAATCGACCACACCAGACCAGACCTCACCCAGGCCCTAGAAGTCCACTCACCAGTAATTGACCACAAACCACCTCATCACCAAACTATGGCACCATCAACACCTCGCAAACCACCAAAGCATCGCAACAATCCAGGCAGTGCTGGCGCCAACCGTCTACCCAATATGGCCCCTGTCGCCCCTGCCGACTACGGATCTGTCGCCTTTTATCCCGCCGCCGCTGCTGCTGCCGCTGCTCAGGCGCAATCGAACCTACCACCTGCGCCCATCGTCGCCCAGAACCTGAGAGACCACAGCCTTGAGGAGATGAATCTCAATGTCCTCAGGAGATATGTCCCCACCATCCAGTCTTATATCGCCATGGCCCACAACGCCACCCTCTTCACATGGAATCTCTCGAGCGAGACAGGCGGCTGGGAGGAGACGGGCGTCAAGGGTCCCTTCTTTGTCTGCATCCAGGAGCAGCGTTTATCTCCCACCGGTCATCTTGTCCCACGAGCCTGCGTCTTCCTCTTGAATCGCAGCAGCCCCGAGAACGCTGTCTTTGACTTGGCAACCATCGCCCAGTGCGAACTGACCGAGGTGCAACAGCCAATGGGCGAAGTGTCTAAGGGGCAACCGCTGGGCGAACTGCTCAAGGGGAAGCTCCTCTCAGCCGTCACCGATAGCGGCGAGGGCTTGGGCTTTTTCATCGACCTGGAAAAGGCACAGGAGACATGGGATGCATTCAGCACAATGTGGCACAGCGTTCGGGTTGCAGGGCAGGGCTGAACTACAACCAGTAATGTAGTTTGAAAATGAGTGACTAAGACGTGACTTGGGCTTCGCAGCTTAAGGTTTACAACACATATTAAAAACTATGGATTTGAAAACCACTTGAGATGAACTAGAGAGAAAGACATGCCAGCGTTGAGACTTCAAGTTGTTGTAGGAATACTCGGTGAAGGGCGAAACAACCTCTGCGGTAAGGGCGGCGGCCGACACTACTCCAGACCGAATGCTCACCCCCGGAATTCAAAGAAAAGGTAAGCTTGCCCCTTGAATGACAAAGGGGAAAGGAACAGGTTTACTGGCTCCTAATCTTATCCCCCTTGCTCTATCACGGGCATTGCAGGCAGTGCCCTGCAGATGCATAAGTTGGAGTTGGATCTAAACCAAGATCCGCTCCAACGATGACATCACTGCCGACATAGAGGTCAGCCAGTCTCGATTATTATATTCCCGACTCCTTCGCGGTCTGCGTACGGTCCATATTATGGTAAACTAGTTTGACTGATTTGACCCGCACTTTTAATCCTACGAACAGTTTAACAATCTTAGATCCTAATAACCCACGACCAGGTCAAGTTGAAAAGAGGCACGCCTATCATGGCATCCATGGACCGCCATCGCAACCCAACGCTCTTCGAAGTACTCGCCGTCTCTCCACAAAGTTTCGAGGGCCAGGACTCAACAGCGCAAACCAAAATAGCAAGGCAAGCGTACCGTCGTGCCCTGCTCAAACACCACCCTGACCGCCAGCGACAACAATCCAATGAAAATGCTGCTGCGACATCAGATTCGTCATCAACATCCTCTGAAGGCCCTTCGCAACACTTCACCGTAGACCAGATCACGGAAGCCTATACCGTGCTCAGTGATGCACAGAAGCGGCGCAAATACACGCGGACACTACGGTCTCAGACCAAGACGACATCATCAGGTAGTGCTAGCACAAACCCCAGGAGAAAACGAAGATTCAGGGCCTCGAGCCTGGAGACCGTTGACTTGGATAATGATCTGTCTTGGGATGGCAAGCGGCGGCTGTACTACCGTGCTTGTCACGGGTGTGGTACGGCCCGCGGGTTTAGCTTGAAAGAGGATGAAATTGAAGATGAGAACGAAGAGGATGATGAGATAATACTCGAGTGTTCGGAGTGCGAAACTGAAATAAAGGTTTTGGTGCCAGCTCTTGCTGACGATGATGATGGGCAAACTGGAGAACAACAAAGCTCGGGGCTGGCGACTCAGCAGCCACATCCAGTGAACCAGGCAACTCAGAGCTACGGCGACGCAGAGCCACCGAAAAAGAGCAGAGGCTGGGGACTACGTCTTGGACTTGGCCTTGGGCTATCGCTTGGAGGGGGTGCGAGTGGCCGTGCTGGGAGGTAATGGGAATTCAAGGACACTATACTTCCTTGTGCGCAGTGATTTGGGCATGGAACAATAATTTCTCGGACCCCGGAATGAGATACTGCAAGCTGTTGCTTCTGTACCTTTGCCCGCCTGGCTGGCCAAGGGCTGCGTCTGCTTTGAGGAGCTCCCTCCTCGTTAATTGATGGGTGCGGCCTGCTGCAAGTGTGGCAACTGCTGTTTGAGATTCATGCGAAATCCCCGAGCTTCAGTTTTAAAGCCGTCTATCTCAATCCACTACTCCAGAGTCGTCAAGGATAGCGTACCTATCACCTATGAATCTATGGGTATTCCACTGTCGGTTCTGGGAAAAGTCGTGTTTGAGCATCGGGTGCCGCCTGAGCTGTTCAAGGCCGTGTTGACGCTCCTCCCCGTGGCACTCCATTCGATACTGTATGAAATCACGGCCATGTAACCTTAATAGTCAATAAATATCATAGCCCCCCTTACTTCTGACTGTCAAGTTGGGTCCGATTAATTTCCCTCTCCAGCTGTCTCCAGTTTGTGGATGTGGGAGTCATACTTCACCTCATCGGATCCCACACGGAGATCAACAAGTCTTCGTCACAGAGCTGTCGAGTTTGCTACTTTCTTATTTCAAAAGAATCGATTTCATAGTCGTCTACATCTGGCCAGTCACGTAATCGAATCACACATGCATGACGCCTAAGTCGCTCCTCTATGGGAGTTTCATATCGATGCTTGAAGATGTGATGCTCCGCCATTGCATCGTACGCATGCCAGCGCCACCTGTTCCCCATGCTAATATTGATTGACATATGTTAATTAGGACAGCACTGCAGGTAAACGCGGGTTCTGATGGTGAGAGCAAATTCATAAGATCTTGAAATGATGTACGGTCGGCGGCGGGAAAGTGATGATAGTTGGTTGAGCTGTGTACACTCCATCGCACTATAAATACTATATAATACTTTATTATTTTAATTTTCAACACTTTTAAAAAAGTTAATTTAATATATTTTTAAACTAAAATTAAATTTTTTAAAATTATTATATATATTAATAATATTTAATTTTATAAAATAAATAAAAATTTAAATAAAGAATATAAAAATATTATTAGTATAAATTAATTTTTATATTTTTTATTTTTATATATTTATTTATTTTAAAAAAGAATTTATATAATATATTTATATTTATTTATTTATTTTATTTTTAATATTTTTTAATTAATATTATATTATTATTATTTTTATAATATATAATAAAAAGTTAATATAATATTTATTATTTAAATTTATATATTTTATTAAATCTTTTATATTAATAATTTTATTTATAAATAAATATAATTATTAAATATTATTAAAATAAAATATAAAATTAAAAATATATATTATAATTTTAATATTTTATATTATTTTTTAATTAATAAATAAAAATTATTATTTATTAATTATATTATATATTTATTTATAATATTATTTAAATAATTTTTTTTAAAATTTTTAATTATATAATAAATATTATTTTTATATTATAATAAAATATTAAATATATAATTTTTTAATTTAATTAATAATTATATTTTTTAAAAAAAATATTATATTTTTATTTATTAAATATTTTAAATTTTATTATTATAAATTTTTTTATTATAAATATTTTATTAATATAATATTAAAAATTAATTAATTTAATATTTAATTTAAAAAATTATAATATTATATAATTTAATTTATAATAATTAATAAAATAATATAAATATTAATAATATTTATAATATATTAATTAATAATATTAATTTTTATTTTAATTATATTAAATTAAAAAATATAATTTAAAAAATTATATTAAATTATTTTTTTAATTATATTATTAATTTATTATTTTTTATTAAATTTTATAGTTTTTAAATTTAAAAAATATTAATTATTTAATTTATTTTTATTAAATTTATAAAAAAAATAATATTATTATTTATATATTTTTTAAAAAACTTAATATTAAAATTTTTTATTTTATAATATTTTATTATATATTATTTTAATTTTTATAATAAAATAATAATTATATTATTATTTATATTTATTTTTAAATATAAATTTTAATATTATATATATTTATATTTTTTTTAAATTATTTAATTTTTTTATATTAAATTTAATAAAATAATTATAATAATAATATTAATATAATTAAAAATATATTTTATAATATATAATTTATTTTTTATTTTTTATTTAAAAATATAATTAATAAATATTAAATTTTTAAAATTTAAAAATATATTTAATAAAAATTTTATTTTTAATTATATAATTTATTTTTATATTTTTACTTTATATATAATTATATTTTTTATAAAAATAAGTATTTTTTAATTATTTAATTTATTTATTTTATAAATTTATAATTATATTTATTAAATTTATTAATATAATAATTTTATATAATATATTTAATATAATTAAAAATAATTTTTAATATTTATTAAAATAATTATATAAAGCATAGTTTTTGAAGTAGTTTGTAAGGAGTGTTTAATATTGATTATTAACTAATATAGAGAAGAAGAGAAGAAAAGAAGTAAACTTTTTAGCGTATTTGCTACTTTTTTTTTATAGTGGAACTGCTTAGAAATTGCTAGTATACTGTTTAGGGGCTATAAATTTGCGTTTTGCTATTAAACCCTTAATATTAGGTAAGTAGCTTATAATATTATCCCCCCTTTATAAATTTTACTTAGTATAAGTAATGTATACTCTTATTTAAATTAGTTAAGTAGCTTATTTAAATGGGTAGTTTGTGTATTTAACTCTTTTAAATATAAAATAGCAGCTATTTTCTTATTAAAAATTAAATTTTTTTTTGCAACTTTGTTAAGTTTTTTTTTATTTTTTTTTTATTTTAGCTACTAATTAGCAGCTATTCCTTTCTTTTACTATAAAGCAGCTACCCTAATTTGCGCGCTATAGGTGTGCAATTTAATTATAGTAAAGCGAACTTTAAAGGGTAAGCTAGGCTATTTATATAAAAAGATTATTAAGCTGCTTTTTGAGAATAAAATTGCTATTTTTAAAACGCTTATTACTTTTAAGCTATTATTTTTTATTAAGGTAAGTAATAAAGCTAAAAATAAGCTAAAAGTTTTTAACTATTTTAATTAAAAAGCAGAAATAACTTATAAAGCAAAAAGCTAAAAAGATAATTAAGATAAAGATAATAATAATAAAAAGGAATTTAGTAATAAGTAAGTAATTAATAGTAATAATGCTAGCGTTAGAGAGTTTACTAATTTCCTTTATAATAAAAATAGCTGTGTTATAAAGCAAATGGCTTGTATAATTATTATTATAAAAGTTACAAAAAAGTTAAAAATTAAGTTTTTTATTTTTATTATTAAGCTGTAAATTAGCTATAAATACACTGTAATATTTTTTAAACTTAAGCATTTTATTAGCAAGTACTTTACTATTAAGCAGCTTTATTAAGGCTAAAATTAAAATAAATTATTTAAAATTAATTTTATTAACTAGCTAAATTTTAAGTTAAGCAGTAAAAAAGCTACTCTTTACTATACTACTTTTATTAATTAAAAAAAGCTTTATACTAAAAAAGCTGCTTATACTCTGCCTTTTATTATAACTAATTGCTACTTTAATATAGTTTATATTGCTATACTAAAGCAGCTAAAGCTTACTTTTTATAGCGCTTTGCTAGCTTTATTCCTAAAGGCTACTTCTATAAAGAAAAAGTAGTTTAAAACCTTAAAGATTGTTATAAAGGATAAAGATAATAACATTATTAAAGTTATAGCTAAGAATTTATAAAGTAGCTTTAATTATATAAATATTATAACTTTTAAGGAGATTTAAGCTGCTTTTATTAAGAATTTTAATAGCTATAAAGCTTATATTAAAGCGCTTTTTATTAGTAATTGCTTAACTATTTATTAAGTATATTTTTTTAATTATGTTTATAGTTGTAATATTATTTTTAATAACCTTAATTTAAGTATTTATTTTTCTTATATTTTATATATAGTAAATAATTTTTAAATAGTTTATATACTTACCTTTAGTATATTTTTTATTAATTGCTATTGCTCTTATATTAGTGCGGATAGCAGGTTTAGTTATAAATACTTTCAGCTTATTATTAGTATAAAAAAGGCTTATATGCTAGCTTTTATATGCCTTTATTTTAATTCTTATAATCTTAATAAGTTAAAATATAGTAATACTTTGTTTTTATTTTTTAACTATTAATATTTTTTAGGTTTTATTATAGTTTAAGTGAACGCTAGTAGTACTATAATATGTATATATGCGAAAAGTAAAAGTATTATTAAAGCAGTTGCTTTTTTTTTATATAAGGCTGTTGTAAGCTTAGTTATAGCTAAGAAAGCTGTGCTTTTATTTGTAAAAACTTAATATAGTTGCCTTTATGGAAGCAGCTATAATATAGCATTTATTTTAGTAAAGAAAGATTTTAATAGTTTTAGTATAAGTTTATGGATTTTTTAATACCTTTCCTTTTTTTTTTATTAATTTGTAGTATAGAATTATACTAATTTAGTATAGTGGAAGATTAATATTTTTAAGTAAATTATTAGTTTTATATAAAATATTAATAAGTGTTTTTACATTATATTTAAGTGCTTTAAATTTAAAGGCGCTAATTTATTTAAGCTATATAATTTAAATAGCTACTAATTTAGTATTTTATAAATAAGGAATATTAATAACTAAGTTACTATTTAAGGCGATTATAAAAATAAAATTAAAATCTTAGTTATTAACTTTAATAAAAACTTTTAGCTTTAAGTATAGTATAAAGTATAAGAGGAGTATAATGTAGAGTATAATTAAGAGGATATTAAATAGTAATAATAATAATAAGTTTGCAATTATTAAGTTTTTTTTAATAAAAAAGTATTAGTTAAAAAGATTTTTAGTATTAAATTTATTAAATTAGTATATTTTTAAGCTTTTTTATAGTTTAAAGTTAATTGTAATAAATCTTTTATAATACTTTAGTTATTACTAATTTTAGCTTTTTAATTTTAAATTTATAAAGGAAGTAATTAAGGAAATTTATTAAGTTATTTTAGTTATTATAAGGCTAGGGCTGCTTTTTTATAGCTTTATATTTTATTTTTAGGCTATTATTTATTATAATTAGGTTATAGTAGCTTTTAAATTAAGCTAGGGCTTTAGTGTTTTATAGATTTTTTAAAAGTTATTAGTTAGGGGTTATATAGCTTTTTTATTTAATTAGTACTTTTTTTTCCTAGGGGTTGCTAAGGTGTAAGCAGCTTTTTTATTAAATATTATAAGTTTTAAAAATACTTTTTATTTAATATTTAGCTTTAAATTTATTAAATTTTTTAATTATTGCTAGTAGGTAAGAGTTTTTAAATTATTATAAAAGTAATAAATTTTTTATTATGTATATTAAAAAGTTTATATAAAAGTAAGAATATATTTTATTTAAAATATTTAACTTTATTATATAAGAGCTAATTATATGTTTTATTTAGTATTTTATATAAAGCTATTTTAGTTTTTTATTAGGTAAATTTAAAATAAAGTTTTTAAAATTAATTTAAATATAATTTTTTATTTTAAATTATTTTATTAGGATTTACTATTTATTAGTAAAGTTTTTTATATATTATTATATAGCTGTTATTATTATTTAAGTAAAACTAATAATATTTTTAAATTATTAAATAAAGTTTTTAGTTTTAATTTTTAGGTTTTTTTTAAGTGCTAGTAAAAAAGCAACTTTTTTAATAAAAGAAATATAATATTTATATTGTAAAAAGAATAAGCTGAGTTTTATTATTAT